CACACAGAAAAAGTCTTGAAGGTCTATGCTCTTGTGGATTGCTTTGTTGGGATGTCAAAAAGGGTTCTTTGTTGACACTACCGAACTTTCTTAATTAATGCAAATGTTGTGGGAAATATCTATCATATATCATAAGATCATATGCCAAGCCAAATAAATTGAAGGGAGCGCATAAACAGGAGAGGGAATGGCTGTTTACAAGGGTGGATAGTGATAGGACAAGGGGGAATGGTTTTAAACTAGGGGAGGCTAAAAGATGGGGGAGGTTTAGGTTAGATATTAGGAGGAAGTTTTTCACACAGAGGGTGGTGACACACTGGAACAGGTTGCCCAAGGAGGTTGTGGATGCCCCATCCCTGGAGGCATTCAAGGCCAGGCTGGATGTGGCTCTGGGCAGCCTGGTCTGGTGGTTGGCGACCCTACCCATGGAAGGGGGGTTGAAACTAGATGATCTTTGAGGTCCTTTTCAACTCAGGCCATTCTATGATTCTATGAAATCGATTGCTGTTCCAAACACAGGGATGAAATCTAAAAGAGTAAGACAGCAATGATACTGGATAAATGGTAGAGCTAATGGGGGTAGAATCAGCTCCCACTAAGTTAAGCTGAGAAAGGGAATTGCCTAATCTTTCCTTTGATTATATCCGTATCAATCTTATTTGGTGGGGCTGTTCTACATCACTACGCTTATTCTTTTTACATTTTCACAGGACATAAACATGATAAGCATCCAATTAGATAAGCAAAGTTGTTGTGGTCAGCCCTTAAATGACCTGCTTACAAGCAATCTTATGTAAAGAGTAAAACTGTGCAATTTTGCTCCAGATAAAAAAAAGCTCAGCAGTTGTCTTTCACAGAACTTGTAGATATAAAACAGGAATGCTAATAGTGCCACTGTTCTTCAATTGTGCCATTCTAAAGGCTTGACAATACTATTTCATTTAAAGGAAAGAAGTCAAAAGAGAAAGAAAAAGCTGTACAGAAATGAAAAGTTTAAGCTCACAGCAAATAATATTTCCCCTTCCTGCCATACCTCCCTCCCTTTCTCCCTTTTTTCTCTTCCTCTGTTTCCTTCCCTTGTTTTCCTCCTTTTCTTTTCCCCCTTTTCTACTGTATATCACAACCTTCTTTTTATGTATTTCTTACTTCCCTTTCTGTAGTGTAGCTATGCAGAAGTACTGATGAGTAAGTGTAAACTTAGCTTTATTTTGAACAATCAGTTGGATTCCTTGATATTCTACTGCCATTGTAGACTATATACTTTCTCAAACAGAGAATGCCAACATTTTCATCTTTCTGAGTTTAGCAGCATTAAATTAACATATATTATTATTATTATTGTAAGCAGAAAAATTGGAAGACATCAAAGAAAATACAGAAGGAGGAGTGGAAAGAGGAAAGCAAGCTACAACTCAGTCTTTTGCTTTATCAACTACCTAGGATTTCTCAACTGCAGATACAAGTGCAATGGTGTTCTTTGAATTGAAAAATGTTATGAAATTAATGTTATGTTTTAAGTCAGTTCTACACATATGCCTTTATGTTTAACAGTGAACCTCCAGCAGTAGTTTCTTTAAAGGAGGACCTACGTTGCTTATTAATAATAGATGCCAAGACTGGCGATGCTCTGCTTTTGCATGAAACAGGCAAAACAATGAGAGTGTTTTTTCAATTTCTAGAAGTTATTTCCTGCTCAAATACCAGGAAATCAGATATGCAGGTTTTCCCTCATCTCATCCTAGACAAGGATTTCTGTATTCTGTCCTTTCTGTAGCCGCAGTACAAGACCTGGCTGTGTTCCAGCCACACGTGAGGACGAGTTCACATTTTGCACTTTGCCCTGTAACCCAAAGTTTCATAAGGTGTTGAGAAACAACTCTCAGTGGGTGCTTAGTTTGGTTAACAAGGCAATCATGATTCAGTGTAACAGGTCTATCTGCTCACATAGTGTGCTTTCTCCTTTACCTTTCTATTATTATCTCATTATTAAAAAGCATTTAAAAATTTATCCTTGTCTGAAACACCAGAGTAGTCCAGTACCTCATATTTTTGTATTGTTCTGAGATAAACTCTGAGATACACACAGAACACTGGTATTTATGTACTGGACTCTGTCCTTTGATTGCCAATGTAGGTGTGATGCTTCTTGGACAGCACACTGACTATTGTGAGTGGCACACTGCAGTGTCTTGAGAAAAGCTCTGTGCAACTGTGCTGAATTAGAATGGGGAGGTGTTAAGCATGTTAAGCATGAATTCAGCAAAATCTTGAAGTACACAGCGGAGTAGACTTCTGTAATCTAGGCTCCATGAAAGTCAGACAAGAAAGCAGCAGTGGTAAGGGCAGGAAATTGCAGTCTTGAGAAGTTGGACTGTGGAATTACTCTGTACCAAACATAAATGAAAATCTGCATGACATACGGAAGACAACTGAAAGCCTAGCGGCAAGAGTCTCTGTGGATCCTAAAACTGCCTTGAACAACCATCTTGAGCTTCACTAAAGTGCCAGTGCTTTTTCCAGTTAAATGTAGATAAGTATTATTTTGCTGCGATGGAATGTCACACACAGCTTTGGTTACAATGCAAGGGCATCACACTGCACAGCACCTCAGCTTAAATACATAAATCTCAAGTCTTTAATTTTTCACTGACTACTAGTTCTTCAGAGAGCTGCTGCGAGAGGCAAAGAAAGTCAACCTCCAGCTGCTGTCTCAGATGTGCAAGAACTTTCACTCTTCACAACATATGATAAGACTGTGTTCCAGTAAATTCCAGTAGAATGGAATTATCTCTTACACAGATATTCCTCACATTTATGCTGCTGTTTTGTTTTTCTTTTTTAAATTCTAGACAAGCTTTTTCTCAACAGTAGCAACTTCTGAGAGTGAGTTGTTGCCTTTGGAGGTGTAAAAGCTGATTTTATGCTTGTTTAATGAGAAATGCCTATACTTACACATAATAAAACCCAAAATATATGAGACTTCACGTATACAAAGACACTTCACTTTTAACTTTCCTAATATGTACATCTTCATTGTATTTATTGGACTACAGATGTAAGTCAAGCTTAATACAGTATTTAAATAAAATAACTCTAGAACCAGTCCCTTCACTGAAGATAAGAATAATTAAGGGAGAATCCTGTGGATTTTTTAAATGATGGTTGAACAATATATAATTTTTGGTCCCTTTCTCAAGTTGTAACTAATTTTGATCTTTACGCACTTTATATTTCTTTTTTTCTTTTTCTTTTTTCTTTTTTTTGCAATTGAAATATTCACTTAAACAATTACTGCATTTAGTAGAAAGCTAAATTCCTTTCTGTATTTCAGCCTTAATTATCATTATCACTTGCTGTTCATTTAAACTCTAATTACAGTTATTTCTTCTCTACAGGAAAAGGTAACCCTTCACATATGTAATGTAAATGTAACCATCAAGCTTGCTTCTGCATCTTTTGAAAATCATAAATAAAATCAGCATTTACCTTGTTATCCTCTCCACTGTCTCAATTTGTGTGTGTTCCCTCGAAAATACCTCGAAAATCCCATACTGATGAGAATGGTTTCAAGATAATATTTGGCCACATCACATATCATTCAAATCCGTATTTGTTTTCAAATGGCTTCAGATTTAAAAAAGAAAATAATATTGCATTAAACCTTGAGATCTTCCTATCAGATTACACTCAATCTATAGACTGAACAAAGTCTGAATGCTAAAGACTAAATTAGACATAAGAAGGCATTTTGCTAAAGTGTAAGGATTTAAGTACAACCTCACTAAGGATATGAATCAGTAATAATACATATAACTACACCTTGAAATAATAGCTGACAAAAGCAATTATAGAGCCTAGCCATTCACATATCAGGTATTGCAGGTCAAATGCTAAATGATTAAGGCTGTGGTTACTGAAAGCAGGATTTCTCATCCACATCTCAACAAGGAATTCTTTATGTTTTTGTAGCCAGTGCAAATACCCCTGACATAAACTGGTAATGGAAAATGACATGATTTAAACAAGGAGATTTATCTCAGAAGCAGCATGGTGCGTAAGTATAAGTTGTACTCTCACCAGCTACAGCAATACAGAGAGCTGCAACATTTCAGTGCTCAGAGCAAAGAAATTATGTATGGAAACGTGTCTTTCAAAAGCGTAGCCGATAGAATGAGGGAAAACTTTTGGGGAACTGTGTTGTCCTCCTTTCAGGTATGAGACAAGTTCAGAACAACTTCACCTTCAGTCTGGTCATGTGAGAGCACAGGCAGCTGGTACGTACCGGGATGGTGGGCCACAGGGCACTTCTTCCTAAGACCCCATTCTTGTGTAACGGTGCGAGTGGAGGGGAGAGTGCTGGGAAACCAAAATGTTAGTTGGTTTTCCTTGGTTTGTTGGAATGTTTCATAAAGAGAGACATAAAAGTTCAGCCTTATGACTATCATACAGTCATGCCCTCCAAACGCTCTTGTAAAACAGAGATTGAAGAGGAAGTCTTTGCTTTCACAGGAAACATTCTACTGCTGATAACAGCATTTCTGGTCCTCAGCCTGTCACTGTGGGGACTTGTTGGAGCACCCGCTGTGCGAGCCCTTCCATCAGCACGTTACACAGCCTCGCCCAGGGAGGCCCCGCATGGCCTGCAGGCCTCGGGGCTGCACACGTGCATTGCGTGAAGGGTCAGGGCAAGGGCGGGGACAAACAGACGACAAAGCGGTCGGTGCAGGCTTTGCCCTCGCTAGTGCGGGATTCGGGGCTCCCGCGCGACAGCTGGGACCCTGCCCCGGCGTGGGCCGGCTGGACCTCGGCCTCCGGGCACCTCACTGCGCACCGCCCGCCCCAGGGGACCGGACTACAGTTCCCAGCGTGCAGCGCCGCCTCTGCGGCCGCTCTGATTGGCCGCCGCTCCTCCCCACGTGACGGCAGGCGGTGTCGCGGTGGCCGTGCCGGTTCCCCCCCCGAGTGTCGCGGGCCGCATGGCGGCGGCGTGGGGGCGGCGCGGAGGTCCCGCGCTCCTGCGGGGGGCGCTCGGGGCGGCGCAGTGCCGGGCGTGCAGCACCGGGGCGCCCGTGCGGGCACCCACCGGCGCGGCTCAAGCTCAGGTGAGTCGGCGCGCTGGGCGCCCGGGGGTCGGCTTTGTAATGACAGCGGTGCGGCGCCAGGTGCGCCCGCAGGGGCTGTGCCCGGTGGGTCGCCTCCTCCCGGTAACGCGGTGGGCAGGGAAGCGGGTCTCCTCCCGGAGCGGCTGTCTGAGGCGGTCCCGGCGGCGGGAGCCCGACCTCACAGGCAGAGGTTGCAGCTGTGAATCCTGACGCTTTGTCCTGCAGGTAAAATTGAGGGGACGTAAATTGTGGGGGGCTGCTGGTGGTGAGCCGGGCTTCCCTCGGTACGCTTTGTGTGAGTTCTGAAAGTTTCCTTGAGTAACTGTGGGCAGTGTAAGGTCCCCCTGCCGTCACTGCCGCTGCTGGGCTGGGTGCCACGGGGAGCTTGGCTTCGCCCGAGATCACATTGCAAAAACGGTGTTAAGTAACTTGCATGGGAAAGATGAGCGGATAATAGGAATAGAGAGTGCAGTCCGCAAACTTAGCATGACAATACATTAGTTCCGCGCCCTTACTTTGATCCGCTGAGATCAAATTTGAGCTGCCCCAAATCAAAATTAGCGGTGGTTATGTTCTGAATAACCGTGTGAGCTGTACCACGGAGCTATTTCGTCAGCCCCTCACGTGAAGTAAACAAAGGTGTTGTCCAGTTCCAGCTTCTCCCAGTTTCACCTCAGATCCCACTCAGATGCGTTTGGTTTCTCGGTGCTCAAATGCAAGAGAAAAAACTCCGCGTTAAGGCACAGCAGTCTAGCACAGGCAGGGTACGACATCCTGACTAATCCCTGCTGGTGATTTATTGATTTTTCTCTTGATTGCTTGGCTGGCTTCAGCAAGCACACTGTAACCTAAAGCTGCCAGTCTTGTGTCACCAGAATTGGATGCATTCACTCCCACTTACTTATTTACAGGAAGTCAAACAGATTTGTACATTGCTTTGTTGAACAGTTACTTGGCTCAACAACCTACAAAAGTTTATTGAGGTTCTGTGTGTGTGTTTTTTTTCCTGTAAACTATCAATTTTTAATAAAATCTGATTAGAATTAATTCTCACAGAATGGTTGGAGGGGACCTCAAAGATCACTGAGTTACAACTTCATGCCATGGGCAGAGTTGCTACCCACTATCTCAGGCAGCCTAGGGACCTATCCAGCATGACCAGTTACTTTCTATAAATCAAGTGGCTGTAGCACACAGTCTCAAATATTTTTGGAAAAGCTTGATTATACCACATAGGTCTGAAACCCCTACATCCTTTAGGAGAGAAAACCACAGTGGTTGAGAGTATGAAAGCGATTGGGAGATCTGTATATGTGGTAGTAACCAATGACAAGCGTGCTGGAATACTTGCTAAAACCTTGCAGGTCACAACCACCAAGCCAGTGCAAAAGCAAAGACAGTACAAACTTCATAGTTGTAAAGTGATAAATATCTGGGAATTTGATGGTAAATGGCTTAGGAGTAAAACACAGAACTTGGCTGGACTGTTATTGGACTGGTAGTCTGAGTGATTGAACCTATTTATATCTTAGTATTTATGATACAGTTGCCAGCCTTCTAAGTTTGAACGTTCTATTGCCGAGGGTAGAATCCCTTTCTTAAAGATTAGATATCGGCAGGTAGCAACAGGCGCTCTCTGAGAGCTCCTTTTCACACATCTCCGGTTGTGTGAATTACTCCAGAAATGGTTTTACAGTTAACAGTGGAAGATCGAATGCCAGCCTGTCATCTTCTACACAAGATGATATATACCTAAATGATATTCTCGAATAAGAAAGTATTATGTAGGACTATGTATTTCAACTACAAAATAGTATATTTTCCTGTATAACTTTTTATCATAAACAAGAAGTTCCTGGGCAAAAATACAATGAGGAAGACAGGATTCTTAACGTATTAGGGCTTCTAAGTAATAACATTAAGGAAAGGAGTCTTTTTTTTTTTTTTTTTTTTTTTTACCCCTTTATAAACATATCACTTCAGTAAAAGTCTTTGGCATCCTGTTATGAAGTTTAATTTCAGCTCATGTAAATCATGCAACTCAAACATAGTTGACTGAAACTTTCTTTGCACTCACTGGAATAAAAGGAAAGAGCCCAGCTAGACTAGAACAGACCTCGTATGGCCTTTCTTGTGCATTCATGCTGAAACTCTGTGTCCTGGCACTCCATTTTGTGGGTAGCTGTTCAAAGTCCATGAGCAGCACTTTCTGTGCCAGAAGCCAGAACTGAAGCATGCTGTTTAGGGCCAACTGTTGTGCAGCAGCTGTGGAGCCCTCAGAAAAACATTTGTCTTGGACTTCTCAGCTCAGACCTCATTCTGGCACTTGACCTACTTAGACCCATTTCATCCTCTGTGGTTGTCTAACTTCCATGTTGAACAAGGACACTTCACTGCTTGCCTAACCCAAGACATTAGAGGTGAGGCTTGAAACAGGAGAGCTTTTGCTGAGTTGCATCTATGATGTTGGCAGATTAGTGCTAGGCCGTTAGGCTGGGAGGGCAGCACTGGTGCATGGACTCATCCAGCAGGACTGCAGGAGCTGAAAGAGCCTGCAGGGTTTGGCAGCAGGAGCCAAGCTGACACTGTTGTGGTGGTCCTTGAGGCCAGAAGAACTATTTGGTAATGTAACATGGTTAAGGAGCTCTCTGCTCCTGTTTAACTGAACTTCTCCAGTATCTGTCAGTTTGTGGTATTCGTGATTGTTATTAATAGTGGTGACAGGTTCCAATTCTGTTGCATTGCTAGAAGAGTTTTTGTGGAGATCACAGGTGAATTGGCAGGTTTGAAGAGTTGACAGCTTGTCAAAATATAACAGTCATCTAAGCTCTTATTCTTTCAGTACTGGTTTAGAACATAGGATTGACATCCTAGAGGGTGAAATTACTTTTTTCATAGATCAGATGTAGCATACTCTGTGACAGGGCATACTCCTATGCAGAAGCCTGTCCTGTCAGTTATAGAGAGGGGAGTATGGGCTAGGGAGTAATAGCCCTGCCTTTTGAATCAGAAAGTTATACAGTTGGACATTAGTAGGTTAAAATACCCACAGCACCCTTCTTTTCCAACTGTAGGGAACTGAATAACCATTTCCCTGTAGTTCAGGAATGGTAGCAGGCAGCTTTTGCTGTTCAGTGGCTCACTCAGAGGCTACAAGTGCCTTAAGGTCCAATCTCACCGTACTTCTTCCCTTCAGAAAATCCTGCTTATGAGATTGGATGAGAGCAGGCTTATGCCTTGCTCTCAGTTACCAAAGAAGTATCTAGGTTTCTGCCTCAGACATTTGGCCTTCCTGAGGAATTGATTAAAAATATGAGTCAGTGTTGCTGCAGTGGCAGATTTGGCAATACAGGATTCACTCCTGGACTCAACCTGGGTACTCTTGAATTCATGGGTGTCTCCTGATTCCTCCTTGTGACATCAAACAGGACAGAAACTGAACTAACAGCTTAAAAATTCCACTGTCAGTTACTCTTTCCTCCCAGACAAGCCCATGACTGCTCTAGCAGCCCTACGAAACTTTTTGTTTGACCACTCCAGCATTGAAAAATATTTTCCAGCAAGAAACAAAAATCAGTTATCTCCAACAGAATCTTTAAGCAGTATTAACACTAGCTGCCTGGGGAGCAAGTTTTCTTTAAATACCGCTTCTTGACAGTAAGCTTCAAAGTAATTAATGAAGGCCAATATTATTCCTCAAGTAAGTCTGCTTTAACTTCCATGTCTGGAACACCTACTCTGCCACTCACAGTGGATGTGACAGACTCAGGAACAGAATCATTGCTTCCTTTAATCTCATGCTACTGAGAACTTCTTCCTGAAAAATGGGAAATTACTTCAAGCACATCATTGTGCTTGTAAAGAAGTTATACTATTTTGACATCCATTTAATAAAATAATTAAAGTTCACTTATTTTGACTTCAGTCTGTCAAGAGACAATAGCATCTTTCTTCTTACTTTACCTGTAATTCTCAGTCTAGAGTGGGGAGACAGAAGGTTGATGCTGTTCTGCCTTCACATGCCGTGGATAAGGAGGTCTCATCCCACACAAAGTGCAAAAAGTGACTAAGAGAGAAGCAGCAGGGGAGTGCTCCTGCAAGGAAGAACTAAAATAATAAGCATGGATGTACTTCTCATCTCAAATATGGACACATTCTTAAAATAACAGATAGGAGAACACCAGAAATATAGCCTGATGAGAATGTGTGGCTTTCAAAAAACAAACATTATGATTTGAGAATGGCAGTATTTAAAATATCTTCATATTTTCTACCTGGGAAATGAGTGGAGTTAAGTCTGAATATTTAGTTAGGCTCTTCTTCGACTGGTTTTCTAAGGAGTTCTCATACTAAGTGAGAAAGAATAAGCATTTCTAATAAAGTAAGCTCCCAGCTTTTGATTTCTTGGGGAAAATAAAGCTGTACAGAATTTGTAAACAATCCATAAGTGCACAGGCTGCAGCATTTCCTCAGAGAGATTAAAAAACATGAGTTGTTCTGCCTGTGCACATGGGAGAAGAGTCCTGTGTAAGAGTGAATTTGAGCAGTGTACATATCAGTGACAACAGCTGTACAAACTGATTAATCCACAGACATCTTTGTTACTGCAAAGGAGGAAAGGACAAGACTATGGAGGACTTTCACCCTCTGGAGGTCTCCACTCGTGGTTGGAGCAAAACAGAAACTGAAAGATTTTGTCTGGGAGATAAGCAATTACATGGAAACAAGTATGCCATTTTATCAAGGTTAAACAGATGTTTTCAGGGCTCTCCACTTTACATCTTCTTTAGCCCCTCCACAACCAAGGTTGTTTTCAGAGGCCTTAACTAATCACAAAGCCATTTAGATCAGGAAGCATAGGAAATTGTTTAAAGGCTGATGGTAAGATTATACTGCTAAGAAAGACTGCTCCCTGCTTGTAAGTTTACCAGCAGCCAAAGAGTTGGCTCAGCTAGAATCAAAATAACTTCACTTGCTGGTAGCAAGTTGCAGCTGGCAGTGCTGGGCCTGATACAGCTCAGGATATAGTTATGCTTTTTAGCTACTGAGGCACACAACTGATGATTTCTACTGATAGGCCAACCCCCCTACCACACATAGCACCCCCTGCCTGTCCCTGCTGAAGGCCTAGACTTCCCACCAAGTTTTGCTTATGTAACATGATGGAAAGCACAGCAAAACAGCAAGGGCATAGCTTCAACAAGTGAGGGTTTGCTCAAGTGGAACAGCCCTGGGCATAGAAATAAAGGAAAGAAGCTACTTACCTGAAGAAAGCCTCAGGTAGGCAGTAATCTCCAGCAAGATACCCTTGCTTCCAATGCCAACCCTTAAATGAGGTCTGGGATGGGGTGGATCCAGGCTCCACCCCTTCTGGTCACTCAGGTACATTGCATGCACCTGAGTGCCCTTAGGTTAGCCCTGCCTTGCCACCAGGTGCTCAATCACTGGTTCAAGCCATCACTTAGTATTTCCACTACAGCTTATCACAATGATATTGCAGTTCTGGGACTGAGCCAAGGCTTCTAGGTCCCCTTGCTTTTTCTTCATGCTGTGTGTATTGATGTAGAAACATTTCAAATGTTCATTTTACCTGGCACCTCATGGAACAGACTGAACGTTCTCATAGCGTGCTGTCCTTCACGTTTTGGCACTCTATCCTATAGTTTATCTCTTGCGTGCCTGATTTTATTTCTTTCCCCCTTCAAGTCTAGTTTAAAGCTCTGTCAGTCAGCTACTAACTCCTGTGCTGAGCAGTTCTTTGACCTGAGTGCACCTTGCCCAGTGTGCTCATTGCTACTGTCAGACACTGACAGAAAGCTTGGGCACCTCCTCCAGCCTGAGACGTAAATGGCCACTTGTGTTATCTTGTCCAGTTCTGCATTCTGCATCTTAGATTTTTGTAAAAACTTCATGTAACCTTTTATCTACTGTGGCCTGTCAAAGCTAGCCAGCATGATTTTGAATGGAGGTGCAATTTTGTGGCTGAATTTTCACCTTCACTTTTTTTTTTTTTTTTTTGGCAAATGCCACTTTATCTAGAAGTGGTCTGGTGAGTAGGTGTTTAAGGCCATGTTGGATGGAGCCCTGGGCAATCTTATCTACTACTTGATCCAGCAGCTGGCAACCCTGCCTGTGGCAGAGAGGTTGAAACTTGATGATCCCTTCCAACCCAAGCCATTCTGATTCAGTGCTTCTCAAAAGCTGTGTTGCTCCAGAATATGATACCCTGTTAAAAAAAAAAAAAAAAAAAAAAAAAAGTAGGTAGAAATCATCTTAATATTTATTTCATCAATGAAGACATTATTAAAATTCTGAATTTTTTACAGCTTGAACAGCTGGAGTGTTTAGGATCATGTAATACCTCTCTTCCAATCCCACTCACTTCATATTTGTTGACTTTTATCAAAGACAAGCATTTTGGTAATGTTCTCTAGTTCAGATTTGAACAGGAAAACCTTTCTGGAAATGTTCTTTAAGCAAACATAAAATATAATTATGTACAGCAGTAACTTGGTTTTGCTATTGATAGGATGTTATGTCTTGTATTTGGAAGCTGGAAGGGACGCAAGCGGAGATGCAGAGTTTCATCAATTTTTATTTATTTTGTGCTAAACTACAGGGATCCTTATAAATGATTTTGGTTATCTGAGGGTTGCAGTGAGACTGGTGGTGTTCTTGGATCATTGGTTCTTAGATACATAGAGATGCAATTGAAAAACACTGCCTCTTACGCTGCACAAAAAGTCTGAAGCACCAGTGGCAAAGTGGCTGTATCTTAAAATGGGAAAGCTGGTAATACTATTCTATGGAATTAAGAAAACTAATCACTATGTGGCCAATTTGGGCCATAAGGAGAAACCATTGTTTTTTCTTGTGCTGCTTTTTTGGAGGGGGAAAAAGTAAGATAATAATTATCTGTTGAGATAAAAGTTAAAATGTATGTGGCAAGTATATATTGAGTATTGCTATTCAAATGTTTAACAATTTCTGATTTTCTTTACAGGAACTGCAAAGCTCAGGAAGAGCACGTTTTCTGCTGGAACATGCTGCTCCCTTCTCTGCTTTTTTGACTGACAGCTTTGGACGTCAGCACAACTACTTGAGAATTTCTTTGACAGAGAAGTGCAACCTCAGGTGTAAGTGTGTTCTTTCTTGCACAAAGCTCTTATTCACCATTAGGTAGAAGCACGTGCAAATGCCAGGAATAGTGCTAGAGTACTTGCTGGTACGTTGGCCCTGTGTTATATTTCTTGTCTTGGCAAAGAAGTGGTACAGGACAGTTAGAAACTGATCCGGGGCACAACTGGGATGAGGAAGCAGGAGCATGCCTCATGATCTGGTAAAAATGGGTCTTTTGTCAGACTTGGCATGGTTTACCCAAGGGAACGGCATGAAGATGCATTAGGGCAGGTTCAGATTGGTTGATAGTAAAAGGTTTTTAATGAGGGTGGTTGGGTAGTGGAACAGGCTTGTCGGTCCCTTCCAACTCAGGGTATTCTGTGATTTGGACTGAAGTGCTTTTGGGCATTTGTATACATAAGTGTGTGATAAGCATGAAAGCTTGTACCTGGGCATTTCCTCAACTACATCTACAGAGTCTGTGGCTATATTCCCATGCTTGCTGGGTGAGTTTGGTGTGTGTGTTTGAATGCAAGTTAGATAGAAATAAAGTCAGCTTTTCCTTTTAAGTAGGTCCGTCTTAATTTTGAGACCCATCAAATGAATTGTGGGTTTTCTTTTGAAGGAAACCAGGAAATTGCTTATAAGATATGGTGTATGATCTGTATGTAAGAAAGGTAGTCAGTTGGCTTCCATTAAAGACAGTTGCACTTGGTGCATTTTGCATATCAGTTTTAGATTAAGTGCTGCTGAGTATTTTTTGCCATGTATTTCTGTGTTCTTTGTTTCAGGTCAGTACTGTATGCCAGAGGAGGGTGTTCAGCTGACTCCTAAATCAGAGTTACTTACTGCTCAGGAGATAATCACTCTGGCTGGACTGTTTGTGAAAGAAGGTGTAGAGAAGATCCGTCTGACAGGAGGAGAACCACTTATCCGGCCTGATGTGGTTGATATTGTGGGTGAGTTTCCAATAAATAAAGTGTAATTCAAAGTGACTTATTCTGTATTGAACCAAGAACTACATTTACAATTATCTACTAATAAAGTCCCACAACCTGAAGAAAAATTCCATATGAAATGATGTTGTTTTCCCCCAGTATTGTGAAATGGAAGGCAGTTCCCTTCAGCAAACTTCCAGTTCTGTTCTCCTGGTTGAATAGAATTTGTCATTTCATACTGTGACAGCTGAACTTAGTACTGCCTTCATATTCAACATCTAATAGAATAGCATGCAATTATGCACCCTATGGGTGAAAAATCAACTGATTTGAGAAGGTCCTCATTGCAGAGGAAGAGATGATACTTGTTTACAAACTAGAGAACAAAATGGGTTTTCTTTCTGGGGGGGAGGAAGGGTTGTTGTTTGTTTTGTTTATTTTCAATTGCATCTGTGTTTACAGGAATGGTGGCAATGACTATGCTTTTATAGTTACTGATGAAGAGTGTATTAATTAAATGGAAGATAAATTACTGGCTAAACCTTTGAAGTCTATCTCCTTTTGATTTACATTGTGTTAATTTATTGTGCTCCTGATTTTGGCTTGAGCCAGTTGTTTTTTTCCTTATCAAAAATATCGTATGTTATGGATAATAAAATAGTTTAAGATAGTGGTAATGTATTAAATTAAAGCTATGAAGGCAGGTGTACTTTGGCATATTGTAGGCAATGGAACTTCTGTTTCTACTCTTAGAAGTACTGAAGATAAGGAGGGATTAATATGGCATATGAAGATCTTGAGAAAAGTGCCTGCTGATAGACTGGGCTTTGCTGCATGAAACAGACTCTGTTCCTGCTCTGTTTTATTCAGAGCAGTGTAGTATAAAGAGCTGGAAAAAGTAAGGCTGGAGTGAGGTGGCTTGACATCTGCTTGTATCCTGATTGTGAGGAGCCCCCAGACTGTATTAACTTAATCTTTTTGGAACTCTGTGGAATAGCATTACCTCAGGTATTTACCACATGAATGATGGTTATTTATATTTTGAGAGTGTTATGTACATTTCAAGAAGTCTGGCATGTGTGTTTCTCACAATAAAAAGCATAATTATTTTTAGCTGGCTTTTTCCAGCCAAAAGGGGAGTAGATTTATAAAAGCAGATGTATTTTAAAATATAATAATCCTTTTTTTAAGTTGGAGGATATAGTATTGGCATGAAAATGAATTGAAATCAGTAGCATTATCAATTTAGTGCTTTCTTTGCTGGTTTGTACTTTTTTGTTTTATCGTAGTAGCTGATGGCTTTTTATATTCAACACTGCTACTTCAATGTTGAGGGTTTATGCTGAGTAGTTAGTAGTTAGTTTGCAGTAATTCTAAGCATTGATAGAAGGGTTGTTTTGTATGTTCTACTGTAGTGATTGAATTCTCAATTGCTTATTTTTATGACTATTGGAGGAGGACCTCAATTTGAACCACTGGATTTACATTGTTCTGTTTATGTTCTTGTTCACAACTAAGCTTGGATAGAATCATAGTGTTCTTGAGAACCTTCACAACTTCTGCATTGTCATTTTAACAGATGAGAATAGTCATCTTGGTGTAAAAGCGATGGATGTTAAGATGATTGCTAAGATGATTGTCCTGTTACATTACTTCTTTCTGTAATTAATTTGTATTTACCTGGCTGTTTTCTCTCAGCCATGTTCAAAACTAGAAAATTAAGTCTGCATATACAATTTTTTTTTCTTCTAAGACTGTCATTTTACAATATGCTGTGTGCAATTAGGATCAGTAGAAAGTTGTTAAAATTAAATAGATTGCATATAACAAGTAGGGGAAAACTCACTGAAAACAATTCTAAAAATATTTCCGGCAATGTTTGGAGTATTCAGCTTTATTTAAGCCATTTTATGTTGTTACAAAATTGTTCCAGAAGCGGGCATCTCAGACTCTGAAAATCTCACCTTTGTAATAGTATTTCAAGATGTAAATACCTTATCTTGTAACCTAAGGTTACTGCAGCAACATATGTGATCCATCTTTTGCCTGGCAAGAGTTATACTTCTCTAGAACTTTCCTTGGCAGTACATTCCTTGTATGACCTACTGCTCTAGGCTGTAAGCTGTTTTCTGGTTCTTGGGCAAGAATCGAAAAAGCAAAAATTGTGCTGATTCAGGAGCAAGAGAATTACAGAGTCTGTGATTGCTTCAACAGACTGGAGAAAAAAACTTGGCTAGCCTAAGAGGAAGGTGAGGCACATTCAGAAGTTCTGTTTTATCTTTGTGATTCCGTGAGTGTATTTGTCTTCACTGTTTGGTCTGAAATATGAGCTGCACTTGATTAAGCAGTTCTGCTGTACTTTAAGAAGCCTGCTCACAATTACATAGCAAGAAACTGCTGGGTTTAAGATCCAAATGCTTTATTGTCATGAGTTTGATTTTTTCAGGTGTTCTGAAACAGTCTGAGATTGAAAAAGGCAGTAGCACGTGCTAAGATGCTATTCGTTCACATTTCCATGCTGTAATGTTCGTATTTCTACCAGTGTTAAGTATATTAATTTCTAGTTTAGTGTCATCTTGCCCTTGTGGGCCTATTTTGTTGTATTTTATAACTGTCTTCGCTCTGAAATATTTCTCCATTGTTAAAGTGTCATTACAGTGGTCAGGTCCTTCTGAACTTCAGCAAGACCGATGATAAGATTGTTATGCAGAGGTTTGGGACATATAAGTCTGTTTGTGGCTTTTTGTGACTCTGACCTAGGTTTCTTTTTTCTTGAGTTCCATAAACTGCAGAATACTCTACCCTATTAATTATATGTTGGAGTATGTGATGGTGTTCAAATTCCAGGCTCAGTGCTTTTGTATGGAGGTGGTCTAGCTAGTTAAATACTGTTAGATGATAACATTTTGGTAAATCTGAAGGCTTGCTGTATTAGCAAAAAAAAACCCAACTGGTTAGTAAATGTTTACTGTGGTCTCCATTTATTTAGTATTATATAGGAAAATATTCCTCAAACTAATGTAAAAGCAACTCTAGAACTCCAGAATGATTTTAAAAATAAAATCTAGTCAAGGTAAGGTTGGAGTAACATGATCACTGGCTATTAATTGTTACTAAAATGGCTATTTAGGTACCAGTTGATTTACTCTTAACAACCTAAATAAGCTAAAACAGCCTTCCTGAGATTCACAGGGTTTTTACCCACAAGCACACATTAGATTGTAAGAAATGGAGGCTTCAAAATTGTGTTCTTGACTTAGAATCATAGAATCCTTAAGAGTCAGAAGGGACCTTTAAAGGTCTTCTAGTCCAACTCCACTGCAATGAACAGAGACATGTGCAACTAGATCAGGGCAACTTACCTGAAAGGTAAGGGCATCAGCCATATCTGGGCAACCTGTTACAGTGCATCACCACCTCACTGTAAAAGACTGTTTCCTTTTATCCGACCTAAATCTACTCTCTTTAAGCCTAAAAGCATTTCCCCTTGTTCTGTCACCACAGACCCTGCTAAAGAGTCTGTCCCCTTCTTTCCTGATATCAGTATCCTTTAGATACTGAAAGGCCACTATCAGGTCACCTCACAGCCCCAGCTCTCTCAGCCTGTCCTCGTAGGAGAGGTGTTCCATCCATTGGATCATTTTTGTGGCCCTTCTCTGCACATGCTTCAGCAGGTCTGTGTCTCTCCTGTATTGAAGACTCCACATCTGGACACACTACTCCAGGTGAGACCTCACCAGCACAGGGTAGAGGGGCAGGATCAAAATCTTTGACCTGCTGGCTACACATCTTTTGATGCAGCCCAGGATACAGTTGGCTTTCTGCAAGGGCACATTGCTGGCTCATGTCCAGCTTGCCATCCACCATTACTTCCAGGTCTTTTTCATCAGGGCTGCATTCAATCCTTTCATCCTCCAGCTTGTACTTGTAGTAGGGGTTGCCTCAATCCAGGTGCAAGACCTCGCGTTTGGATTTATTGAACCTCATGAGATTCACCTGGGCCTACTGATCAAGCCTGTCCAGGTCCATCTGGATGGTATCCCATCCCTCTGGTGTGTCGGCTGTTCCCCACAGCTTGGTGTCATCAGCAAACTTCTTGAGGCTGCACTTGACCCCCCTGCCAATGTCATTGGTGAAGATATTAAAGAATGTCAGCCCCAGCACTGACCCCTGGGGGACACCACTCATCACCGATTTCCATCCAGACATTGAGCCATTGACCACCACCCTCCGGACTCGATCCTGCAACAAGTTCTTCATCTGTAACTTGTTTCTAATGTTTCTTTGGGCTGGATAACTCAAGTTCCAGCCCTGTATTGCATTGTAGATGGTTTATGGAAATTGCCTACACTACATCAGGAGGTGAATAGGGCTGAGATTTAAGCTACGTTTGTTTTCAGCAAGCATTTCTCTTAACCGTAAATCGTCTGTGGAACACCAGTAAAGCTCATTAATTTTAATGATAGATTATTACAACCATATTTTCCTAATACTTATACATAAACTTTTTACTGCATGCAACTAACACTAGCAGAAACCTCTATCATGTCCTAGTGACTGCCAAAAGTATATATTTGAGACTTTCCTGAAGCAGATGATAATGGAATATAGAATCCATCTCCTTTGTGGTACTGCAGGCTTAAATTAGAACTGGACTTAAAAAGTATGATAGCTGTTCATTATTGTCTGGGAAGCATATGTCTCCACTAAGAAAATATAGAATACCCTGAGTTGGAAGGGACCCATAGGAACATCATTTTCCAGGGCAGGCTTTTTATAGTAGCATACACATTTCTGGAGTAAAGCTGTGCTGATTAGACTTGTTAATACATATATTAGGAGACAAAATTTATTTTCTGTTCTCAATCAGGAGAAATATAATTGAAGAAACTCTTAGAAGAGGATACATAAGAAAGTCATCTGTTTAAGGAGATGCTATTTCTCCTGAAGGAAAAAAAGTAAATGTAAAAAGGTTTATTTGATGGCTTAAGCTGCACAAATAAGTTTTTAGCTTCATGCTATTGAAGCTAAAATTGAATCGTAGCATCTGTTCTGTTTTCTGTCCTACTTCATAGTTTTATCAGTTACCTTTTCTTGTATTGATGTTGTGTTGATGGTAAGGCAGTGGCCAAAAATTGGCAAACAAGTTAATATCTGGGCACACAGTGAGTTCCAAATTTATGAAAACTCTTTGTCCCCTTTTTAATTTAGAGATCATTAATAGAAAAAAAAGAAAAACAAGCAACTGCAAATATTTCACTTCTTAGCTTTCGCAAATAACACAGTTTACAAACTGGTCCTTCTTAGTTTGTTGGTCTAAGTGTTGAGTCTCCATCTCCAATTTCTCACAGTTGGGCTCTATTCAAGTTGTTCTTATATATTAATGTATTTCCAGTGTCTCGCCCTGTCTCTCGTCCTGGCACAGGGAGAGAAGATGCACTGACAGAAGCTGCTGCCTGCACTTAATGACCTAAAGAGTTCCTGCCTTTTTATTAAAACAACAACAGCAGAACTTTTCCATTTTAAGCCATGGCTTGGATTTGTTTCTATGTTTTATTCCGCGTCTTTATGCGTTTTACATTTCTAGCTGTGAGATCTGTATGGCAGCTAGTTTTTTCCTCTCTGTTAGGAGTTCGGGGCCAAGCTTAGGCTGAATATTTTGAGAATAGCTGAGAAATGAAATAAAGCCAAAGTAAGACCTTTATCAGCATGACCAAATAGAGGTAAAATAGGCAGTGAAGACCGAACTGTAAAATATTTGTACTGTAACTAGAATTGCCCCAAGAATAAGAGTTCTTAAAATATTTTCCAAGAAATTAGGGTAGATACTATGGCTTTGCTTTGATTCTGCTTCTGCAGATGGTGTGTGCGGTTTTGTTTGTTTTCCTTATTTGTTTTTGTATTGATAACCAGAGGTTTGAAGGACTGCCCTCTGGGAATTGAATACGCCAAGGATTTCCTCATTTAGCTTTCAAGGAGGCAGCTATTTTCTAAATTTTAAACTCATTATATTATCTGTTTCTTATTTGGTTTTCTTTTGTTAACCAAAAGTTTCCAGTTGTTAAGTGCAGATACTTTTGTTCATTGGATGTTGTTGCATCAGATTCTCTATACTGGTCTGATGTGTTGACCTTTTTCTCTCTGGATGGGAGCATATATATTTTATTTTTACAGCTTAAAGTCACTATTTCTTGACACTACCACTAGGTTAGAACTGTTTTGTTTTTTTTCTGCAGCACTTCAGGATAAGCATTGCTAGTTCAGGTGCCATGGTACATCTTGCTGCTGCTTACTATTACAGAACAGAATTCTGTTTGCAATGGTAGATTAAGGAAAAGATGGTAAAGAAGATCAGAGGCCTTCTTCCAACAGTAGAGTAACTATGGAGAACAAAATTAGTTGTGTTTTCATTGTTCTTCTTAAGCAGTTTTGCATGCAACAAATTGCTGTTGCTTATACCTTTTGAAATAGGTGTATGCAAGAATAGATCACCTAAACCATCATGGCTAGAAGAAGGCTGAAACATTGATGTGTCTGTGTTTTCCTCCACCCTTGCTGAATTTTATTTGTTTCGTGAATCTTTTTAGGGGGCTTTCTGTTTAATTCACAGTTAAATTACTTCTTTTAAAGTGTTCTTACTTTTATTTTCTTTTCCTAGGTCAACTGTACAAGCTAGAAGGGCTGAAAACCATCGCTGTCACAACCAATGGGATCAACTTAGCCAGGTTATTGCCCCGACTGAAGGAGGCAGGACTGAATGCCATCAACATTAGCCTGGATACTTTGGTTCCAGCTAAATTTGAGTTCATTGTCCGGAGGAAAGGTACAGATTTGTCTTCAAAGGCAAAGTTTTTAACACCTGCAGGAATGTGAATTGTTTGATACGTCTTTCATACTCTGTTGTTTTGGAAAAGAAACAAATTAGTATCCTTTTGATTCTAGGGAAAACAACCTACGCTGGCAGTTTAGATAGTGACTTTTCTTCTTTCTACAATGCTAAGAGGTAGAACCTTTAGTTGGATCTGTTAAGAGTAGATGAGGCTCAACTCATCAACCACGGTCAGTGGCGACTGTGTCTACAGTTACCAATAACTGTTTGAGTACCTGTCTGTTGTGGAAATTAAGAGAACTCTCCAGATCTTGTGCTGGACTCATGTGCTGCTGTTCTTTAACACTTTTCAAAGACACACATTTCACTGTAGCAGCCAAGGATTAATATACCACAAGAATTAAACTTCTTGTGACAAATAACAGCAGTTTCTGAAAGCTGCATTTGGGATGTGCCAGCTATGTCTCATTTTTGATTAGTGGTGTTTCCTATGGCACTACATTTTAAAAGTAGTAAAAATAAACCGTTCTGACTTCATTTGAGGAGAGATGCAAGCTTTGTAACTTCTCTCCAGTTGAACTAGTAATAGCAAACTATTTCAGAAATGCTTCGATGTTTCCAGTGTTAAAAATCCTTGTTTAAATGAATCCTGAATTCTATCATGAAGTTTAGCAGAAATGTTTGGGCTTCCTTCCCTAAATCTAAAATTGATACAGCTTTATGTCACTCCATTTCGGTCTACGAATGAACTTTTGCAGGCTGTGAATTGCTAATTCTGACAAAATTTCCAGGTAGCCACTAGATGGTGCAACAGCATAAGCTAAATGCATGGTAAGGGGTGAGCAAATTTGGGATACTGTGAGAAGTAACTTCTACATTTAAATCACTCCTCTATCAAATTGAAATTCTGTTGACAAGTGTAGAAAGGTGGTTTTGTCTGCAGTCTCTTTGGGAGTGCTTCTTCAGATTTCTACATCACAAGGCAGATATCTCTTCCTGTCAGAAATCTGTTTTATTAATGTGGTTGTGTCATGGCATAATTGGCATGCAGAGAAGTATCTGGAGTATCTGATCACAAGCGGGTGGTGACTGTGCTCTTTTCTTCTGCTCTCTGCATTTGAATATTACCTGATTTATGACATTCACTAGAAACAGGCTCTTCCTTATGCTACTGAAGAGGCAAACCTCATCCTGAAGCTCCCTGAATTATACGGCCACAGCTCTTCATATCTGATTGGAAGCTGTTAGGAATGCACTGTTTATAGTTAAATTAAAAGTTAGCGAGGAAGGAGGATAACTATTTGTATAAATGTTCTCATTTTCCCATTTTAAAATGAAAAAGGGCCTTTACGAACAAAGAGAGAAATTGTTCTTCTATATAGAATAGAGAATGGACAGAGAAACTTCTGTGACTTTCTTTTTTAAAGAGGAGAATAAAAACTCCAAACCATATATAATTTTTCTTTTTTCATTAAGATCAGGTTAAAAACAGCATTGCTGAATGCTTTCATTTTTTTTTCCTTTTGTTAAGGGCTGAAATTATGTAAAAATACTTTTTAAATTGTTTTTGAGTGTTTTTTTATTTAATAGGAGATTTCCAAGTATAGAATGAGCAGAGAATAAACCATCTGCTACCTTGTCTCATGTGGCAGTTCCAGAGGTGACCAGATGTAGCTCTGTTAAGGTGAGAGGGATTCCTGGTCTTAGACTCTTACAGTCTAGTAAATTCTGTGGAAGGCAAAGGTTTCATCTAACTGGAGCTAGTCATAAGCTCAAGAAACTTGAATTAATTTTTTCAGCTCTTCTGGGAACTTATTCTAGGATTTTGATGTTGTATCTTTAATGCAGGTTATGTCTGATTTAATCCCAAATGGTTGGGTTAATATTGGAGATACCACTGATGAGTAAAAGCACATTGGAGAACCATAACATTTCTGCTCCTCTCTATCTACCACATTTCAAGGGATGAACAAATAAATAATATTTGGTGCTGCACGTAGCTGTCCAATTTGTTTCATAGCCTGCACCTTCTTTTGTTCAGTACAAAGAAAATTAGATATTTTACTGTAATTCAATCATTAAACATTGGCTTGAAGTCTATGCTCCAGCAGGGATGAAACGCTGGGAAGTGTCACGCCTCCCATATGTGATTGTTCTGGACATGTTGAAGAATCTCTACAGAATCCTACTTACAAGCACTATAACTGTGCTTTAAAGTTGGGTAAAGTTATGGTTTCTTAAAAGGTGAAAATATTGGATTTTTTTCACTGTCTGGGGAAGAATTTTGAAATGTCCAACAAAATGTTGAAAACTTCTGCTTCTTGACAATATTTCCTGAAAAAATAGCTTTTCATTTCTGCTGTAGTGTACGGAAATATTCTGGTTTTGTTCTTTTTGCAGTTCCATTATCACACAAGGATTTTGATCTAAAAAGGAAGTTTCAATTAGTACCTTATGGTACTATGGAACAAGACTGTCCAACAAATGGACTCTTAACAGCTTTCCATAAAGTGAAGCAGAGAACAGTTAACCTGAAAATATGAAATGCATTACAGGTTTTTGGTTTTTTTTTAATGTAATGGGTTTTTAGTTTGAACAGTTACCCTGCTCCCAAACTCTTTGAGCTTGTTTCCACTAATAGTAGTTGTTAATCAAAATAGGTTTGGTGGGGTTTTTTTGTCTATTTTTTTTGTCTGTGTGTAGATTTTTGATAGCTTGTGTTAGAGTGGCAGGAGATAAGAGGTAGAACTGGTTAGAACCTTGATTTAGATGCACTGCAAGCTGTGTTATTCTTCCATACCTCTATATACATTGTTTTATTGTTGTTTTATCTGTTGGTTGCTTATGACTTCTTCCTGTCTCTTTTAGTTGATTTTGATTTGTGCATTCCTGAAGCTGCACATAAGGTTTTCTTAGCTGTTGTGAAGCTTTTTGATCCCATTTGAGGCTCTGGGTTGTGCTTACAGCAACGTATCATTATCTCTCTTGCCACATTCAGCTCATAAACTTAATTGGAAGGAAAACTACCACCATGGCTGCAAACTTTCTGGGTGCATGCAAAACAAGTAGGTGATGAAGGAGAAGAATTACAGGTTCTAACTTCAAACAGTTGCTTGCAAGAGTTAGGTTATATTCCCTCCTTACTCTTCACATTTTTTTTGTGGCCAGGAGTGGTATTGGTTACGCATCTCCTGCTTTCCTGTGTTTGTGCTTGATGATACTCTTAACAGACAGGGAATGGTAAAGTAGAAGTTGTGTCTCTCCTTTCTATTCTGATTCAATGTCAACTGTGCAAGAATATTATTAAGTAAGCTATTACTTGTTTCTGGTAAGCACCTACAGATAATTAAGTTACAAACATTTCTCTAGAGAACCTGAGTTTCCAGTAGATCAGAGATGGAAAAAGAAGGCTGATGAACCTACCTGGAAAAAGATACCATATAAATAAAAAACAGCACAGAGATTGTCAGCACAAAACTTCTGAAAGATATTGCCCTTTTGCTAGCATATGTAAATTATTTGCTGTTGAAGACTACAGCTTAGGGAGGAGTTGCTCAGCCTCATACAGTGTCTTGTCATCTGCATTTAGAGTGCAAAAGAGGAAGGGTGTTTAGTCTACCTTAGACTAGGTAAGAGACATGCTTGCACACACAGTATTTGCAGCTGTGCACATCCACTCACCAGAAATGTGTCCCCAGTGGTCTGTAACTTTGTCTCATTCTTGCTACTATCACCTTGTTTCTCTGCCAGCTGGTGTGACAAGGAAAAGAGTAATATGTGAAATCTAAAAGTGATATCTTGACGAGAGGTCTTAACTTTAAAGATGACGTAAGGTGTGATTTGAATGAGTTGATTAAGAAGCTTTCATAAAGGCCTTTGGAATCATAAAATTGCATACCTAACTTTTTTTCTTCCACATTTAAGAGGTACGTCTAGAGGGAGAAAGTACTTGTCCTGAATTAACTCTGTATCTGGGAGCTCCTGAAAAGTACAGACCATACTAAATGGGAGGGTGAATCTGGGCATTTCATCTCTTGGAGTCACTGCTGCTTTTGACATATTTCATTTGTTTTTAAGAGTCAAAGGACAACTTATTGCTTTTCTAAATGCTTTGACTCGTGCTTCCAACATTGTGGTCACCAAATCCACAAGTTCAAAGTAGTCATAAAATGATAGTCGTGTAAAATGCTGCTGCTTGTGATCTTTAATAGCTTTGGAAGCCAATTAGGTCTGTAGCAAGGGAGGAAATGAAGGGTTTTTGTTTGTTCCTAACTCTGCTCTTCCCCACATACACACTACAAAGATCCTTTTAAAATACCCTTAGCAACACTGTAAATACCAGATTTAGAACAGTGAGAGTCTGCTGTTTTAGCAAAGACACATGTGCTGTTATTATCAAATAAACATTAATTTGGTATTCTTTCTTCATTCCATCTGGAGGCAATTCACAAATGTTTGTCACTCCCTTTAAGACAAACATAATGCAAAGCAAAGTTGGAAGTATGGAGAACTGGAGAATCACACATTAATGCTATATTAACATCCAAAGATGCAGAAAAGCATCTGAATATTTTTGACTACCCAAATACCATTAAAAAAAAACGTATCTCACTAATTTGACAACAGCAATGCTGGCAGACTTTAGGGGAGATACAGAACTGAAATTTTTTTACTTGCATCTCTTCTTACTTAATCCACATCTTCTGAATTAGATTGTTTTGTATGCTTTTTTTTTTTTTTTGTGGTCATCTTTTTGTCCTAAATCTCTTTCCACATTCTGTTTATAAACAGGAAGAATAAAAATTTATCTTTTCTGTATCTTAGGCTTTCACAAGGTAATGGAAGGAATCCACAAAGCCACTGAACTTGGCTACCGTCCTGTTAAGGTAAAAGGAGTGTTAATCTACTCTTTTAACTGTTATTGTTTTTTACTATAACTTGTGATAAAAGTTGCAGCTCACCTGCTAAGGAATTTATTTCCCCCCCTTCTTCTCCTCACCCCAGATAATTTTTGGTAAGTCTGAAGATCACATCAAGAGATATTTGGGGAAATTCGTATCTCCTCATGCAGCTCAAAGCATAGTTCACTCTGCCACAAAGCATATTGATAGCCTAGCAGCAGGCTGCTGGGTGGTCCTGCTCTGTACTTGCCTCCTCCTGCCCCCTGTATTGAGTTGGCACTTGTCTGACCCAGCTATGAACTTGGCTGAGGGAGTTAATAGGCAGAAAACAGCCCTGCAGAAAGACTTTTTTTTCTGGTTTATCTCCTTCATCTGCTCATTGCAGACTCTGATGAGGGCCAGTGTTAGAGACAGGCAAAGGGAGTTTTCCTTTGGAGGTGCAGGTAAATCATCTTAGCTGTAATATGAAACTTCACCCTAACTCAGCTTACAGTTTACAGTTCTGTAGCAGTTGTTCCCTTCTGTTTCACCAGTGTTTTGGAAAGTTGAACAAGTGTAAGTAGTTTAGGCTATAAAGCTCTGAAAAATACCAGCCAAAATTCAGACCCTCTGTCTGAGAACATTGTCCTGCATCAACAGCTCTTCTTAATTTAGAATCATTTGTAAACTTACTTATTATACCTTCAAGTCCTGCAGTGAAATCATTTATGTAAATGTTAAAGAGAATCACAGAATCGTAGGGGTTGGAAGGGACCTCCAGAGATCATCGAGTCCAACCCCCCTGCCAAAGTGGGTTCCCTACACCAGGTCGCACAAGTAGGCATTCAGGCAAGTCTTGAATATCTCCAGAGAAGGAGACTCCACGACCTCCCTGGGCAGCCTGTTCCAGTGCTCCGTCACCCTCACCGTAAAGAAGTTCTTGCGCACATTTGTGTGGAACTTCCTATGCTCCAGTATCTGGACCCAAAACAGAATTCTAGGGAACCGCTATAGCAAATGGTCACTAGCATGCCATAACTCCATTTACTATCACCTGTTTGACCCCAAACTTTTACAGAAATGATTGGCTTCTCTGCTTTCTAATTTTAGGTGTCTGCTTTTCCTGCAGGTAAACTGTGTGGTGATGCGAGGTTTGAATGAGGATGAACTGCTGAACTTTGTGGATTTCACAAAGGATCTGCCCCTTGATGTGCGGTTCATAGAATATATGCCCTTTGATGGTAACCATTCCTTCTCTGAGATTTTGCTTGGTATATGGGGTGCCATGAATATATGTGAATCAGGTTGGGGTTATTTACTCCTTGGGCTTTTCTCCAGAAGTTTTGGTGAGCTCTCCTGGGGAATTTTGAAATCCTCTGATTTTATTTCATTTGCACCTTGCCTGTCTTCTGTGGGTACACTGGCAAAAGATTAGTAGCATAATTAGTTGGGACTGAGATGCCTACAGGGAAAAGTGAGATCTATGGGCAATGTAAAGGTTGTTCTTTCCTAACTAAAAAAAGAAAATCCACAATCTACACTTGTGCTGGTTTTGTTAATTTTAGGCAATAAATGGAACTTCAAGAAGATGGTGAGCTACAAAGAAATGCTTGATACAATTAAACAACGATGGCCTGAATTAGAGAAATTGCCCTGTGAAGCTTCCAGCACAGCCAAGGTGGGAATAGACAAAGAATATATATATCATACATATTATATATCACCTCCTTTTACCCCACATCCCCAGAGTCTGATAAGTTCAGCATTTATATTTAAAAAAAAAACAACAACAAAACTACTACTTAGTGTAGTAACTGTGGAATTTTGGTCAAGCTGCACTCATGTGGTTTGACACTTATTTAAAACACTGGTTGTAATTTTTCCCTCTAGAAACATAGTATGTTTACTAAATGCATCAGTGAGATATAAAGAATGACAGGCTTGCATCCTGTATTCACACATTTTGAAACTTTTCACTGTCTACGTCTGTGTGTCTGACTGCACGTTAATGAACTTGGTGAAACAGCTGTTCACTGAAATAATAGCATTGCTTTAGCGTGCAAAGTCACATGGGGAATCTCTGACCCACATGAATCTGTATCTTATGTCTCTCTGACTAAGAACATTCATACTAGCATCACCTGCAAGTCAGCTACAGTGGCAGACGCATAACAAACTTGTGCATTTCCAGGAATGGAATAGAATAGGCTGGAACTTCTGACAAAGCTGATTTTGCTTTACTATCTTGTGTAACCTTAGAACCAGAGAAAGTTTTTGTTAAAGTGTCTTCTGGTCTTTGGGCAAACAGAAGTTTTAAAATGAGACCTTTAGTATTGATTTTTTTTTTTTTTCTCCTCTCCATTTCTATAGAGCTACAAGGTGCCACATTTCCAGGGACAAATTAGTTTTATCACCTCCATGTCAGAGCACTTCTGTGGATCCTGCAATCGGCTGAGGATAACAGCAGATGGGAACCTGAAGGTTGGTAGTAGAAACATGATTCTCTTTGCTTTTGTGAGGCTAAACTGGCGTTGAAATTCTTCCCTTAAAAGTAGATAGGTTGAAAAGTAGGATGGACAGATGCTTAATTACTATAAGCTAACTTCTAAATTATCTATCCTTTATTTTCTGCTGTACGTATTGTTTAAGTTTCTTGGGCTGTTAGGGAAATGCTGTAACACCTTTTTTGGTTTCTCTGTTTTGCTAACATAGTTAATTTCAGCTGCAAAACATCAGTTTCAGGGCTTATAAATATAAATATTTATTTTAGTCTTTGACATAAGAACATCTTAAACATATGACCAGCAGATGATTTCCCATTGAATTTAGATGGGGGAAAAAAATATCTAAGCAGTGGTTAGGGCTTGGCTTTTGTATTCCACAAGGATCCTGTTCTGTTTCACCAAAGATGTCCTTGGAAATCTTATTCAAGAACAGCCTGCATATTTGCTCAGCAGCTGTAGAAAGGGGAGGAATAACTATTTCCTGCCACGTTGAAACTGGCAGTTTCTAGGGGAAAATTAAAGTTTTCAGTTAAAAATTGGCACTTATACATTGTCACCTAATATTGACAACAGCTGTGCTGCTGTCTAATGTCAGATGACCAAGGTAGCCTGAAGGCCCAATGGGCTTAAACGTTATGTAAGCATCTCAGGCTGCCTGTGCATGAACATGAAAGAGAGAGAAAGCAATCTCCATCAACCTTGTATTTCTTCAATATCTAAACCTCTACAAAACACCTTTCTCTGTAGTTACTAAGAAGTACTTATAAAAAGATGGCATACAGTAATGATAGAACTGAAACTTAGCTGTATGACAGAGAACAACAAAGCCCTAAAAAAAGCCCTAGAAGGATTATAAGCTGAGTTGACTGAGGAGGGTAAGGAGAGCAGCGATCTTATAAAATAAGAGAATTGACAGTCAAAGAAATGCTCTGTTGCATAGTATTTGCAGTTTGAAGGAAATTTGCCAACATGGAATCTGCTCAGTTAAAGGAGGAAAAGATGTAAACCTAATGAAACTTACTAGCTATTTCTGGTAGCTTTGTGAGCCTGTTTTCCTTTTTGAGGAAGTCGGTCTGGTGTTGTTCAGCAGGACTGCTAAAGGTAGCTGTGCTTATCTGCGTTTTACAGTACCAGATTCCCATCAACACTTTTCTTTAACTTAAAAGCTCATTTCAACCAGACTTTATGTAAGGACTTATGTCTTAAAGTTAATAAATTGTATGTATGAAAAAAGCATTTTTGTCTCACTTTCTTAAAATAAATTCAGCTGCCTCATGGTGAGCTCAAAAAACAATTACTAGGCTGCCTCAGCACCCAAAAAGACTCTTAAACAACAGGTAAGCAATGTTAAGGGATTCATAATTCCCATTTAAATTTCCTCACTCTTCCCCCCCCTTCCTTTTTTTTTTGCCTTCTATCTCTTAGAAGATACTATCTATTGATTCTGATTGGTTGACCCATTATTGAGCAAAAACGTATAGCCACTTGTTTAGTGTTCTGTACAGAAGAATGACTTATGGTTTTGATACAGTCATATTTTACAAGCTATGGAAGACACATCCCTAGTGTTCTGTTTTATAACTGCAATTCTAATGAAAAATTGAATCCTCCAAGGGATTAATGGTTTTGTATGAGGGTCAGTATGAGCTTGTGTTCAGTATTACTCAGCATCTAAAAACCAGAATTCAGAAAAGGGCGTGATATGACTGTTGGCTTTCATTAGTAAGCTGTAACATATCCATGGTTTGTCTTCCCAGCATCAGACTAGCAAAAGGGAAGAATAATAGTGTTAAGACTTAAGAATGATAGCAAAGTATTGTGCTTACTTGTTAGCATAAGTCTTCCTTTCAGAATTGAGTGACGTATTTGATAGCCTACGAAACCATTTTATGTTTTCAAGTAGCAGTTACACTTAGTCATACTAATGGTGAAATGTTTGTTTTATGGGCTCAGCTCATGCTGCTCTTAGCTGCAAATAATCAGTAGGGTATGCTTTTCCTTAAAGCTGACCATGGAGAGTTGATTTGGTTCACAGCTTGGCTTGTAAGGCAACTATTACAACAGCATTATGTTGTCATCTTCAGAGACTAACAGAGCTGTAGGAGTCTGTGAAATAAGATGGCATTGTCTTGAGGCAGCAGCTGTGCAGCTGACTTTCCACTTCACAGAAATCTCTTATCATTGACCCAAGCCTTGTCTGTTATAGGAGGATCACCTATTTTAATCTTTCTTGCTTCTTTTGTTTCCTTTGGTTGACTCTAGGTGTGCCTGTTTGGGAGTTCAGAAGTGTCCTTGAGAGATCACTTACGGTCAGGTGCCTCAGAAGAAGAGTTGGTTCAAATCATTGGAGCAGCAGTGAGCAGAAAAAAGAAACAGCACGCTGGTATGTTTTTTGTACTGGAGGAATAACAGCAGTGAGCAGGGTAGGCAGTGTTATTCTGTTGCAGTGGGAAATGTTGACTTGCCAGAAAAAGGGAAGGAAAAGGTTCTTAAATGAAGCTGCATTAGTTTCCCCTCTGCTAAGAGCATTTTTTGATAGAAAGTTTTTCATTTACGAAGCCTACAGGTCCTCCAAAATTCGAATGCCAATTTAGAATTTCCTAGTCCTTCACAAGATCTGGCACCCTGACTGTCTAGCAGTCTTTCAATGTGCCTTTTGTCTTCAAAGAGGTGCAAATACCATTGCTAATTATCACAACAGTGAAGTGTAAAGCTAAGCAGAAACCAGCAGGGTTGTACTGGATCCCTGTTTACCCAGAAAGTTAGCTTGCTGTAAAATAAGCACTAAAGCTGAATTAAGCCAAGTACAGCTACTTCATTAAGATGTTTCTAGAAGTGTCAAGCCTTTTTTGAGTACACCGAAATACATTGCCAATTTAGTGCTCTGGATAAGGTAATGATGCAAGGTCCATGATGATACAATCTTATCTGCATGCTGTGTCAGTCTTTTATATATATTTTTTTTATTTTAATTTATATTGACATAAACTCTATTTAAGTCACATCTGAGCCTCAGCATGTTGTGGTAATCTGACCGGATGTGAGAATGCTGACCTTTTACATATTAACTGTCTTCATGAGCATGGAATAATTGCCTTTATGTTGGTTCTCTTGTTCTCTTGCAGGTTTCTACCTGTTTACTAATAGTTGGTTTTACCCTTCTTTAGTTACACGTCAAACAAATTTAAGCAGCAGCTTGTAATTCTAACCATAGGCTTGCTTGTAAAAGTGCATTTTTCTGACCCAGATAAAATAGTGCCTTGTAAACCAAAAGGTAGGAGGGAAAATTGATTCCTTTACTTTTAGACTATCCATTTCTGAGTTTCTGATTTGGGAAAGTGAGGTGAATGTTTTCCCATCCAGTAAAGGCATTTCTGCCATTAACAACCTGACTCTTTCTTTTTCTGGCTTGTGTTAGTCTCAGTACTATCCTCGAAGATTTAGAAGATGAGACTTCTTTGAATTGAATCACTGTTAACAGCTTACCCCTACAACTGATAAAGTTAAATGCTATTGTTAAGAAATAAGATTGTCCTAATGTGTTTTAATTCTGTGCTACTTGGACTATAATTCAGATTACAGAAGGTTCTCTCATACATAGCATCTTGGAGACTATGGCAGGTATTTTATTTTAATATCATGCTAGATTCCTCCTTCTCCAGCTCCCCTGATCTTTATTGAGCTTTGGTTTTCCTAGCGTGCACGTTGCACTGTGAAGAGCAGAAAACTAAATATATATGAACCAGATGCATGACTTAAAACCTAAAAAGCTAGGATTTTTATGTGTTCCTTATTTTATTTCTAGGCATGTTTAACATTTCCCAGATGAAAAACCGTCCAATGATCCTGATTGGTGGGTGACAAATCAGTACGTAATAAACATAACATCATTTTGTTTAGTTTATGTCTTTTTGGGAGCAGAGTGGATTGGGCTTTTATTTTGAACATGTATACACTTCTGGTTTAGGAAGAGAAACATTTTTCTTAGTTCTAAGCATAACTGTATTTTAAGCCAAATTTTAGAAAAAGGAAAGGTTTTACATCTCCATCCTCTGACTGTTTTTATTTTCTCTAATTCTGAGAATCATTACATTTTCCAAAGGGATCACTAGCTTCCTCTTGCCAGTCTGCTGTCTTTGTGCCTAACAATACTATACTAACTAATCAGGCAGTTTAAGGATGAGTTTTATGAAGTTTACTAAATTGCAATAGAAGCATAAAGGATTCAAGACTTATTTTTATTCCTGAACTAAGAAATTCTCCTTTGGCTACAACATATAAAAGCAACAATGTGACACACGCAAGGCTTCTCAGCTCCTTAATTCTTTGCTTTGGAATCTGGAACTTGTAGTTTTGTTATTTTGAAATTTCTTCTTAATGTTGCAAAGTCTCAGGACATAACCATTTAAACTGCAGAATCTGGTGTCTCACCACTCCTGCGGATAAGAGCTTTTGTTTTTATTTATTTCTATTAAAGATACGTTTATTATCTTTTCATTCATTTTGAAGATCTCTGCACGAATGATGAGGCACTGCTGGGGATTCTCTTACAGACTTTTTTCACATATCTTTCTGTGTGGCACCTCTTCCATGCCAACACTTCCTTATTTTGTAGCATAGCACTCTTTGGGAGTACTTGTAGGTCCTTGGAAGCAGTGAAACTGCTTCTGATAAGCTCTTTACAATACCAGGCAAAGCATCATTAGCAATATCAATAATCACATACAAGAAAAGGTTGACTTACCCAACAGGTGAAGAGGGTCTCTAGCTATAAGGCATTCCTTTTCAGGAAGCAGCCTCCATCCAAGAGATGCTCTCTCTTTGGAGGCTGGCCCTTAAATGAGCCTAGGGGGTGGACCCAGGGTCACATGGGAAGCACAGGTGAATTGCTTGCAGCTGTGCCCGGTGGGCCAGCCACCCCATTCACCAAGTGCTCAATCATCAGCTCAGGCCGTGACATAACAGTTCCTTTACACTTGTCTTCTTCAAAAGACCAAGTGGTTGTGAGAGTTAGTGTTGCAACATTTGTTGGGCACTGTTCTATTGTGTCTTATCAGTTGGGGGGGGAAAAGTGTAGTGGGGTGGAGGAGAGTGGATCAGTAACACTCATTCTCCCATTAATGCTGTGCAGCATAAGCACAGCTTTTAAAGCAAGTTCCCTTGCAGGGAAGGATAGTGTGCATTAACTGGTAGGCTTTGCTACAAGTGATGTAGTAACAGCTGTATTTTGAAGCAAGAGCCTAGTGATTTTACTGCTGTTGCCTTTGTTGAGAAGTACATTCTTCAGAAGTCTCTTAATACTGTTACATTTCACTGGGAATATTTTTCCCTTGCTAGACCGTCTTTTTCCATGTTGAGTTTTAAAGTGAATGGCTTTGGTGATGCAAGACTAACTAGCTGAGGTTGCTTTTGCTCTTTTGTATTTGGTGACTGTCTTATTGTGTTCCAGTCAAAGAGGAAAGACAAACTATTGCCTGAAATGAACGCTCACTTGTTACAGGAGGAAAATATTTTTTTCTTTAAAGATGATGGAAAATACTAAACTTCCTACAGTTGGATGAAACCTACATCATTTTACAAAATGCTTTTGAAAATATCCTCACTCTGAAGTTAACATTCATAGTAATGTTTTGGTATGTAGAGATCAGATCTATCTTAATTCCTTTTGAAAAGTACTCTCACATTGTCTGACATACAGTAAAAGAGAGAGAGAGAGATCCTGTCCGTGTCCTCCCCAAGCTGTTCCATCTCCTTTTGATAGCAACTGATGTCAATATCTTCATCAGTGGAACAGGGTCCATAACTGGAGATGAGTGGAGACAGTCTCACTCTTTGCACATGGAAAATTGCATTTTAAATGACTAGAATTAATTTATTGAACGCTGTGGAAAACATTGAGTGGTTTCACTAGTCCCAGTATGACAAACCTGGCTTCTCCTCTGCACTGTAATTGGCTGAGTCTTTGCTGTAATATGGTTTGTATGCTACTCCCCTTACTAAAACACTCCTTTTGGCAGGTTGTTCTCTTCACAGTTTCATTTCAGTATTGGAGAGTTCTTCTTGCTTTTAAGTATCTCCTAGCTTCTTTCTTTTCCCCCATCACCACGCTTGCTGGAAGCTCACTCACTTAACTTTCTACCATACTTTTTACTATTAGTAGGGTCAAAAAGAGAAATAGTTTGTCACATAGGTTCAGTTGTATAACGTGTAGTACTATGGAAAACCATTATCCATTTTTTTGTATTTGCATGAACAATGCATGAACACAGATGACTGAACAAAGGCAAAACAAAGATATTTGCATGCATTGCTGTCTGTTGCTATATTTTTACTTCCCACTTTACTTGAACTAACACTACTTCCCTTTGCTACTCCCTACTGCCACACAATTGTGCTTACCTCCTTTACACTTGTCTGCCTTTGCAGTCCAGATTCCATTGAAGACAAGACACTGCAGGGGATTAGCTTTAATTTCAAAGCTAATCAGGGGAACCAGAAGAATAATTTGAGACTCTGCATTTTTGAAGGCACATTCACATTATACAGCAGGAGCTAAAGAGAAAGGGGAAGAAAAGATTACTATGCATAATTTTCTGTGCTCTTCTAAAGCAGAGCATTGTTATTTTCAAAACAGTTATGTTCACTTAAATCCATTTCTGTAAGGGTAAAGACTTTATAATTTTGGTGGATAAGCCATCAGTTGTGGATCTGAAAGGGCTTTTGCTTGAATTTAAAGTATTATTGGGATTATATTTTAAAAAGTATATGTATCTGTGGATGATTAAACTTCAGTAATGGGCACTTTTCAATCAACAGTTGGAGGATGAGATGAGAAAGCTGCTAACTACATCAGTCTCTAGTTACAGCAGAATTTGGGATTAACAAGGAAGATTAATAAAAAGCTGAGGAACACAGCTAGAACATTATCCATCCTGTTATTGTAATATGGACAGTTCAAGGCAATATCTGTATGTCTGGGCAGTAAAGGTAACTCAGCAAGGTGCTCCACATTTCTCATGAAGTAGAGCAAGGAGAACTGGAGCTCTAGGAGAAGAGTGGTTATCAGTGAGTTTACTAAAGTAAGACTTAGCCACTTCTATACCATTTTCTCTATACTTACTTAATACAAATCTCTTCTTTTATGTGAAAAAGACTCCTTCTGTCTTGACACTTGGCATTAATACCTCTGCAAATGCCAAAACCAAGGGATTAAATGTGAAAGGGGCAGGAGGGCTGGGAGCTATGCCAGCTCAACTTGGAACATAGCTCTTAGTCGATTTAAAATATGTCTTTGAGAGGAGTGTGATTTTTCCAGTGCTTAAACTTCAGCTGTCAGTAATGTGGTTAGAGCTGGCAGTAATAAGGAAGGTTCCCATCACAGAGCCACCCTGCATGCTGTAGACAGTGCAATTGCAGGTGGTGCTTCTGGTCCTTGCTGCCCTCAGGTTCTGGAATGTCCCTTCTCTGCAGGGGATGAAAGCAGGAAAAGTGTAGCTGCCTGTGCTAGAAGAAGGGTTTTGGAAAAGAGGAGCTGAGAATCCAAGTGCAAGAATTTTTTTACTCACCCTGCCAAGCTTTCATAGAAGACTGGAGCTGGGAGTCTCAAATGGGTGCTGAGATGCTGTTTTAGGCCTGCTGTTCTTGTAAGCTTTCTTGGCTGCTATTTCTCAGTAAGCGTTGATACTTTTTAGAAGCAAGTTGTTTCCTTTTGTCAGAGACTTCTAAATAAGTGTTTTAAGTCCTAGTGTTCAGAATAACAAGTCAGCAAATGCTGGTGAATGGGAAGACAAAGCTTGAAGAGAAAAGGGGATGTTTGCAGGTTTCTAAAGTTTTTCCCAAGCAAGGTTCCACCAGTGTTCTCAGCTGCTGCAGACTTAGCTTAACTTTCTGGTTAGTCAGGCATCCTCATGTTATTTTCTTTTCTTTTTTCAGAGCCTGCATTGATGTCATTCCCTCTATGCCAAGATGCCCTACAGAATCTCCCATATTCAAAACTGTGGGGCCACGCATTTAGCCATTGGCTAACTTTGAGAGCAAGTTTATCCAAGCAAATGGGAAAAGCATTAATAAGAAATAAACTTACAAAACAGCTTATCCTGCCAAGACTTCACCCAGAGCAACAGTGGTACCTAAGGACAGGAATTCTACAAACCCAGCTGAGAGGCTTCTGTGACTTCCAAAAGGACTTGAGCTCCACATCTGACACAAAGTGCCTTGAGGCTTCTTCTGTTGGCCAAGTTTCTATGGACTGTCAGTCCAAAGAGGCAAGTCCAGGATCTGAATTCTCTAACAGGAATTCAGGATCTTGCACCAGGATCCATCGTGCCTCTAATAACTTGACTCACACAGATGAGGAAGGACGGGCCTCAATGGTGGATATTGGAGGGAAACCAGATTCCAGAAGAAGTGCTGTTGCTGTTGCTTTTGTTCGCCTGGGTGAGAAGGCATTTGAGATGGTGAGGCAGAACCAAATGAAAAAAGGGGATGTGCTGGCAGTAGCACAGATTGCAGGAATTCAGGGAGCTAAACTGACCAGCCAGTTGATCCCTTTGTGTCACAACATCCCTCTTAGCCATGTTGAGGTGTCCCTGAGCCTGGATGAGGCCAGTTGTGCTGTGATGATTCGCTGCTCCTGCCAGACCTGGGGGAAGACAGGTGTGGAGATGGAAGCTCTGACAGCTGCCAGCCTGGCTGCCCTGACTGTGTATGACATGTGCAAAGCAGTCACTCATGACATTGTCATTGAGGAGGTGAAGTTGCTTAGTAAGACAGGTGGGCAGAGAGGAGACTTCTCTAGAAGTTTAGAGTCTACATCATATCCAGACACTTCTAGCCCTCTAGATAACCACTGCTAGAACACAGCCTCTTACAGAACAGCTTTCACTCAGCAGTAGTAAGCTTGTAGACCTCAGTATATTACTATACAACTCTCATTTTGCCTTACCCTGTCACTTATTTCTGAATGAACAGAGGAGCCACTTAGCCAGCTGCTGAGTAAGTGGGTTTTTTAGAGGACAGACTTCTCTGCTCAGCCAGTAGTTTCATTTTAGTGTCCTCACCATGAGGTTGAGCAAAGATTCCTAGTTATAGTACAGAAGGTTTCTTTTTCTTCTTGCTGTGAAATATTCACAGCTGCTGTCATCACACCATGCAACTGTGAGCTCTGGAAATGAAACAAGTGTTGAAAGTACTGTTATTTGGCAACTATTCTTAAGTCAAGGATTAGGATTTCAGAACTGCTTCTGTCTGTCTGTGCCCCCATCCCCTCAGATGAGTTTAGATGGTGACAGGGAGAAGAAAACAGCTCTGAGAATTTATTGTACGTCAGAGATTATAGTCGTGGAACAGTCAGAGTCAGAGGGTCAGCTCCTGTCCCTTTTCAGTGCTACTGCAGTGGGAAATATCCACCTCTCAGTTTCAAAACTAAAGGAGATTGCAGCTGCCCAGCTCTACCTTGAACACTGTGAAATATGGTGTAGAACATCAGGTTTCTGGTGTTGGAAGAATTACTTGGCTGATCTGAAAGGTAACTTTTACAATTTCAGAAGCATGTTCCAGCATTTTGATCTTGGCACTCAAATACATTGAGGCACTGTCTGCATGCATGTCTGCATTAAGAGTTTGATTATGCCATGCATGGAAGTAGGTTTCAGCTCTCCCTGACTTTACTAAGAGCTGTCAGATCAAGCCCCAGAAGACTACACTTTTTTAATTTTACAGTGCAGCTCCTAGTAACCACCAAGCTGCGTGGTCCTGACAGGGGAAAGACTAAGACCAGCAGCCACTTACTTGGAGGACTGGGATTGTTGCTCTTGCCTCAGCCAGTGTGTTTTCCTGCATTCTTCTCTAACTCGCTTTCCTGAAGTCTGCAAGTATTTAAGTGGTCCCATGTAAGTTGCCAGAAGTCGATTGTCATGTAGCTCTGAATAGCTTTGATAATTGACTGTCCTAAAAAGAAGTTAATCAGCATTTCATTTCAGGTGGATCCCTTTTAAACATTGATTTATATGCACTGAAGATGATATTTTCAACTTTGGTTTACTTATTTTCTAGTACTTATGGCTAATGTGAAGCTCCATATGGTTCAGGGTGCTGCCTCTCAATACGCACAGAGAGTTGAAGACAGCTTTAACTTAAGGAGGCTGCTGGGAAAATTGTCTTAAACTTTGCAAGCCATTGCTTCTCATGGAATATGGTTAAACTGTGAGCATCAGTAAAGAACACAGCACAGTCACGCACATCCTGCTCCTTTAAAGTAAGCACAGGTCCAATATGAGGAGTCAGTAGAAAATGCTACAAATGTGTTCACTTATACATTATGAATCTCATACAGTAGTTAACCAGAAAGCACTTTTTCCATTGCAGGTTAATTAGATTCTTTTTTTCATTGTCATTGAGGTCAGGCACACAGAACAGCTACTGCTGAGCAAGCTCAGAAAAGCAGAGGGAGTCTACATAACTTAATAACAGAGATGCTCAACACTACAAACATTTGTAGGCCTATATTCACTGTTATATTCCTGTTTCCATCAATATCACTAAACTGTCTGTAAATCAATAGTAAGTCAGCTTAACATTGTACAGGGGATGGCAGTGAATTATCTCACTCGAACACCTTCCCCAGATAGACACTGAGAATTCCAGCTGACCCTGCAACCATAAGAGACCATGTTCATCTGTGGAAATGCTGTGCACATCATCTCCCCTCATCAGTGTAGAAACAAATCCCCTGGAAAAAGCAGCAGGCATGTAACCTGCTATGTTAGCTGACTTACACAAGCACTTAACTTCCCCCCCCTACCCCCACCATGCACAGCACACGCTGCCATCCCTTCGCCCAATCTTGAAAAATTAAAGAAAACCAGATATACTCAGTAGTAATAAAACAATGCTTGGGGCATATGATTCTTTGGCTTCAGAGATGTTTGCTGTCATGCTGTAAAACTCACAGAAAAGACTTAAGGTCATACCAGGTACATGATTACCACAGCACATGATTACCACGCACATCTTACCACTTAACGCACATCTCACTACATACTTTCCTGGGTTGAGAGTGACTAGAAGCTTTGGGCAAATGTACTTTGGTGCCATTTTATGCTCATGTTCTATTGTCAAGTCTCGAAACTATGCACATTTATAGATGATGAAACATACTTCAACAGAACATTTTACAAAAGAAATGAGCTGGTATATTTCAGTGGTGCTGGGTGGGCAATGGTACAATGTGATGAATACTTTTCGAAGGCTTGCTTTTTTGTTCACTGTTTTTAATAAATGCTTGTTGTAATTGTTTCACATTGTTTTGAATACATTTTTTTCCCATTCACTCATTGAAAGGAATGCTTGTTTTTTTTAGTCCTCAGCTTCTATAAGTAGTTAACTCAGGATGAGCAACAAAACAGACTTTGAAAGTTACCGTGATTAGTCAGCAACTAGGAGGAGATCAGTCAGGATAACATTACTGCAAGGAAGCTACTATTTCTTTTTATGTTGCTGAGTGAAACTCAGCTCTACCTGACCGTACTTAAATAGAATGATCTTGTAGGCTTAGCAGCATAATTTATCATTGCACCTTTAATCCTGCTGTCTCCCACTTCTCTATTACACATCAGTGGATGCGTATAACTTAGCATTGCTCTGTGCTGCAGTCATGTAAGGAAGGAGCACCTCACCCATTATCCTTCTTAGTGTAAGCATCCACACACTGAAATAAATGCCCACGGAACTGCCTGTACACAAATCCATCCCTCCTGAACAGTGAAAGTTGTAAGGGAGGTCCCCTTTCTGATCCAGCTGAACTGCCAGGAGAGTTCTCACCTTGTTTGCTACCTGGAAGGCCGGTAGGAAGTAGTATTGGTGGAGCAGTTTGCTGTGACTTGCTGCTCAGTGCAGCCCCATAGGAAGCCAACAGCAGGCACTGTGGAAGAGGGCTGAGACTGTGGCCATACTGCTGGAAAGTTTCCCATCAGGCACAGCCTCAAAATGCTGCTTACCCTGGGACTACAGCACAGTACTTTACATCCACTTTCTGATTCCAGATTAGGAAACAGGTCCTAGATTTTTGACAGTTTATAATGCAGTAAAGCAATGAGCCTACCATGTCTTTCTGGAAGATACCATAAGGGCAAGTCATGCCACTAACGCTTTACATGCCAAATGCAACTGGAACACAAAGCAAGTGTTGCTTGCCCTTACAGCACATCTTTTATCCCCTCCTGGAAACTCATTTGTCCCAACTAATTTCCCATCTGTGTTTTATTGTCTCTTCCCTGCCAATCCAGCCTGTGTCTTTTGTGGCAGGCAAGCTTCTTTCCTTCCTGGCCACATCCTGAGGCCAGTCACCCCACCCTTAGACTGCCCTGGAAAAAAATTGGATGCAAAGTACCAAAAGAGAAGTCAGCAAAAGTTAGGCTCTAAATAAAATAGGGACCTCTTTCAGAATGAGAAGCACATAAAACCAGACCCTAAAAGCAACAACAGCTGAACACTAAAAACGGGAAGAAAATTTTAGCTATTCTAAGCCAGTGGTGACCTGCAGTAATTCTTCCTAAGTCACTGAGGTTACTCAGCTTCACGTGGGATTTGAGTGAACAGAATCTGGCCCTCCATCCCACTCCTCCTTGGCCCATAGCTGGCAGCTCCTGGCTGGCTCAGCAATAGTAAGGCAGGCATGTAACAGCTTAAAAATGGCTGTAACATAGTGTGTGCTTTGGCCAAGACACAGGAGTGCTAATTAGTTCAATGAAAACACGGTTTACCTCCCTCCACTTTCGACAGCTTTATTCCAAGAGCAGCTTAGCGTTTCAGCAAATGTGAAAATGGGAGTTGCTGGGTGCAGTGGGCTGACTAAGCTTTTTTGGGAGACTTCAGGACAAAGCCTCAACCTAGGTCTCAAAATCAAGTGATCTGAGGAGCGCTATAAAAGCTATGATGACGGCAAACCCCGTGACGTGCCTGGCACGCTCCCTGGAAAGGCACAGGGTGGAGTGGCTGAAGCCTTCCTCACAAGCTGGGCCTGAAGGGCTTTGGGTGAACTCAGTGCACCCTGTCATAATAAGAGCAGATTTTCATTTTGGTCTCCACTAGTCTATACAGCAGTAGCTGAGGCATAAATCCAGCTAGCTCCATCTTCTGTGCTGCCAGTGCCGTGTTTAGAAAGCCTTCAGTTTAGCACCTCTATTTTTGAGCTCATCCTATTTGCTCCTTTGATGAGGAGAAAGATCCCAGAATAGCAGAGGTTAAGTATGGCTGAGTGCAAGTTTAAAGGCCAGATGCCCCAAGATGCTGCTGAGACTTGCTTCTAGCAGAACTGCATGACAACCCCAGGCAGTGCTCAGATTCACAATCACAGCCTGACTGCAATGGTGGGACCATCATCCAGATTCTGGAGAGCCTGCTTAAAACCAGAAAACCTCTATACTCCTACTAAGCTCTTCCTCCATTGAATTAGCCTTAAAAAGAAATGCAACAGAAATGCTTTCCTCTATACCCAATTGATAATTTCAGGGTACATAGCTGAAAGGATGCAAGGCCAGCAAAAGCAAAGTTTCTGGTTCCAGTGTTAAGGGCGGCTTGGCTGCAAGGTGCATATGAGTGACAGGAGGCAGGGGAGGAAGAGGGAGAGACAGCAGAGGGTCGGGCAACTGTAAAGTTGTGTTAATATTATGCTTGGAAAAAACATACGCTAGCAGATACACAGCTGCTCCATTAGCTGTGCCCTGGGCCAGTTACAAGCTGGTGCAAGTTGTGGCATAGCTCCAGCAGCAGCAGAACTGCATGGCCTCACACCGGGCAAGGAACTGGTGAGCAGCTTCTGCTCCTGGGACCTAGGAAGGGGGGTTTCGTTTGCAGAGACCTGACCCTTTCCACCACTTCCCAAGTCCTTAAGGAACACCCTGATTAATGAATGGGGGTCATTTCATCACTCGAGTCTCCTCATGTGCAAAGTTCCAGATGAGCTGGAATTACTGCCATCGTGGGCAGCACGTGGGGCTGTCTTCTCCCTCCCCTGAAGCCGCCTCCAGGCTGCCACCCACAGCCTTCGTGTTACGGAGAGCTGAGCTTCCCCACCCCAGGCTGGATGCTGAATGGGAATGTTTCAGCTCTGTGTGGCTCACTTGGCTTCTGCAGATGGGCTCCTGGGGCCATCCTCAGTCCAAATCCAAGAAATAAGCAGAGGGGAGGGAGCAATTTTTGCTGCCCTCAAAGCCTCATCTCTTCTATTGCAGCTGGCAGTTCCGAAGGCTCCATCCTGCCAAGACTGGATCTTAATTGGGTTCAGTGGAAACAGAAGTTACTGCCAGGGCTGCTGTGATCCATGGCTTACAGGGAACATGGGCAGAGTTCGCCTGGTCCCTCAGGAAAGGGCCTTCAATAAAGTTAAGGGGAAAAAAAATCCCTCCAAATGAGTGATACCAGTGAAAGCCTCAAGCCGAGACCAAGGAGGAGAGGAGATGGCTCAACCAGGCAGTTTGAGGAGGAGCAGGCAGTACCACATCTGTGGAAAATCCTCCCTGCTCTGGCAGTGCTTGGAGAGGGGAAGTCACCAGCCAGCCCAACGGGCAGCCAGCAATCCCCAGGCCTTGCAGCAAATATAAGTACTAAACCCAAAGAGGCACACAGGACCTATCCCAATTTTGCCCAGAAACACTCCTGCTGAGGGCTGTGGGACAAAGCACAAGACATAGGAGGACCAGAACAAAGCCTCTTCAAGCATCCTGTCAGCACACAACATGAGGATACTACACAATACTTTTTCCAAGCCACAGATTTCAAACCCAATTGCTACAAAGGCCTCTGCCAGAGCTCACTCACACCTCTGCAATTAGGCACAGTCTATCCGCTCCTTCTGCTTTGAGGAGACACTCAGTTGGCCTCTGCCAATTCCTACTACACCCAAGATGAGCTCTTCTGACCTCATTTCCTTAACAGCACAGCATCCTGTCCTCTCAGCCACCATAGAGTCCCAGCAGCAGGAGGAAATCTGCTGTGCTCTCAGCAAAGCAAGCAGACAGCAGTCCGGATAATTTTGACATCATTTGTTCCCTCTTGCAGATTTTAGGTCCACCAGAAGAAGGCCATCACAGTAAGATCTTGCTCAGACTGGGAGCCTGAGAAGATCTCGCCTTGCTGATTCAGAGACACAGGGCTACCAAGAGCTTATGCAACCAATGCCATGCAGACATCTCAGAGCTGCTGGACCTGAGCGGTGCAAATGGGCTCTTGCTCTGGTAAAATGACTTTAACAGGATTTTCCAGCCAGTGAATGAGCTTTGACAGACACACCCAGGACACTCAGCCATAAGCAACACAACTGCATGCTGAAGGCTCTTGGCCAGCCAGACTGGGAGGGGTATTTAAACACAAGTTTCTTGCATTCATCTTTATAGCCTGCTGTTTTCCTTCGGGGCTCACAGAGGATGCCTCAGAGCACATCCTTATGGGATGTCCCACACATAGCTAAGGCATCAACAGTAACACTTAGCTGATCAATGGTAAACCATAGCTTTTACAAACCTCTGCCAGAGAACTCCAGTTGAACCCCAGCAACTGGAGGGGTTTTCATTTCCACTTCTCCAAAGCTGATATTTCAAGGTGTTTTTATTTCTTTTTAATCAGTTCGCAAGACCAGCTTAGAAGGGGGTTGAAGGAGGAGAGAGGAGGTATCTGCACAAAGTTCCACATGCAAGAGGAGCAGGGCTCAGCTCACTCAGTGTGTGTTTTGCAGTGTGGTTATGGGCCATCATTCCACCTTGACAAAGCTGTTATTTATTTACTTAAAGACTTGCATTCCGTGGAAAAAGATGCCCCAAGATAGTACTGTGTTTCTAAAATTAAACCCAGCTGGCTGGATAAGGAGCAAGCAAGGAAGGACTCCCATGTTTCACTAGCAGCATGAGCAAGGCTCCCCACATTCCAGGGCCTCCCCAGACCCACTGAGCTGCTGCAGAATCTGACAAGTTTTCCCCATGCCCTCAGCCAAAAGAGAGGCAGCTCCCTAGGGCTTGGGTCACTTCATATGAGAGCAGGGATGCAACTGTGTCCGACAGCATGGGACAAGGCCTTAGTAAGAGTGATTGCACTTGCTTCTCTAAGGCTCCAGGAATGCTCTCACTCTGCTGCTGGATAGAGGACATCCCATCAGATATCTGACACAAGTCAGCATGTGGCCCTTTCACATTTAGTGTGGACAGGCTGCATTTATGGTCCTTGTCTTATATCTAATCTATCCAAAATCTTCCTCCAGCTCACCCAACCCTCACTGCTGTAATTTGTTTTCACCAAAACCATTTATAGAAGGGAAGAACTCCAGTGTTCCTCCACCCTTGCCTGGCACCAGTAAGAATTTTCCCTGCTGACACGCTTTTGGCACCTGTTCCCTTGCTGACACACGTGCACAGAGGCCACATTTACATCAGCAAGGAGTTCAACTAGGAAACAAGCCTGTTGGAGCAACTGGTGATGGAGCTGCTGTTCAGAGGTTTTACAAGGGCTTACATTTAGCCTCATCCCTCAGACGAGATGTCTCCACACACACATGTGGCTGAAGCTCTCCAAAGGACAGGCCGGGCTCTGGTTGAGGCGCCTGGCCCTGTCAGGGGCAGGAGCACTTTCAAGGCATTTGGGAAGCAAAGTTCATGTGGATAACAAAGGCAGACAAGTGAGGGCCATGGGGAGGATGGCAAAGATATGCCCCAAATCTTACTGCTCTGCACCATAGAGCTCATATAGAGTGAGAGAAGAGAAATCTGATTCCAGCAATGGAATCAATATGATGCTTGGAATGCTCATAGAGCTCCTGATCCCCAGGTGCACAAACCAGCACCCCCTCGGCCTCAGCACCTCGGCTGGGAGCAGATAGAGGGCCCTTGACATCACGCATCACTTGTGACCAAGGCAGGAAGGCGAGCACAGTTCTTCCACTACAGGCCTGGATTGTGATCCAGGAGGACCTGACCACAGAGCATTGTGCCAGACCAACACTGTCATGCTTGCTAAGTTATTCAAATCATTGTTTGCAGATGGGAACACCAATCCGTCCTTCCCATTGCTCTGTACATTAGGCAGTGAGCACCTGGAGATGGATCTGCAGGCCTGAGCACTCTTCATCTCTGTCATGCATCTGGAGAAGGTAACATTTGCCATCAAATTACCAAAGTTACTCTTAGCAGATGTGGCTTCTGACCCTCAGCTTGTCCTAATTGCTTTATGTAAATGTCACTTTCCTGCCTCAGAAGGAGAAAAATCCAGCTGCACTGGTGACACCTCAGTTGCAGCGAGTACAAAAGGCAGAAGTATTTAGTGACAGTAAAGTTCCTTGCAGAGCTGATGGAAAGTGCTGGCAGAAGTAAGAGGAAAGAGAGTTGGCCATCATTCCTGTAAGAAGTTCTTAGGAAAGAGCCTGCCCTTCATCAGAGCTCAGCTATTTCTGTGATTATGTCCATCTGCCCATAATTATACTGATTCTGCTCTGTAACGCGCTGTCAGGACTACTGATCCCTATCCAAACTCCTGCTGCCTTCCTGTCTGGATCAGGATGCCAGCTTGGGTTAAAAATTAGAGAGTGAAATTGCTTCAATATCTGATTTAGCCCCTTCCTCCTCCCATCCTGCTTTGAGTTTGGGATGTGCTGGTCAGCACCCCTCTGGTAGACGATTAATTAGGAACAGATCAATAACTGGCAGCTGTATCACAAGGACATCATCTCACATATGGGACAAGATGGAGTCTCCCACTTGACCCTGGTTCAAGTCCAAGACATGCTTGGTTTTGCAGCCCAGCACTGACACTCTGAGAGCTGGCAGGCAATCAGCATCCCAAAGGCCACAGCTAGCTTGGGTCCCAATGTTATACTGATTCAGCTCTGGAGCTGCTTCTGCAGTGAAAGGTTGTGTGTCCCTGCTGGCTCCAGGGGCAGCTTCAGCTCTCCAGCTGCAGAAATGGCCTTCTCTGTATTTAAGGAAAAGTTTTCATTCTAGAAACCAGAAGGGAAGATGTTCTGTTACCATTATTTTAAGAGTAACATAGCTTGTGCAAGAATGTCCATATCAAGGATGCCACAGAGAAAGGGCAGCGAATCCTCCTGAGGTGAGGAAGTTGTAGACCGCCATGAGGCCTTCCCTCTGCCTCCTCTGCTCTAGGAAGAACAAAGCAAGGACTTCAGCTGCTCCTCACCCATCTTGCCCTCCAGACCCTTCCCCATCTTTGTAGCCCTCCTTTGTATGCTCTGGTCTTGCAGAGGCATGTGGCTGCCCTGGTGCAAGAGTACTGAGAGCAGGCATGGAGGGTTATCTGGCACCTCTTTCCTCACCCCAAGTGACCAACACTGTGGGAGAACCCAGGGAGAAGCAGTAAGTGAGATGGAACTCCTCATCACATTCATGTCATTTTTCATACTTTGATTATGGCTAGAAAGAGTTTTTTCTTTTGAACTAGGAAGATCTTCATTAATTGAGCATAGGAATAAAGAGAGGAGCTCAGCTGTGAGAGTAGAGGACAAATATTTGTCCTTAAAAAAGCAAAAAACTACCCTTTAGAAGAATCCTTGTTGTGTTTCCTTTCTAAGAGGCTTTTTCCTTTCAAAGGAGCGCTGGGAGCACGATTGGTATTTCTATTACTAGATCATTTTTGAAGCCTGGATTCTACTCCAACACAAGACAAAGACCCTTTTGATTTATAACAATAAAAATAAAAATAAATAAAACCACATTTTCTGAAACAGACAGAAAAAGAATTACTTGGGAGTGGAGGTGAATATTTGAGCTCTATCTCCCTGTTAAACATTGACCAGCAAGGCAACAGCAGTTCTGAGAGACCACGTTGCCAACCACTTTTCCAGCATCAGAGCTGATTCTGTGCACAATGGCAGCACTGCAAGGAGATCCTTGGGGACCTTCACCCAGGTGTTTTGTGGATACCTCAAGAAACTCAAGTACCTCTGAAAGACAGGGCAGTCACACTGATCCCAAGTGAATTCAGGAGAGACCCTCATCCCACCGCGTGCTGCCAGGAGGACACATTAGACATGCTTGTCCCACCTTTCTAGGCAAGAAGCTGACACACAGAAGAGGAAGCATGAGCTTCAGACAAGACATACTCAGCACCCTGCTTTCAAATAACAGTGAATACTCAAGGTGACAACTTCTTTTCACACACTCGACCCATAGTTTGGTGTTTGAAATCAAACTAAACCCACACTAAACTTTGGTTCGTCTCCCTACTATTTTAATCAACCTTGATATGCATTTCATTAGACATTTTATACCTTTTGTTCTTCTTGCCCAGAAACATCAAGATAAAAACCAGGTATGCCAAAATATGCCAAACTGTTTTATTCCTCCTCTGTTTCTTTCCATCATAAAGGCACACTGGAATAAGACATTTAGCTTTCTTAATTAGTCTCTATGTTGCTATTTTACACAAAAATTCAGTCTGCCAGACTAATGTTCCAAAGAGCAGAGCATCCCACCCCACCTTCCTCCAAAAATTTTAGCAGGTATACATAGGTCTACAAGCAGCATCACCCTCATTTCCTCTAATGAATCTGCACTGAGACCAACAGAGACAGGAAAAAAAGAGAAAAATAATAATAAAAGATGACCCTCCTGCTGAATATCTGACCAAAGTAGAGATATATAACAACTATGTCTCAGAGACAACAGCAAGAAGCCCCTTAGCTAAAGAAACATTAAATGAATAAACAAAATCTTGCTCAACAACCTTGAAACCCAAATTTCGGACTTCTGAGGGGAATGAAAGGGGCAAAAGTATTTTAGTATTTTGTTACCAGGCAACAGAATGCAGTTCCCAAAAGGCCAAGCAGATTTCTCCCAGAAGATACTATATCTACTATGGCAGAGATAAAAGTCATCTTTGTTTAAACAGAAGCCAAAGGTTAAAGTAAGGAGAAAGCAATGAATAATAGATCTTCAGAGTTACTCAGCACAACAGAAAAGCTCCCCTTATCCTCCTCCTCACTGCTGTTCAGGACAGCAAAACCCTGACACTATATTTGCTCAGAAAAAAAAAAGCCAGAAGGCACTTACCTTGCTTCTACGCAGCGGTGACAAAGAGCAGCAGTCTATAGCCACAACAAGGAGCCAAATGGGAAGATTAAAGGAAGCATCTATACCAAAGCCACCCTGTAGGGCAGAACAGCAGCTCCTCACTGCATTCTCCAACACCAGTCAAAACAGAAAAAAAAAGATCTTTGTATAACTTAAGCAGGATACCTCTTCGTTTGCTTAGTGCAGCCAGAATTCAAATGCTGCTGGGCTTGACCTCCAGGAAAAACAATGGCTTTGCCTTCTTCACTGAAACCCAGCTGCTAGGGTTCCTGTATTGTCATCTTCCCTCTGCCACTCACATCTTACATGGATTTCAGAAACAGCCCTCCCTTGCATCTGTAAAACAAGAATCTTGTAGCCAGGCTCAGCCAAGTCTGAATCAAACAGACCAAAGACAGAGAATCTGAAAGCCCTTTTAACACATACAAAATGAGTCTTTCCACACAGCACTCAGAGCCCCACCTGCTGCCTGCTCACCCTCAACTTGTGCAAGCAATTATACCCTATTTGCTTTTGCTCGTTGCCATGGCCCTCTTCCCACCTGAGAGCTGCAACCAAGAGCTGGGGCTTTGAGATCCCATGTACTGCAGAAACATACTCTGCAGCCTGATCTAAGCTAGGCATGAGATTTGCCAGAGCTCACAGTTAGAACATAACACTTTCATGATAGCAGATAACCATGAAAATTTGTGGCTTAAGGAGGAATGTTGTCAGTGACCAATTTATGTTATCAGAGACAAGGAGATTCATGTGTAAGTGAAACAGCTGCATGCTGAGTATCTAAAGTAAAAACAACGTTCTGCCCTTGAGCAGAGGAATTCCTTAGCTTGTCCCTTGATTCACCCGCATTTCAAGTGCACACAAATTAGCCCCAACCCTTACATACCTCCTGCTTGCCCCACTGTGCTGTACCCAACTTCTCTCCTTCTCACCTCCCACATCCCTGAAGCTGGCTTTCCTGGATTCCTTTCATCAAGCCTTGTTGAACTCCTTCCTTTGAAGCCATCCTCTCTTACCCTCTTCTCCTCTCACTCACACTCTTCCTCTGAGGATGCTGCTCAAATAAGCAAGTTTACGGCCAGCACTGCAGCCTTACATGCTGTTCTTTGAGTGTGTTCACATGTGGATTATGAGCTCTGAGATAGCAAGACTGATGCGGTTGGTTTTTTTTGTTCTTCGTTTAACTCCAGTTACACAGAACTCCAGTGTTCCCTATGCTCTTCCACTTTCCTGCAAGAACTATCTCTGAAGTTTCTCACCAGCTCTGCAGTGACTGTGTCACTGAAGAACTACACACTCTCGATCAAAGAGAAAGACCCAGAGCCAAGAAAAACAGTGCACTCAGACTCCAACTCACCTGTAACACTGTCCAGCAAAACCACAGAAAATACAACTACAAATAAATTTACTGAGACACAGTGGGGGCAATATATCTTTAATTTTTTTGCTTTTGTTTTTTAGTATTACAGTATATTCTTATAAAAAGATACAGATAAAAAGGACACTACAGGATTTGTACATTTAATTCACTTATAGTCTTAAATTGACTAAGAAATGAGGATACGCCAAGGCATTACAGCAGCACACAACCTCCCACATCAGTAAGCAGCACTATACTTTCCAGCTCGGCAGGCAGGGACACCTCCAAAAATGATCTGGAAGTTTCAAACTGAGCAGGCTGACAGGGGAGGAGAATGGCTGAATACAGTTTGGAAGGGAGAAGCTTTGAGTGTGGCTCAGGTACCTGATGTCCTCCTACAATTCTAAAACAGCAAAGGTATTTGAAGAGAGTGTTTAGGGGCAAGTCTGAAGATGGGAAGCAGTGTAGAGGGGGTGGGTTTTCAGTAGCATATCATAGAGGCTTTTCTAGAATCAGCTGAGTGAGAGCTTCAACTGTTGAACACCTGAAAGGACCAAGCCCTTTGAAAGCTCTGTAGAACATCATCTCAACAGCTAAAGCTGTTTAAAAGGGGAGTTCTGATCCAGATGTTGCTTTAAATAATGTTGGTGTTAAACACTGTACTGGTATACTGGATCTATTCCACATTAACACCAGTATCAGAAGACTGGTTTGGAATATCTGTTAAGCATCCAGACTCAAAATGAGGTGCCATAACAGCTTTCTAAGCTAATGACATCCTTCTCAGCATAATCTGGCCAGCTTTAGGAGAATATGGTCATCCAAACTACTCAGAGCAGTAAATAGCTTTAATATCTACACCTATATTTTCAGTTGGCCGAATTATATTACTCGAGATGGCCTTTTCCACCTTTGATAAGGAAAGTAAGAGTGGTCAACAGCAGCTAAGTGTTTGAATGGCAGGCAACCAGAAATCTCCCTAGTTCAGTACAGAAGCCAAAGAGGTGTAGCTAAACATGTGTTATTGCTAGAGACTCCACAGAGAGGAAACCAAACAGCCAAAAAATGTTGCTTACCCTGGATACTCTGAGGAAGTAGAGTGGAGAGGGGAATCAGAGGGAATCCTTTCTTCCTTGGCCTGCTGCAGTTTGTCTCACCAACACGTAAACTCTGGTAAGGGTATGATCCATACTTGTGCACCTATTTGAGCTTCTCTGGCATTACATGCAGAATTTGAGTTGGAGGTTGAAATTTGAGTTAGCAACTGTGTAGCTTAACTCTTCTCAGTATTCCCACCATGATTCATGACAAGAAAATGGTTGTTTTTAGAAAGTATTCTGAAATAACCTACTTGCATCAATTCACCACATGCTTTAAAAGACATGCTTTCCCAAGTCAATTATTATTAGGGCACAGTGATTCCTGTGAAAGCAAAAGTGAAGTTCCTCCTTGCCTCCTTTCCCACACCAAGGCTGCTCCCACACCACCCCACACCCTGCTCAGCTTGCTGCAGAATGGCCTCGCCAGCTGTCTAGCTGGTGTAATGCCCTGGCACGGTCTCAAGAGTCTTTGCTGTAATGCAGTGTATACATACAAACATAGCAAACTAAAATAAGGCAAAATAAATAGAGGTGTCAGATTTACAGGTTCCCCTTAGAGATTCCTAAAACCATTAAAAAAAAAAAAAAAATCATTTAACCCCCAAACAAAAAAGAAAAAAACAAACAAACAAAAAACAACAAACAAAAAACAACCAACCCAGAAACAAAACTGCATATATCATGTACATCATCAACTGTACAACTGATCTCCTTTCCCCTCAAGGAAACTCCTGACACAAGCTTCTCCCGTACAACCCAGCTCAGAGTGCGAGCTTTCCTAAAAAAGAGGGAAGATTCAGCCAATGGAGCTGACCATTACAGAAACACCTGCTCCACAGCCTTCCATCAGGGCCCCTCACGATGCCTTTCCCTTCCTCAGACATTGTGAACACATTACAGAAATGCTTCTGAAGGATGCCCAAGCTGTCTCTCTAGTGGAGAGTCTCTCATCCCTGAATATTAGTCCTGCTTCTGCTCTTATAGGGAACCAGTGCCCGGACCATAGCTGTGCTGCAAAGCATGGAAGAGCCTTGCTGCCCTGAAGTCACTTCACGCTGTAGCATTTTCAGAGACTTACAGACAACTGAGAAGAGTGACAAAGAGCAAAGGGAGTGGGGGATGTGGGGGGAAGTTCTGCAGTCTTTTCAGGGGTCATCCTAATGCAATCTGCTTAAGAACAATGCAAAGACACATAGGTAAGGGAAGAAGCATTAGATCTCTACGGACAAGGTTTGGAGAATTAGAAAGTACCTCCTCTTCTAGGTGTGAAGAACTTCATCATAAAATTAGCAACAACTACATTTCTCTAGGACAAGTATAAAGTAGAACAAGCCCTCAATTATAACCTTTTTCACATCTCCTCCTCTTTTATTTAAAATGCTGGTGCTAAGCACAGCTGCAAGGACAGCAGCAGACCTTAGTTCTCCTCTGTCCCTCAGAATATGATAAAGAAGTTCTGCCTTAATGTTATGCCTCATGACTGCTTGCTGTGCCCACCCAGGCTACAGAGGCACTAGAGGACAAGGATTACATTTTCCCACATTTTTTGGCACTTAGCAACTCAATCAAAACTGCACATGAGGAACAGAGCATAGCTGCACTCACAGCATGCCAGAGACTCCAAGCAGGGATGAACTTGGCTTTGCAAAAAATCTGAGGTCAGATCCTAGAGCAGATCCAACTATTTCCTTATCTGCTGTGGCCAGCCTCATCTCTTAGAGCAGACATATTAATGGGACTGTCTGCTTGTCACCCCTTAGATGAAATCACTGCTTGCCTCAGTGAGTAACCAAGCTTTTCCACAATGCTTTTCATGAACATTCACCAAGCAGTGAACAGCCAGCATGTTCAGCATGCTGAAAGAAACCTTCAGCCACCACCACTGATTCAAAACAAAAGTCTGGGGCCCTTGAGTGCTAAGAAAGTTGAGCTGCAATGAACCGGGGGCATGACTCTGGGCTTTCTTTCAGTTCCAGTAATGTATCTCACAGCTGATTTATTGGAGTTGCACAGTCTCTTATTACTTGTGTATATATCGAGGGGGTGGCAAAGCTACAGCAGCTTTCTCTGACTGTCACTGTGACCGGAGCACTGCGTACCATCATATAACTTTTCATATCACGGCTGAACTGTGTACACAAATGGAAAGAGAGATTATCACTCTCTCTGTTTTTGCTACATTTATGGCCTGGCAAAGTGACTTCAGTTTCAAAAAGTACACTGTGAACCTGGTTTGAAAAATACTGGGGTGGGGAATGCTGTATTTATATTCAAGGGTTTTGCCCTGAGGTGTTTTTTCTATAACAGAACTGCCTTGCTGACAGTCTGCCATATTGAACAAGTACCTGGGGAGCAAGCAAGCAGCCATAAATTGGACAGAGCCACAGGTCACATCTTCTTGCACCAGAGCTGACCTTGGCACTGGCACTACACTTGAACTTCTGAGTGAGTCTTAAAACCAAGGAGAACAAAGAGGGGGGAAATCTACAATGTTCTAATCCCTGAAAGTATCATCTTTGGAATTCAGGGATTATCCAAATCTAAACTCCATTGTATACCAATTTGGCACATATTATCACCTCTTATATGGCTTACGTGGCATAGATTATATGGCATGCCTCAAAACAAGACAAACAAAAAAGAGGGTTGAGATATGGCATGTCTACTTTGGGGAGCAGCAAGGAGCTTGTTAATATAAATTACAAGAGACATTTCTAAAAATCCATTTTGTAATTTAAAATAAAAATGCTTATAAAAGTGAGAGTTAAACTTTCAAAAACCTTTACAAAAACACAGTCTTTCTTCTACAAGGTGCTTGTGTCTGCTGCAATGGATATTGCTGTTAATAGCTAATCCCAGAAGGGTGATGGGATAATAAGGGAGGAGAATGCACCCAGTTCTTGTAAGATACCAGCTCTTTACGAGTATTATACAGAGGCGCGGCAGTCTGGAATGTTGTCAATAGGGAAACTGTAGGGTGGAAGTCTCAAAATTCAGTAAACAATGAAACATTAGAGTGTAACAATTCTAAATTTTTTGATTCTTTCCATAGTTTACATAATTATTTTAGTGTTTGGAAAACCACCACTGTTGGCTTCTCCAATATTGGTAGTGCGTAATACTGATCTGGCAGCATGTATGGCAGAAGTTCTACTCTGCAGACTCAGTGCTGAGCCTGAGGTTAAGTGACATTCATAGAAAACCAGAACCAAAATATTAAAGTGACTAATGGAGCTTTTTCCATTTCCCTGGAATTCCTTGACACTTTGTGCTGTTTACTGTTGATACATAGTTTGTAAATTTTGGCCTCTCTTCTCAAATGCTGTTTTCTTCTTGTCTAGGAGGAAGAATCCATCACAATTTCTTTTTTTTTCTTTTTCCCTCTCCAGAGTTGATAATCAAAAGGGATGAAAAGATTGAAGAAAAAACAAATGGAAAAAAAAAGGTCATGGCAGCCCACAGAATTGGGCTTCCAAGAGCCATGAAGATAAATCAAATTTAGAATTCAAGCATCTTCTTGGGGTTCTCCGCTTTTTTCACTGTGTGCTTCGTAGATGCAGTGTAAACACAAATTTTTTTTTTCTTATACATTAACCCATTTCCAAAGCCTGCTTCACTTACACGACTTTGTGTCCTCCTGGAAAAAAATCTCCGTTTTCCTTATGGGACCTTCCATTGGTTCATCCTAAGTAATCCCTTCTAAATGAAAAAGGCTGTGGCCTGTACAGCTCTCCTTTGACATCACTGATATCTTACTGAACTACGTGATTACCCTAGATAGGATTGGGGTGCATGCAATAAATCATCCTGTTACGCAGAAAGTCCAGTCCATTCCCACAGCAGCTGCAGCCTGTATCAAGTGGAAAAGAAAACTTATTTCTTGCAGCTTGCAGTCCCATTTGCTTTTTGCCCACTTGTGACCTGTGAATGATACTCAGGAGCTTCCAATTTCCATTGGGCTGCACTAAGGAATCTTGCACAAATGGATAAGAAATGTTCAGCTGTTTCCTTCCCACACTCCAGCAATTACAACAGGCTCCACAGTCATCCAGGTGAAATCCCAACCTGTTAGCGGCACAGTTTTCTAAACAAAAGCCACAACTTCTTTCCTAGAAGATGAATTTCAGAACTTTGAGACTCAACCATCAATATATTCCAGAAAACTGTTTCTAGAAAAGCAGAATCCAAAAAACTTTGGCAAAGTATTTTACATCAATCCTGATTTTCGAATTCCATTTTGTTCCAACTTCCTTCTGAGCATCACTTGCTTTGGACAGTATAGGCCATACAAAAACACTATACAGAATATGAGATTTTTCAGATGCTGATCAATGGCTTATAAAATCCAATTCTGGGAGGGACCTTGTAACCTCAAGAACTACATCCTGACAAGACCTTGAAGGCCAGTATAGTTACTGAAGAAGCAACAGATGTTTACCGAACTGTTCTGAAATTAGTCTTGCTTATTATCAGCAAGATGGAGATCATAGTTCATTTTCACTTTGGCACGCAGAAAATTATCCTTCTCCAGCTGCAAGGCCCAGTACTTTCTGCCATCATCATGAGGCCTTTCATGACACAATCAACTCACAGAAGCAAATCTGTCAGGTCTGCATGGCCCAGTCACGGACCCTGCTGGCTCCACAGAGGCACTTTTATAATGGTTCAAATTAGGAGCGCAGAGGAGGGATGAGAGGAAAGCTGATCAATGGAAAGGTAATGTCTCTACCCACAGACCAAATAAATCCTTTGGGGCAGCTGTCAGCCAGGCGCCATCGCACACATTCATCTTCCTTGTTCTGCTCTTTTTCTTCACTTATTTTGGTTGATTATTTTTCTTTCTCTTGTAATTAATAATTTAGTTTTGTCACCACCCGCTCCCGGCTTGTCTCTAAGCCTTGGTTCCCCGAACGCTTGCGATTACGCTTCAGTTTGGATAAGTCCTTGTCAAAGACTTCTCCTGACCTCAACGCTGACACCAGGTCATCAAACTCCCCAGTCTCTTCAGAGATGTTTCCTGCTTTTGCTTTCTTTTGACGCCTCTCTTTTTCCCTCTGCTCTTTCAGCTGTGGAGAAAGAGACAGATCTTTAGGATTCACTGACTGAGATCCCAGATCACTACAGACATTGTGTTATGGGCCATCTAAAATATGTTAGTACTGTTTGGAAATAAAAGGATCAGGATCCTATCCGTAAGGCCATCATGTGTTCCAAGAGCAACATATACCATACTATGCTCCCTTTCTCTTGCTCAGGTGAGCAGAGAGCATGAGAAGCAAGGAATGAGCAGCATCTTCTGCTTGCCTCACAAAGCATTACCACTCCAGGGCAAAGAGTACCAGCTGTGCTCACAGTATCTAACCTGCTGAGTTTAAAGTTAGTCTGGATGTTTCTGCACAAACCAGTCACCACTAGAATCACAAACAGCTTTGCTTGTAGGGCACAGGTAGTTATATTCAAACAGGCAGAAAGGTCATGTTCCTTTAGAAGGAGAAAAATAAGAAATGGAATTCATCAGATGGCCACAAGCTAAACATACTACACAAGGAAAATAGTCTAGCATATCATGGAAATGGGGAAAAGAAAGAATATTGCCTTGAGTCCAGACAGAGAGAGCAATTATAAATAGAAACAGCAATGAAACAGGACTGCTGATTTTACCAGTTTACCAGGGAGCTCAATTATCCTCCACGCTGCTCAGCTCCAAGATTAGTGGAAATACTAAGGCACAGCTATGGCTCCCAGGATGCAGGTGGCTCACCGTGCACTAGTCCCATGTTGCAGGAGGATTCTTCTCATAAGCAAACAGCAACCTCTCAGTACATCAGGCCTACTAACGCTTCTTAGAGCTTTAACAGTGGGCTCCTGCACTTTCTCTGCTGGCTGAGAGGAAACTTGAGCCTAAATCTTGGCATTTTATCTCTGTGTCCAACAGTTCCAAGAAGTCTGCTGGCATCCTAGAGTTCTACCTCTTTCCTCTTCTGAAAGGAGTAAAAGAGTTCTTTTGGCACAGCAAACATTGCAAGTAGCAATTGCCTTCAGATAGGAGCCAGGCAACAGCCGAGGTTAAAGTGTTGGCATGGTGGAAGGATGAGGGAAAAGCTGCGCTGTTCTCATCTTCAGGAAAGCCTGAGATCAGAAGGGGAGGCTGGTTCACATGAACCCTTGGGGTTATACACGTTGGTCTCCAAGAGGCAAAATCAATGATGCAGAAAAGCTCATTTGCCTCATCAAGGTCTAGCACAGCCCCTGTAATCAAGGCATTAAGGCTGCCAGCGCAGACTACAACAGGGCATTTACTGTGTCACTGTACACTGTCAGGGAACAAGAACACAGCAGATGATGATACAGTCTGAGTGGAAGCTGCCCAGCTGGCAGGACCTGACTCCAAGAACTTCTGCACAGAGCAAGCAGTCTGAAAGCAGGGCAGACTAGCTCCATGAAGGGACAGCACCATCTTGCAAAGTACCTTGACAGAAAAAATAGGCCTAGATTTGGGTATCTGAACTCAAAAGAAGAGAGATTTAGAAGCCAAACTCTAAATATTCTTTTTTGACAGCCTTTCAAAGCTGACAGGATACAGTCATCAGGAAAAATGCCATCATTTGTGAAGAGAAAGATGACAAAGAGGTGGCAAAGGAAAGGACATAAAACAGGGACAGGACATCAGCACTTGAACTGCCTCTGTCAACATTTCTCTCTTGAGAAATGAACAGATTATGAAGTAAAACACCTTCTTTTGCCCAAGTTCTCACCATGGCTTCCATGCGTGCCCTGCGCTCCTCTTCTTCCTTTTTCTTCCTCATATTCTCCAGATCTTGCTTTGCCTCTGCAAATGACTGTAAGAAAGTGTCAAAGATGCCAAAAAATTCATCTGGCTGCATCTTTCCCTCATTCTCTCCAAAATGCTTCAGTGCCTTGGCGTACTGTCAAAGGGGCAGAAAACACAAAAGCAACAATTAGGCAGGCAGTCCTCTGAAGGCAGTGAGGAAAGCTTATGCATAACTACACATATAATTCAATACTCCCTGAGTGTTCACATGCAGAGAAGAAACTGCCTCCCCATGCAGTAACCAAAGTGCCTCTATTACGGCAGGTGCCTGTGTCCCAGAGAATCTGCTCTATTGGTTATTCTTTGAGCAACACAGGACAATGGTAGTGGGGAGCACTATCTATCCACTCACATTAGAAAAAAGTATTCAATGCCTGAGGTTGATGGAGCTATTTCAGAGAGCAACCATCTGGCCACATCTCAGCTGCAGCTGTGGGTCAGGAGGGGCATGAAAGGCAACAAGCTAGTTGGGGAACAACTATCAAACAAGTAATTCTAGTTCATCCAATCTAGCCCTTCCACCTTCTCCTCCTCTTTCCCCCTCAATTTCACTTTTAAAAGGGCCACATTTAGAGATTTTGTATAATAATGTTGTAGCCTATCCTCTCAGGAGCCTTTTGCTACGTCATCCATCACTCTGGAGTCCTGAGTCAGTGTTGCCTAGGAGAGAGGAGACTATGGACAGACACGGCATGAGAGAGGGGCAAGGAAAGCAGCCAGGGCTGCAGGGCAGACTTAAAAGAGAGTGAATACATCACAAATGGCTTTTATTTTAATAGGGAAATGTTGAGATTGCAGGACACATGTGGAGAGAGCCAAATGGCAGGACTTCAGTCACAGGGCTGTCCTGATCTGGGTATGGTAAATTCGCAGCAACCCCTGGCTCTTGGACAGAAGTCCTGCAGTACTTGTACTCTCTTCTTTGCTCCCTCATACTCACAAACATGCCCCTGTGCTTACCCAAATGTACTCAACTGCCTGCACGCAGCACACAGCACGTATGCCCATATCTACTAACTCTTATATAGCCATACACATCCCAAAACTGCATCACTGTCCAACCACTTTCTCTCATACACCTTTGCACTGCAACTGACAGAACTAAACTCCTGATTCTTATGCTGCCCTGATGTGCAGCTCCCCTAGCACCTTCATGCACCAGTGCTGAAAAACACAGCATCCTCACAGACATCCCTGCTCACCAAAACAAAACCAGCCTCTCCCAAGTAATGGACTGGTTTCCGATAATCTTGTGTGTCTATTCAGTTCATACCACTGACAGCCCAGCTCCCCTTTCCTTAGGTGCTCTTGCAGAATGGAAAAGAATAAGAACAGTCCAGGCTCAAATCCCAAGCATAAAATGAATTTGGAAGCAGGACTTATGAAACCCTCTGGCTCCATACCAGGTAAAGCACAAACAATGTCTCCCAGTTAACTGCAGGGAGAAGAAATCTCCAAGGAAAGCAGCTTCCTTCTGGCACAGCCTGAGACATCCAGCATCTCCCCTTCTCTGCTTTCACTGCCAGGCCCACAAAGCAGTTTAAAGCAATAACCTTTTTTTTTTTTCTTCTTCTTTATAAAGGCTGTGTTCAGCCAGAAACAAACAAAGAAACTCAAAGTATCTGGGGAAAAAAAAAAAGCAAAAAAAAAAAAAAGTATTGGAAGGAATGCAAGTTGCTTTGAGCTACCAAACATGGCAGGAGTTGAAGGAAGCACTACAGCAGAAGCAAGTCATGGAGGGATTTCAGAGTATGGAAATAGCAACAGACTACTTCTCTGTTTAACCCTGTTCACTGAAAGCTCTGAAGACAAAAACATACATGCGTACACACCTACTACCTTTGTCTCCCTCTCTATATTCTTTCAATATATGTCTACTTAAATATACTTCCACAGCTGCCTGAGCACACAGAGATCACAGTAGGTGTGCTATCTGGAATCTTTTCTCACTTAACTTGTGGTTAATCCCTGTGAAAACTGAAAAAAAAAAAAAAAAGGGACAAATTAAGAGCAACAATTGGAGCTAGCAGCTAGGAGGAAGGCTTACTAGCCCCACAGGGGTTTCCTAGTCTTTTAAGTTAGGAGGCTGAGGAGAGGGTCATTGTCTGAGGATCTTGGATGCTATATATATGGAAGTCTCCATTAGAGGGTGGTGTCGTCTGCAAATGTTCTGCACGTAGTCTGCCACCAACTGCCAGCACCAGCTAATTCTTGCCACACTGGCAGAGAGGCTTTTGACATTGTGTCCTCCCTGCCACATAAAGGAGGAAAAGTATTGCTGTGCTGGGAGGACCAAGCATCCTGGGAGCCCTCCAGAGACACTCATGAATATAAAGTGTCTACAACAGACCCCTCTGCTTTTATTCCTCCTTGTGTTTCTGCCATCACGTGTGCTCTGTCAAAGTATCAATGCAGGGATGAGGGTCAGTGTGCTGCACAGTCCTAACAGCTGCCCTCCTGGCTCAGGGTACTCCAGGCAGAGCAGTAATGAGCAGCCTTAGCAGTTCTGAGCCTCAGCACACTTTTCTGCTATCTGCCACAAGTTCTGTGATCCTGCATGAGTCATTCAGCTGCTCCAAGTGCAGATTGCCCCCCTGTATAACACTGCATAGTCTGCAAAACTGGTAGCATAGTCCTCATGCATGCACAACACTTGCCCTGTCTCTGGAGACATTCAAGGTCAGAATAGAATGGGGCCCAGGCCACCGGAGCTAGTGTGTGGCACCCCTGCCCATGGCAGGGGGCTGGAGCTTGATGATCTTTAAGGTCCTTTTCAACATATGCCATTCTATAATTCTGTGATTCCCAGAATTTTGTGATGTGCTGTAATATCACGGAATAGAGTTTGAAACTTGCTTATTCCATAAGTCATTTGGGGACAGATGACATACAAAAGCAATATGGAAAATTGTTTCAGTGGGTTTTCCAATGTAATAAAGGATGGTATATCTTTTTTTTCATTAAAAAATTCATTTCCACACCATTAGGGACCCCAAGCTCCATGATATAACAGGTCTGTAAGCTCAGTGCCAGCTCTGCTTCCTCTGCCAAACTTTCCACTGAATTCATCCCTTTGCCAAAGCAAATTGCTTAGACAGTTATTTATTTTAAAAAGCTATTTCATCAAGGAGAGGAAAAGCAGGACAGCAGTATGCACACTCTTGGCTCTGCTTGCCACCGAAATGTTAAACAGTGGCAGAAGAGCACTGGAAATGGCAGGAATGGGGTTTCTGTGAGGAGGAGGAAAAACAGCTACACTAAAAACTTCCCGCTGTCTGTGCTGTCCACTATCAGTGGAGAAGCCAATGCAAAAATGGATTATATCATGCAACATGAACCGTCTTCCCCAGAAAAGTAATCCTGAGTTTGCTGTTGCAAAGACTCCATTCTGTACCAAGGCAGTTCAGATAAAATTCTGCTCTCTATATGGGGCAGATGCAGATCAGTAAATAGAAAGAGACCCACTAATCTCTGGCAGGACGGTGCCCAGCTCTCTTTGCAATTTTAGATCTCTAAAAGGATTCTCCCGAGAGTTGAATGGTAACTCTGGAAGTATCTACATTGTAATCTAGATATAAGCGCTATAAACATTTCTGATATGTTATGTTCCATCTCGCCCTGAAGCATCTGCAGTTCTACACACAGGAGCTACACAATTTATTTATCAAATGGTTGTTTCTGACAGCAGGCTGTAGTGCCTGCCCATACACACAACCTGCCCTGACTTCCTCGGTCTCCGACTGACCTCTTCCTTATCCACCGGCCTCAGAGGCTGACAGAAAACACCAATCTCTAAAAATGAATGACTGAAGAGCACAGTAACTGGCACTTGGACTACAGTATTTCATTATTTTCATAACATTCTGCCATTAATGGCTATTTTCTTAAACTGATTTTGGCTTTCACATCCTTGCTGCTCTTCAAAACAGTTACTGCATGTGCTAAGCTTATTAAATGCACGTGCAGATTCTGAACTCGAGTCTCTCCCATGATAAATATAAACACTCTGACTCACAGTAGATGTCATGAGAAAATCTGGAGATGGACATTTTTCTTCCTCATCAGCCCTGCCTGAACTGAAACCTCCCTTGTGCCTCTGTAGAGCAGCATAGGCTTGATTTTCAAAATGAAACCCCAACCCCCTTTGGAGTCATGCAGCTACGACATGACTACCAACTATATAGGAATGGTACTACCTTACTAACCTGATTTAGCCCTTCTAGGAAGATCCAAAACACTTCACAAATGGGTTTATTATAAACCTCACACAAAGTAGAAGAGTTATAGAGCAATAGTTATGTCCATATCTGTCAGCATTCAAGGATACTGTAAAGTTTCATGCAGGGCAGATGTCACTATATTCAAGTAAGAAAATAAAATTCACACAATGGGAGGACACTGTTACTCCCCTTGGACATTTTCTTTGCTTCCCCACAGGAAACTAAGAGAAGAATTCTCACACACACACACAAAAATCAACCTCTTTTTTTTTTTTTTTTTTTTTTTCTGAAATGAGAAAGTCAGCATTTTGTCTGCTAAAACATGTAAAACTGGTGAAAGAATTTCACTTTCTCCTTCTCACAACTTCCAGTTTACGGGAAATGGCAAAAAGCATTATCCCTTGATCTAATCTATATATTCCTTTATTAAGTGGTATTGAAAGTGAGAAAAACACAAAAAGAACAAGAACCAGCTGTGCTAGGGAGCCTATTTAAAAAGTAGGTCTAAGTTTTCAATCACTTCTTAACTATGCCATCTGTTTACTGCATGTAGATAAGTACAGTTACAAAGCTTCTGCTGCAAGCACGGATGTCTGCATCTGACAATTTGGCCCTTTAAGTTTAAAATATCACTTCTTCCCCATGACCACTAGCAGTAAATAATCCTGTTTCAGAAAGAAGGCCAAAAAAGAAGTATTGAGTGGGATTGTGATAAATATCCTCCATAGAGAAGGTCAGTACCACACCTTGTAATGGAGGGTTTCCAAAACTTCAATACTGAAATGATTTTTGCCTGTACACAATATTCCAAAAATAAAAAGCTTCCCAGGTTTGAAAAGATAATTTGTATTGTTTTAAATGCCAGCTGAGGAAACATGGCTCCGATTAACTCATGGCAATCAATTAGCCACATCTATATTTAGAAAGATATCCAGCTCCAGCTGTTAAAACTAGGACTTCATTATTATTAATAAATCTGTGAACCAGACGAATTCTTCCTGGGCCCCGTTAGATGTTTTTAAAAGCCCTCCCTTTCCCACTACTTTTTTTATTATTTGCTTTGCTTTGAGAAATGAAAAAAGAAGAGGATAATCAGATGTTTTAGTCTCTCTCTTCCTTTAATTGGCTAGTTATAATATGTTTCCATGGTTAAAAAAAAAAAAAAAAGTTTGTGATTCAACAAACACAGAGAGACCACTGAGAATGGAAGATGTTATAGGCTTTGCAAAGCACATCTGGTTTGTTGAAAATTTTCTACTTTTTTTTTTTTTTTTTCTTTTTTAAAGAAACAGAGGAAAAAAAGAGGAAGAAGGGAGGGGAAAAATAATATGAGGCAAACATGAGAAATAGCTCAGCATTGGTAAGGAACAGACAGTTCCCTTTCAGGAGTCCAAAAGCAGCTTATTGCCAGCGCAAGAGCCAAAGCCATAGGTTGAGCAGAAGCTGGAAAAGCATGCATTCAAATATAGTGAGGAGAAGGTAGAGAAACATTTCCTAAGCATGTTATAGTCATTAAAGTAGAGCATCTCTTCTTGTTGAGGGCGTTATATTGCCTATGGCTAAAAAAGTGCGCAACAACTTCCAGACATATTTGTCCATCTGCAGGGAGACTTTCTGGTTATTTTTAAAGCAAAAGAACACAGTTTTTCTGCAAGTGTCTGATAAAGGAAAGCAGCACTGCTGTTAGATGTGTAGCATTTGCTGGTTTTTATCCCATAACTGACCTCATAAATAAATCACATTGGGCTTTAAGCCTCAATGTGTCAAAGGAAAGGATCACATCTATCTGTAACATCAAACCAAAAGCCAAGGAGAAAGAGTCATTCACTTCCAAAAATGTGCACCTAACTGTAATGAAGTTGAAAATGTACCCAACCATAAAATAGAAGCCTCCAAATCATAGAACCTCTAGTTCTTCTCAGTGAAGGCGCGGAATGTAAAATACTGGTTTAGTGATTATAAAGCAAGTACAGCGTGAACATTACTATGCTGGAAGTGGTTTGAACATTCTCAAGCAACAAGATAACAATGAAAAAATTAGGCATATTATTCTCCACAAAATTTTGTCACAACACTAGCAAGTGTTATATCACTAAGCTTTGTCTTCAAAGTGAAGTAGTAACTACTGCCCACTGGCATTTGCTCTAGCTAGCTCTAGCTGAGACCCTGTAGCTCCCTGTTGTTAGCATCTGCAAGTCAATATTACCAACATTATCTCCACAGGAAGGAAATGCTTTGCAATTCCCAAATGACATTACTGCAGAGCGATCAGACGAATAAAGAGTCTTAATATCCACATCCTTGGCCTGTATTCTGTCTAACCTTCAAAATCTAAGGTCTAGCAATCCAAAGGCACAGGTTTCATTAATAATGCAACAGGTCCCTTAACACTGCTTATATATCCCTGCAAGGACTGACACCAGGAGTGGAAACAACTCAATCCAAAAGAAATAACACAGTTGCTTCATGAAGCCAAGTACTTTTAACATGCCAGCCAACAAGGGTAGATTTGCCATTACATACCGTTTACTTTAGAACTTGCTCTTCTCTAAACATTTTCATATGCTTATAATCTTTTCCTATAAATTCTTCCTCATTCAACTGAGAGACAGAGGGGTTAGTGCCAGATTCCAATCATCAGCAAAGAACAAGCACCTCCTTAGCTGTGCAAATCTGGTAATGGAGGTGCAGACAGTAGAAGTACAGAATGATCACAGCAGCATGTGAAGAGTAACACACACATGGAGCTGGCTTTGTCAGAAGGATTCAAAAAGGTCTGACAAACCGTGAACATTTGGGATCACTGTCCTTGCAATGAAATACAAGCAGTGACAGAGAAGTCTAAGTGAAAAAAAATCAGGTATTCAGGGTTATCAAATTACTCAAAGGTGCACTTTTAAAGGAAAGAAATGAAGTGCAAATGGTCCCAGTTGAATGAGCAGGGTGGGATGGAGGTCACTATCACTGATTACCAAAGGAACTCTTTTGAGAGATTGGTTAAAAGGCAGACCCTTCACTGTAACAGCACTGACATCATCATCACAGTTCCACACATAGATAACATTATCTGTTAAGGTAGATTAGCAAAAGCAGGTAAGAGCACTGAATGTTCTCTTAATCTTAAAATGTGGTGTAAATTGCTATGAATCAGATTAGAAAAAGATAGAAACTTCAGCCTGAAACACCTTCAGTGTCTATTATCATTTTTACTCCATTCCCAGTATCTAAAATTCCTGCTTTCACTTTGATGCATGCTTTCGTCTCAATCAACACTTCAAAAGGTATTCGTACCTTGTCTCTAGCATCATTGAGGAGGTCTTCTAACTCTGAGAAGCTGAAACTGGCAACAGTGATGAAATCACTCATGACGGGAACAAACCTGTCCCCCGATTCCCGTATGCGTCTCTTCTGATAATCCAGCTCCTGAAAGAGAAGAAGTAAGATATACAGGCAGGCAATCAAAGACTTCTCACTAAGAAATAAGGGAGTGGGGAAGCCCACATATTTCACTCAGTATAGAGCGTGCTCTGTTTCCAAACCTCATGCACTAATTCAAAATTCTAACTCAGAAACCCATTTCTCACTAAATTCAAGGTTCTGGCCTTGCAACATGAGACAGAAGCCTAACGTGGGAAGAAGGAAAGCCTCAGTTATGGTTTCCTATATCTTAGAGTAACCACCACTCCCACGAAAGCCACCAATGTGTTGAATTTTTAAAGTAACCTTAGTATCAAGTATTTAAGATACTGCAGATGTTGTTTCTCTTTTTTAATTTCATTTTGTGTTTTATTTCTCTTTACGCAGAATGACAAATTCTATGCAAAATGAAAAATAATAAGGAATGTAGGAGAACTGGAAATTTTTAATTGTGAGTTTCTCTCCATCTTTTCTTTGCACGGTGGCTCAAAAGGCTGTATTCTTGGAGAAGTGCACACACATGTGCCTAATCTGTAGACTGTGCTTCCTAGCATTGGACCTCCTCTTTAGTTCTCTGACAAGCACTTTCTGAGCAGCAAAAAAAGATGCCAAAATTGGTTCTATTCAGAAGAACAAGCTGGAAAACAACATTTGCTAGCACCCTGCTTAACGAGTAAGCATTTACTTGGATGTTACAAAAGTCAGGGATTTATTAAAAATGGAGCTACAGGAAACTAAACTTTGTTTATCTGCTACTAAAAAAAATAAAAATAATTCTTTCTGGCTCAAGTTCTTAATATTAAGCCAAGATTACCGATATTATCCCTTCCCATATTCTAGTCACCACATTTGTGGCACTGAAAAAGCTACAAAGCTTCTTAAAATGACTAGGTTCTTGTAAGACTGGCACTCTCCCATGTCTGTCCTTGGTTTGTGTGCAGCCAATGGTCTCATGGGGACAATGAAATGGTGATCTGGTATTTTATTCTCAGCTGAATAATCAGTGGGAATGATAAAGCCTTGCTTTCCCTGTAGGGAAATCAGCATGAAACAGCAGGTCAAGTTATGATCTGACCCTCTGTTCCCTTTGGAAAAAATATTTTTGTGCTGGCTGCAACTTTAGCTACATGTATGTTTGGTGCTCAGTGTTACTGGCCATCAAAAGGCTGGTTCATAGAGCCAAATGAGTGGTTTTATAAGAATTTATGCTGAGAAACACCTTGGGATTTGCTCTGTGTTGTTGATGAATGCAAAGAATTACTCTGGTCATTGACAATCTAAAATTAGATGGGCTATCTCTTCTCTTCTGACATGAGTTGGAAAGAGAATGTAACCACTACAAGGAAATACCACAAGGTAGAAAAGCAGCACAAAAACAATGAGTAGGTGTCCAGAGAGCAATCCACATTAAAGAAGTGCTGCCTCTCCTGATTTATATTACATTCTCTTTTCCACTGTTTTTTCTACTACATCATCAGGGTTTGTCCCAAGAGCACTACTCTATTACACCACTTTGCAGTGCACTATCTCTATGCTACAATTCCTCTGAACTGGATCTTACAAATACAATAGACGTCACCTTCTGAGGATTACACAGTTTTTTTCAGACATACTTTCTCATTTTGATTTATAAGCTATTTTTAGCTCAAAGTTGCTATATCCACTCCTCACCATTCTCCTACTCCCTCCACTCCCTGAGTAGGTACGTATAGTAGTTCTTCTATCTTACACACACTGTTGCGATCTATGGCATTTGGGACTGCTACGAGACAGCAATGTTTTTCAAAGCAAAATTAAAATTAGGTAGTCTCATCCTCAATTTCAAATTCAATCCTTCCCTGCAGAGTAATTCTTCCAAATTAAAAATGCCCACAGAAGTAATCAGCATGATTATGTAATCAGCCCAAGAGTGATGTCAGCAAACAAGAAACTCTTCTAAGCCTTCTAGAAATGGTCTTATATTAGTCAAAATAGTGTGACAATAGATGCTAGCATTGCCCTTGGCAGTCTGGGCTACCAGTTCTCCAGATGTATGAAATGATTTAACATGGTAGGGGGTTCTCAAAGCATTGATCATAATCTCCTTGTTGTACGAGAGAAGAATTCCACTGACACAATTCAATTCCAAATTTGGAGAGGACCAAAAATTACTTAGCTGCCCTTTTGAGAGCATTTTACATTAGGCAATAGTTATGTGAATGTCTTAACAAAGGAATGAATCTTATTTTTACTAAAAAGCTACAAATCCAGGAAAGCAAAAGGTTAATAGTACCTTTAAGAACATCTGACTGTTAAACTATTTTTAGCTTTCTATTCTTAAGGGGCCCTGAAGAAACTTCTCAGTCACTGGAGCCAAGGCTGTGGTGAGAACACACTGGACAGGAATCAAGAATCACACCTTTCCCTCCTCCCCCTTCCACCTGACAGCAATCTTCTATTGTTGCTGTAGTGCTGCTTTTTACATGCCAGAAAACCACAAACTGAGCAAGCAGACTGGGAGGTACTGGCAACCCCAGATGATAAATATCATGGCAAGAAGGGTAAGGGGGGAAGATAGTGATTGAATGGGAAGAAAGGTTGCCCACTGAACCCATCTATAGGAAAGAGAAGAAAAATTGGCTGCAAAGGCAGAGGACAAATAATCACAGAAAGTAAAACAGAAGTAGGTACTCACATTTCAACAGGGGGGATTGCCTGCCTCAGCCAAAACTGGGCCTCTCTTCAAGTCATGAACTTAATGTCAGCTTTCACTTTACAGGTACTTTTAATTCCCAAACATGGCTTCTAGTGAATGCAGCAATATCTCTTCCCATTGCTGCTTTCTCCCTTATCCCAACAATCAAGGTTTGGAAGATTTGTTTTTTCCCAGGAGGCTCACTGGCTAATTAGGTAATAAACTGTTGGAGACAGCCAGACAGCCTGGCTGGTAGGCCACAGAACTTTTTCACTGCCCCCAGGATCCAAACCAAACTCAGGAAAGGTGGAAGGAAAATTAAGTCATCACTGTCTGCCTTATAGGATATCTGAAGGACTGGAGAGACCTGGTTTAGTTTCTTGTAGATAGGCAACCATTTCTCAGAAACCACACAATAAGATTCCCACAACTGGTCCCCTTGCCAGCAGTTCCACAGAAGAAGCTGCAGAATGAACAGCAAGGGCAGCAAAGGGCATTTGCTGAAAAACAGAAAATTCCTCTGGGATGGTGTTGTTACTCTGTGGCTAGGACATATGAAAGGTGCCTTATATGCCTTCACAGAGGGGAGGCAAACACTTGAGACTGCTCAAAGCCACACACGTGTATCCATGGCATAAACAAGAAGCAAATGTGGGAGTTCCTAGCTCTTGCCGCCAAGTACGGTGCTCTTGCATTGTGCTCTCCTACCTCAGGAGCCTTTCCTCAGGAACAAAATCAACATTCTAACTAATAAGGTTTCCCTTTAGGGGAAGGAAATCACAGGTGTGATTATAACTAATAAAGTTTTCCCTTTAGGTAGGGAAATCACAGGTGACACATGAATCTGTGACTCCAGGGAACATTTAGACCGGTGCTTCAGCTTTAACTACTACAGTTCAATACAAATAACTGCATCAATACACCATTTGTACCGTTCTCTGCTGAGATGAGATTCTCTGCATCAAGTACAGATTAAACATAAGTAACTTAAGTCCAATTAGAAGGTTTTCATTAATTTTACTGAGCAGGAACATTGCAGCTTTGCTTGACAGCTCCATTCTCTCATCTTTATCTAGTCTACTTTCCCAAGGAGTGCACAAGATATATTAGGGTTGTATACTAGAGTGCACTACCTGTTTACTAGTATTCCAAGACACATGTGAAACACTTGCTCAGCAGTCATCCGTCCCCCCCAGAAAGAACGAGAAAGAATTTTATTTTTCCTTCCAGTGCATGCTGTTTGTCAAACTGTCCTCTTACTCTCCAGGCTGAGATCAAATAAGCTTTTCATCAGGCTTAAGTCTGCTAAGATCATCAGCAGGAGCTCCACATGAGAAGCTTTTATTTGTTTTTTCTTGGGTAATGCTTTTGGAATGGAATGGAAAGGAACTGAAAAGGAAAGCCCACTTTTTCTTATCATAAAATATATAGTGCCCCCGATTCTGACTGTGATACTTTACGTATGGAGCTTTGGAAACCTTCAGATACTTACAGCTTCAACAGCTTTCAATCCGGTCTTTATATTGTTGACTTCCTTCTCCAGCTCTACCAGGCTGCACAGGAGACAGACACAGAGGAGATAAAACAAAAGAGCAGTGTTAAACAGGAGTACAGGAACTGTGAAGCAGAACAAACAGATCATTGGCCCATCAAATCTGATATCCAACTTCTGGCACAGCCACATCAGATGATTAGAAATGAGGAGAAAGGGATCTGTTAATGTTCTGTGTTGCTTTTTGGAGGAGAGGTAAGAAGATGCAGGTTCTGCTTGCCTGTGGTCACACTAAAGATCAGGATTTTCATGAGAAGAGGCAGGAAGTTGCCCTCAGAACATCTCCCATGTGAGCTGAGCCTGACCCTCCTACGAGGGGACCTCAAAAAGGTCCAAAATACTGCTGATTTTTTTCGTCTCCATTTCTACTACATGAAAGTCCTTGAAGGCTTACATTGTAACTGAGCATGTAACCCTACTGCTAATAAATGTTTCCCCAGACAGAAACAGTGTACAGATTTTCTGCTTGTCACATATGAACTGGAGCTTTTCCCTAGGGCTTGTATGAAAAAAAGGCTTTTCATTTCCAGTTAAACAGTAGGTAGTTATTTTGCAAATCAGTACGTATCTTCGCTACATATTTGATTAGAAGTAGATCACACCTCCAAAACAATCAGACCTTAAAGTATGAACGTCCATGTATTTTTCACTTATATCTTTTCACTTCTCTTTCAGTAGGTGGGGTAATTTCTTATATAAAGAACCATAGCTGGACAAATAATACGCAAATTTTACACAGTCCTTTGGAAGTGAAAAACATTAATATTTTAGGGGATGCCTTGTGTATTCACTGTCAACTGTGAACCTGCAGAAGTGAAAAAAATTGCACTGAAATTTGTGCAGAAAGCAGAATGCAAAAGTTTGAACAACTTTCTTGAAAATGGCTATTTTAGTCTCTATACCTAGCTGATTCTGGCTTAGAAACAAACCAAATTATCCAGAAAAAAACCACCACGTGACATAGATAAGGAGCCAAAGAGTATGGTGAGTGAATTACAGTGACCAGTCCAGTTACAACATCTGATTTGGAAACAGAACAGCTATAAACATGTAAAGCAGTCAGTTTAGTTAAATTATTTTGGACCAAAATTTCCCACTGATCTACATTTAAATAACATCAAAAATGTCAGCAAAGGCACTGCAAGTATCCTAGCTGGAAGGCTGGTCATGATTTTGTAAAATCATCACCAGAGGAGGTTGCAGTAGAATATTAGGAAAAATTTCTGCTCAGAAATAGTGAGGTATTGAAACAGGCTGCCCAGAGAGGTGGTGTCTGGGGGTGGTCAAGAAATGTGTAGATGTGGACATGGTTATTGGGCACTACTAGTGGATGGACTAGATAATCTTAGTGGTCTTTTCCAAACTCAATAACTCTATGATCCTAAGGCAATGAAAAAAGGAATAATCATTAAGCTAACAGAAATCACTGTGAACTTCAGCTCTGGGAACAAGCAATAGAGACTTACTTGACTTTTGCTGCTTCTGGAAGATGCTGCAATTCAGTCTGAATATCTAGTATATCTGGATAATTCTTCTCAAAGATCATAATCAAATAGTGCAACAGTGTAATGTTCCTAAAAAAATAAAAAAGGAAGTTGGTGATGAAAGGGAAGGAAAGATAAAACTATTGTGACAAATGAGTGAAAAATATTTGGGTAGGAAATGTACTTGACTGAAGAAAATAAGCAACAGATCAGCAGTTAACAGATTTGCTATTGAAAGAAAAGCATCATAGATTAAAATAAATTAGTCCTTTATGAACCACTCCCACTAAAACCCCAAGTGCCTTGATTTGTGCTGGGAGCAACAGTATGCTCCTAGTCATCTCCATAGATAGCACAGTGGAAAAAACATTGCACAATACAATGTACTATTTATCTCCATATACTTCAGAGAATAAACAAATGTACTAAAGTGACATTAAATAACAAGGGAGAAGTGAATTGTTCTCAGAGGCAATGTGGGGAGGAAAATAAAAGTTAACTAAGAAGAATAAAAGATTCCTGGAAGTCCAAAGATGCAAAGAAGAGTCCTATAGTAAAACAGCTGTATTCAAATAGTCAGGCTCCCTGATAAAAAAAAAAACAGCTCAAGTAGAAGTGGAAAGAAATGAGACCTAGAAGCAGGTTTAAGGACTGTAAAATAAATGGTGAATTTTGCATCAGTGAATTTTGTAAGTAGAAAAAGAAGCCAGCCATAACAGCTACTTGAAGTGGGTGCTATTTGGTTAACTGACAAGAAGATAGCAGATGGCCACTATTTCACTAAGACCAGAGCCTGGGAGCTGGAGAGCTGGAGACAGAATAGGAGAGAACAGGATCTGCAAATGGCAGTTAATGTATGGAAAATTGAGTCAAGCTACATTAAGGCAAAAAAATAAAAAATAATAAAAAAAAAAATTCAATATTAGCTACACATGTATTAGCATGTATTAGCCTTAGTATATGGAAAGGACATCATGTTAGTCAAAACAGAGTCTTGTTATTTCAAACTCTAATAGGTAGCAAAGAATTTCCTATGGTTTCTTGCCACTATTATTCATTCTGTCATAATCTGAAGTCATTTCACCATAGCTGTGGTCTCAGCAGGTCTCACAATTTGAGGAAGATATAAGTTAGTATGAAGCAGTATAGGAAATCTCCTAGGAAAATCTTAGTACTGCTGAAGCTTGAAGGTGGTATTCACTTCCCAGTCATAGTTGAATTAATTTCCAGAGCCACTATGGGGATATGAAGCAAAACATGGGATAACACTATAAAGACCTGCCACCCATGTCCATAAAGTTAGCTCCACTATCAAAAAAACCCAAACAAACAGCTATTTTTCTTAACTGCTCTAGATACAGCCAAGGTCAGCCTCACCAAGCTACAACTTGTAGTTCTGGTGTAGGTAAAATTTATGAGAGTATTGCATCAGAAGCATATTTCCACGTTTCGCAGGACATGTAAGACTGTGGTCAGAGTTTTTTGTGTTGTTTTTTTTTTTTTGCAAAACCATGTTCATAAAACTTCAGTATAAAAGGCAAATTCCATAGAAATCCTCCTTCTCCCAAACTTATTTCAGTTTAATACTACACTTTGTCATCTTTGTATAACACTGCAGAAACCCAATTCAACAACAGATGTGCACTGTTCAAATGACTGGCAGAATTTGAATGCTTTGTTATTAACTCAAATGCTTCAGGATACTTTAGAGTAAAAAGCACTACTTAAATGCCACGTAAGACATGGTCTGGAGAATAAAAAAAAAAAAAAAAAAAGAAAAAGAAAAGAAAGACCAAAACCAAATACACTCAGTTCTGTTACTATGTTAAGAGGTGCAGCAGCACAGTTACTAACTCATTTGAGGCCTTTTAGCCTACCTGTCTATGCTGGATTTGGTGTCTGCAATTTTGTTCAGGCTGGAGACTTTGAAGCCATATGCGCTTCCCCTTTGGCCCTTGTTCATGTAATTGCCAAAGGCCAGAACAACCTCCAGGAGTTGCCTCAAACGTTTGCTGCGGATGAGTTCTTTGGATGCCAGAAGAATGGCTTGAAAAGAGAAAAGAAACAAATAGGTTATTGTTGTTTTTAACATATTTTTGCCCATAATCTGAAAGGCCCCAAAGTGTCCGTCTGACTGTTGCTCAGTAAATGTTACAATACAGTTCTGTTCATGCATGGTTCTTTCCCCCACCCAGCTTCCCAGATGCAGGACAACTGGAAAGAAGATACACCTCCTCATTCTACAGGACACTCCTCTGAACCCAGGAATAGGGCTGTTCTCCTGGGTCTCCCACATTAAAAACACAGGTAGTGGGAACAGGGGTAAGTCTAGAGCTCATCTGAAAACGCAGAGTGGAAGATACTCCCCTCCTCTCTTTGATAACCAGGAATGATGCACAGAAGCCATGGCATTATTCTTGTAAGTGACACATTTCCACAACATCACTGTTCTGAGGCACCTAACCTAACTGCTCCAGTGAGATGGAAAGTGAAAGGACTGGGAGTGAGAAGGGAAGGCTGGAAGCGTTTGTCAGTTCAGTAATACCTGGTAGCACACTGAGATGTGTCAGGTCATATTTACAGTGTAACAACAACACTTTATTAAGTCAATTGGGTGTAAGAGCATCATACAGAATTTGCTTCCCAGTGTATTGCATGTCTTGGATTTGCTGGCTTTAAAACCACAGCACGGATGTAACAATTCCTTTGAAGAAAAACCTCTCTTTACCTTCCTTGCCCATTTACCCAGCCCCTAGCAGAGCCTTTAATCATACCTTCTACTTTTGGCTTTGCTTCTGCCAGCCTCTCTGGAAACTTCTTCTTGAAGAACAATGCTTGGAGTCGCTGCTGATAGTGGTCAATCCTACACAAAGGGTAGAGTAAAATCAGCACTGATCTTGAACCATATTTGGAAACCCTGGGCCAGCATGCTGCCTACATAATCTAATGGCTGAGTGTTGAAACCCAAAATATCTATGCATGGGATTACAGATATAGTTCAAACACCTAACTCTACTTAAACAAAGCTGTTAGAAAAACAGAGAGCCTGAATGCATGAGTTCCAGGTGAAAAGGAGCTGGAAGAACTCCCACTACTCTCAAAATATAAGTGTCATGAAATCCCTTTTTCTGTGAACACAGCTAGGAAGAGGAGGCAGATTTCTGCTTGTCATCAGGGGATTGTCCTTAAGTGACAGCATGGAAAGTGTTTATTATCAATGAAAAGTTTGTGTAATGAAGAAAAACATTTGTAACATTGGAAGGCTTCTGGAAAATGCAAGGTATAATGTTGGCCCATAATCTCTTGCACATTCCCCCTCAGTGCCAGATGATCCATTTTTAACAACAATTACAGGTGCTTCCAAGAAGCCCTCAGTGCTTTTTCCCATAATGTATTGAACAGACCTGCTCATTTCAAAGAGGAAACGATCTGCCCGAGCCATGCGCTCTATTTCATGTTTATGCTCCTCCAGCAGGTCGGTATCGCTCTTTTCAGGAACAAACTTCAGCAGCTGGAATGGCAGACAAACCAAACACCAAGACAAGAGTTTTATCTGTTACCAGTGGGAAGCATTATTTTGATTCAGGCACGTGACTGTAACTTCAAGTGCAGCTGCGGCTACAAAACTGACCTTTTCAAAATATCTGCTTGCTGTTGTGCCTTTGTCCTTCACTGACCCTACTGGATTCATTTTCATCTCCAAAGGGGAATTTCCCATTTCTAAATCCTAAAGGCCAAGTACGACTGCAGCTTACCCAAGGGGAAGAACAGAAAGAACTCTGATTCCCACAGCACTATGCAGAGCGTAGACTGGTGCGTACAATAACAGGATGCACCCCAACCAGTGTGAACTACTCCTTGTGCGTATCTTGGAATGCACACAAAGCCCCATCTATCTCTCTCTTGGGTCCGCCCTACTCTGCGGAAACAATAAACAATAACCAAGCCACTAGATGTGTATCTGACACTGGCTGCTATTCATACGCTGACCTTAAAAGCTCATACTTTGACAGATTTTTGACATATCTAGCGGTAGCTGTGCTTTAGTCTGGTTATAAATACTGCCATGCATGCAGCCTCAGTGCACACCCACAAGGAAAAAACTGCTTGCAAGAAGCACTTCTGCTTTACACCATTTCTTTAATATCTCATCCCACCCCTCAAAAGTGTGGTACTCAAAGGTGTGGAGCATCAGAAGTTTGCACTTACTCATAAAGCAGCTGCAAACATTCAGTTAAGATGAGAAGCAGGCTATACATTTCCAAAATGGAATAGCTTTTTGTATATGATTAAATACACTGACTGCATACAAAGAAGTAATTACATTTGTCGTATAGGTGAGAATTATAACATTCTGTGCCCTCCTAAGGAATTTTATCATATGCAACTGTGGTCAAAATATCATCTTTCACCCTCTATAAATGGGAAAAAAAAATGGAGGAATGGTGTTTTAATTGTTCTGTTTTGCTTTCCCTACCAGCTATGCAGTGTAAATGGAGGACAGAAGTCTCTCAATTTCTTTCTAACCATTCTAGTTAGAATGCAAGTTCCCTTCTTAGAGGTTAGAGTCCTGGCTGTAACCATCAACATACACAATCTGATTCATGACATTTCCCAATGGAAAAGCTGGGCAAGGGAACACATTAAGAAAAAAGAAAAGACTGAAGATTGTGGAAGTCACAGAAAAGTCATAGGTAAGAAGAAAGTTCATGAAAGCAAACCCCATACCAACTGTAACCATGCATATATCGCATCAGGAAAAGTAAACTGGTATTGGAATCCAAAAGCCCAAGGGATCAAATTCAACCTGACACAAATAGTGATAAACAAGGGAGATATGTTTTATGACACTGGGAAAAACAGCATTTCTCATGCTCCAACATGCAGTTCAGAACCACAGACAGACTAGCAGAGCCTCCACACGCATCCACTTATTTTGGCTGAAAAAAAGGCAGTGAGAAATTTATTTATAAGGTAGAGTTGACTGCAATCTTACCTGTTCAAGCATATCTTTTGCTAGGTCTTCTTGCTCATCCATCTTCAAGATTGCTTGTCTGATTTCTTCATTAGACAGCTTCAACCTTTCAACAGTACCAACAGTCTACCATTAGTGAAAAGTTCAAATTACTCAGTTCAGAAAATAGGAAATCTGAAAAGCTGCACTTAAAAATAACACAAAAGAGCTGTGGGAAGGTCCTACATGAAACTATGTTTCAAAGGCTGAATTTTTCTATTTTGTGTTTCTTTTTTTACTTTTCTTTTTTTAATCCACTTCAGAAAATCAAAAGCACACTGACTACAGACATGTCAATTAACAAAAATCAAATCCTCATAGATCAAAAGTGCTTCCAATTTCCTCCTTTATCAAAATATTTCCCTCATCCTTTTACAGCACAAAAACCCTGCAAATCTGCATAGTTTGTAAGTGATTGTGAGCTCATGTTTCATCTAAGCTTTTAAATATTAAAGGATCTCCCAACGTAACAAGTAATGATTCTGATCTTCCTATGACAAATCTGTTTGTGCTTGCTAAGCTCACTCCGTTAGCAGTCGCAGCTGAAAAAGAAACTGACATCACAGACAAGTCCACGTTTCATATCCAATATGGAAGAAGCCTTAAAAACATAAGCTTACTTTACTAATATCCAAGGTGTTAAAAATTTGTTCTCCTTATCACCTACTCCTGTATATTTGTGTGCAATAGGTAGGAGTCATCAGTTACAACTAAACAAGAAATCAATAAAACAAATCAACTGAAATCCAGGGCAGACCAGTCAAAATTAGGGATCACTTAGAGGCTGTTTGATACACTGCCAGAAATTAATGGGTGGTTCTCAGTGCAGGTGACAATAAATATATGTGCAAGCAACAAATTCTATACTACCATTCCACACTCACAACACCCTCATTGATCTTCCTAGCAGAATAGGGGAGAACTATACAGAAGAAAATCTCAATTTTGGGACTGAAACAGGAAAGTGTGAAAATAAATATTTGAGGAGAGAAGTCTGCAGTCTCCACAGACAATCATTATAATTAATTAACAGCAGAAAGAGAAATTGTGAAAACAAACAAGAGACAGGCTGACGCACAAGCCAGAACGTTTTTGTCTTCCATGCTAACCAACTCCATGTTCAAATTTCACATTGCTATTGCCATTTGGATAGAATCACATTTGTATGTAAAAGCAAAAGAAAGAGCTTTACTTTTACAGACAGGAAATATTACTAAATCTGAGAAACTTAAAACATTTTAATATTGCCCAATACAACCAACAGCTGGAAACTAGAATATGAATCAGCAGAAATTCAAAAGCATTTAAATATTACACCCCTTAACTAATTACACTCACTGCGCTCCTAATTGTTCACTGCTGGCTGTCCCCTTTTGACAAGGAAGGCAAACTGATAACAGCTAAATAAGAATTACCACAAAATAGAATTACCTTCATAATAGGGGCATACTTGAGAAATAAAAGGATTAGAAGGTTTAGAGTTCAGGCTGGAAACTTTTTACTTTAGGTCATCAGTTTTCACTCAAGATCAAAACAACAAACCTCAGTACACAGGCTTCTGCATAAAACCCTACTTTCTCAATCAGAAAGCTGAAGTTTCTTTTGGCTTTAATAATCATGAATTACGAAGTCTATGGTTGCATGACCCTGAGTTGATCAAATTCTGTGACTGCACGACTCTTGAGAAGCTTATTTTTGGGCGTAGGCCTGGCTCTTAGCAGACACACGTACACATAACCAGACAATTTGGGTGCCTACACTTTTGGAATGTGTCACAAAGTGCACCTTTACATTTTCCAGAATCTAGCCTCCACACAGAGGGCTTGTATCTTGTGACACAGGCACAGTGTGTCAGAGGAGAGACAAGAGGCCAATCCATGAACACCAGGGTTTTTTGTCAGTGATGGTGTTGCTACTTTCACTCGAGATTTATGGAAAAAAAAAAAAAAAAAAAGTGTCTTTTTTTCCATGAAAATAATTCAAACAATTAGTACACTGACCATCTCTTTACACAGAGATCCTGTGCGTGTGTTTGGGAACTCAATAAATATGACCAAACAGAGAGGTCTGAGGCACATTAACAACACAGAAAGCGTGGCTCACATTACTGTGGATTTCAGTATTCTGTCCAGGAGCCTGAGGACTTCAGATTCCAAGCTCCACTGTTTGCTGCCATTTATCATAACTAAATACACTTGAAAACATCATCTGTTCAAAAATAATGGAGAGCCCCAAGGACAGACAGTTATACAAACACTTTGATTTCTTGAATGATTCTGTGCCCAGCCATCCGCAGAAAAACATCTGGCTTGGATGGTTTAGCCCACAGTGGAGAGAACCAGAAAGCTTGCCAGCCCCCTGCTGAGAAGCAGTTTAACTTAGTCACTTACAGGCCTGTAATGGGGTCATGATGCCTGCAGGTGTGCATCCTCGATTATTACCAATCCAATTACTAGTACAGAAGGTTTTACAGCAAAACAAGCTTACTCTTCCAAAGCAGGCTTTTTTGAGGTAGGACATATCTCAAGAGTTGTAAGTGTCAACGTCAGTAAACAGGGATCTTTCCAGTAAAAACTGGCTGAAGAACTGGCCAAAGAATTCTTAATCATGTGATTTTTCTTGTATCTTCAAAATTAATGCTCAGTCATGCAGTAGATCTTAAAGATGGACAGTGGTAATGTGAAACAGATGTGCTGCTTTTAAACAGAAACAGGTGAAGTGATTAAAGAGGAACCTAAAGCAGATGCATAAACTTTTTCCATTTAGAACTAAATAGAGGCATCCCTCAGAGCCTAAAACTCATGAGGTACAGACAGCAAATTAATGTGGGACTGCAGCCCAAAAAATTACACTGCAGAAATTACATTTCAGTAAATCAACTGTCTACTGAAAAGTTTGCAATGACTTTCTTACAAGCTTCACAGATCCAGGCACTCTTCCTCCAGCTGCTGGAGACAACTCTATTCAGAACAGCGTACAATTCAAGCTGCATTCTCTCTGCCTCACACTTCTTAACCAAAGCAACAATCCTGGCATCAAAACTTAGGAAATAAACGTAACCAGGAGAAAAGACTGTGCCTCCTTCCTCAGCTGCAGCACACTCATTCAGAGCACAGATACTGACTGTAGTTTTGTTCAAGGGCAGCCTGACGCCAGTCAAAAGAACAACGGAAAGGATCTTTACTGAGAATACTCCCTCCTTCTCCCCTTACCCATACATCTTGTGGCAGTATATAGAAGTCCAACTGCTTGAGTCATCTTCAAGCAATGTTAAAATTCAACAAGTACCAAATAACTTCTGATATGGTACTTAAGCTGCCTCCCTCTATCCCCTCCGGCTTCATAAATAATCTCTATTGACTCTGCTGGGTAATTCATCACTAATCTCCCCAGGACACCTCGGCTGATTTAACACCAGCTTCACTTGAAGACATCAAGTGGTTTATTGTTTCGTCCTCTTGGAGAAAGTCAGCAGCCTGTCTCTGAACATGCCTGGGAGACATGCTGCAGCTTTACATCAGCTTCCCTTGCAGACACCCAATGCTCACTCATTTTTCCTTCTTAAATATATCCATTGATTTGAATCACAGTAACCTCCCCCCTTCATTCCTCTCTTCGATGGATCAAAACAGAATATTTGTGGCTTATTAACCATCACCCTCCACATATGAAGAAGTGAGTCACTTCATGGGTTTGTTCCTTGGATTTTGCTTAGTTTTTAAGAATGCAGCTTGTCTGCCTGCTACCAGAGAACCTTGAACTGTGTTACAGCTACATTAGTATCTTGTTCCCACTCTTCCTTTTTCTTTGGAGGAAGGGACTGGTTTTAATGTAAATCAAGACTGAACTAAATCACAGGGCTTGTGAAGATGCTAGCAGTTGTAGCTGTGACAGTGCTGCTGCTAGCTGAAAACAGTGAAATAGGCCTTACCCTTCCTCATGTGTGAGCATGACCTCAAACACGTGCACTTCTCCACATATTTAACTAAGGCCACTTTGTGGAGCTCACTCAATTTTTAGCTTTTATTGATCACAAACTGCTCCATCTTCACAACTCACACAGGTTAATAGTGAATTCAATCCCAAATTTTGTGACTGGTACATAAACCTTCTAAAACTACTGAGCTCTCCTAATGCACTGTACAAACGCCAAGCTGCAAGCTGATGTTAAATAGCTACATTCTGGGAAAACTTACTGTTGGTAACCCATAAAGGCAGGAAAAGTAGATCTCTCCGTCCATTTTCAGAAAAAAGCATTCAGGAACATTAGGCTGGTCTAACTGCAAGTTAACCTAGGAGAGAAACCTCTCTTTTCACATTTTATCTCAGCTGCCAACACATTTTGTCAGTGAAGATGACAATGTCTTAACATTTGGGGAACAACAGTGGGGACTTCTATCACATATAACTTGCACCACTGTATCAACATATTGGGCAAAAATCTACCAGTACATTTTCAGTACTTCATTGTGAAAACATTTTGCTAAGTGCATAAACAAACAGCCTTCTCTTTTGTTTTAGTTATTCAGAGAAAGCTCATGAGTGACCATCATCCACACACTCTCAACTTCCTACCAAGAAGTATCTGAGATGCCATCTTTCCAAGCCAAGCAGGGCCAAACTTGGGAATCCCCAAACGACGGTGACATGTTGATGAGACAGTTGTTCATCCTTCATCACAGCCCTACCTACTGTTTCCCGTTCATGATTTAAGACAGAATGACACTGGCTGATATGTCAAGTTTAACCCTGGGGATTATCATACTCTGGATTTATTGTGGACATTTACGTAAAAACAGAAAATTCCTCCAGGAACCAGGAAGCAGTGTTTATTGCCTGATGTTTTTCAAGACAGAAAAACTGACCTGCTGAGTCCGATGAACTGTTTCCATATCAAGATACAATCTGTACCCCCAAATTATCATAGTACTTCGAATCTGCCTTAAAATAAGGGTGAAAAGTGTATTGCCACATGGCAGAAAAGCACACTGGGGGCTGGGGAACTGCACAGACAGCACATGGAAATCAACACTGTCTGAGTAGCTCATCCCTTTAATGTTTGAACTAAAAGGGTTTAGAAACTCTGAGGAGGCACAGCTATGTGGAAAAATACTCAGTCTCTTCAGTATTCTGGTTGGAAGTGCTGCACAAGTCCCTTCTCCCTCACTGACAGATATCCGAAACAACAATCATGAAAAACACAAACTTTTAGTACAGCCACTTGCTAAGCCTGGTTCACAGTATAAAACTACTATGAGATTAACATTTAAAATTATTTTTGTTCAGTCAGATTGTGTAGTCTTCTGCTACTAACTGTATTTATGACATTTTCCTTGCATTCCTACTGTTTCCAGCCTCTTGAGAGGGTTACTACTGACTAGCTGGGCCACAGAAATAACAAATACATCTCAGAACAACTCTGACATAATTATTTTGCTGGAATTCAAGCAAAATAACTTGTCCAAAAAAGTTCCATAAGTATACAGTCAACCTTCATGCTCCATGTGAGTGATGTTTCTCATAAGACCAGATCTCTGCAGAGCATTTCACAGAATAGAACAGTAAGAGATACAAGCCATAGGCAAGTTCTGTAAGGAACATTTTAAGATGTGGTACAATAAAAACACTAGAGCAGTGAAAATACTATCTGTTATTTAAGTAATGAAAGGAAAGAGAAGCCATACTGGTGAGAGAGGTCAGAGAAGTTTCCAGCTGTGAAGCAAAAGCAGGGAAGCACAGGGATCTGGGATGGCTCTTCCAGACCACACAAGTCTGACAGTAAATTCTCCAGCCTGGTGGAAACTGAAGACATCGGGAAATTCATGAGGGATAGCAGGTTTCCAGAGTGACAGAAATAACTGTATGTTGGAAACACCATTAAGAAAGCCAGATTTGAAGACAGTGGGCGCCTGGACTCACCACAGACAGATGGTTCCACGCCTTGGTTGAATTATAGCCTACTGGAAACACTGTGAGATAAACTGATCTTGTGCCTGTTCAAATCTTTACAGTTGGCCTATGGGAAAGAACTTCGTTCTGGATCCATCAGGTTCCATTAAACAAGAACTGTTACATCCTCCCACTGAAGTTCCCACTGAAAAATATTGCTATCAAGTTGCTGAAAAAAAAAGCTTTTTTTTTTTTTCAATGAAAATTGAGATGAGAATAGGGAGGAAGTCCTATGAATCTCACTGTTAGCAAAAAATAATTAACAATTCAATTTTCATCTCTTTTCAGTTCACCATGCTCCAGTTTCTCTATGAAACAAAGCAAGAGACATCTATTTCTCACTCTAGCTAGATTTTGGCTTGTTGGATCATATGAAATATGAGCTCTGCCTGACCCCTTCTAACACAGTGTTAGTAAAACAAAAACATTTGAGTAGTGGAGGGAAAGAAAACCCAATCCATGCAGCTATTTTACTTTAAAGGACACGGCAGTTTAGTGTAAACAAAGGGGGAATAAACTACAGGGATATATGCACAGTAAGAGTAAATTGGAAACAGCTGTTGGCAGATACTGTGGCAACCTGAAAGCTGGGGCTGCAGCTCAGGGTTGGTCAAACTCTCTTTGTTTGTCACCATTTTAAAATATTTTCTCACTGCATGTGTCTGCACACCCACATGCACACGTGTAAGGTGCACTGCAGGAGAAGCAACGACATGGCAGTAACCAGGCAAGACTTGGCTAGGAGCATCTGTCCCTCTGGGTTTAGCCTAGAGTAGGAAGCACTGGGATAATGAAAAAAACTGCAGTGGGGTTGTATAAACCTTTTGATTACTGTCTGCAGCCAAACCTCCCAATTGCTATCTTCAACAACAGATCCGTGTAAGCAGAAAGTGCAGTAACAGACATGAATACAGAGGTGCCATTTTAGTTCCCAAAGATTTTTGTTTTTCTATTTGCCTTTGAAAGGGAGGTTTGGAGAGAAGAAGCAATCCTGGTCCGAGCTATGAGATACTTCATATATCCTGGATGTAAAGTTATCTGTGACAAGCATGAAACCATCTAAGTTAATGATAGCTCTGGTGACAGCAAGGTTAACAGGGCACAATGCAAACTGGGAGGTATTGTTAGGCCTGCTAACAATAAGACCTGATTATTTCTTGGTGGAGAAGCTTTTCAGCTCTTGAGTCCAAATAAGCAACTCAACACATACTAGCTTCATGGCACACCTGGAGTGATCACATGCTGCATACCCTGAAACGCAAAGCTAGTGCACCAAGATCACTTTTCTGGAGGCAACAGGAGGTATGACACATCATGGGGACTGTCTCTCTCTCACTGTTCAGAGAGAATTCCTTAGGAAAGGATAGGCTAGACTTGCACAGCAGAAGAAGTGAATGATGAAAAGCATGCTGCTGCTACCTATACTTGCTCCTGTTTATGGGATAGAAGATATTTAAAAATAGACATCGAGTGTCACAGCAACTCATGGACCACTTTCTTGGATCCTCCTCAGCCCTGCCACCTGTATACATTATGTTACCATTCCAGGAAGCATTTCATGTGCTTACATGACTTAATCTGTGCCCCAGATACACTTTCACAGGTCTGTCAAACAGCATGAAAATCCTGTTGCCCCTATACCTTCAGCATCCCTCTGCCCTAGCCTGCAGTCAGCTGCCAGCATGAGCAAAAACATGCATTGGCAACTACTGCAGAGAGAGAAATGTAAGCCTTCCCTCCTTGCTGGTTTGGATGGCAGGGGTCCTGCTGACATGCAGGCTAATGCCACATATGTAGCATAATGAGCACCTCCACAGTTTTCACCAAACAGTAGAAAGAACTCACTCCAGTCCTGGTGGTCTGGCTGCAGCGTTGCTTTTAACTGTTACCTTGTCTGCTAGAGCAGACAATCACACAAAGCTACATTTTCTGCTAATCAGTGGAATGCTCAGTACTGCCACAGGTTTCCCAGTCTTGCTTCCTGCCTCTGACAGGGAAGGTAAGATTCTCAGGTGGTTCAGTCCCTGTACAAATTTGCTGTTTAGTGACAGATATCCAGCCCAGTACACAGGTTGGCAGAAAGTCATGAAAAGCATACAGGTAACCCTGATGTCACAGCATCTGAAGACATAGGATCATTACAAGAGCATGCAAAGTTGAATCATGCTTTCCGAAGCCTAATTTACAAATAAAAGACCTAGTTCTTTTCTTACATTTGCCAACTTTCTAACCAAGTTCCAAAAATGATAAAGATGATCACCACTCTCAACACTGCTGTATTCCAAGGAGGTGTTTACAGCAACATTTGAAAAGCAACATACAGAACAAATTGAACTAATTGACACACAAACCACATGGGAGAAACATCACTTAAAGTGAAGTGGAAGCACTGCCAACCAGCTCATTTCATCTGCCCATAAGTACCAATAGCTTTCTAATGATGTGTTCAGATACATCCTGGTTTCTATGTCTACCTGCTTAATAAACAAAATGTGTGCGCATACTAAGAGAGCTAACACTTCACAAAGGCACTTGTGCACTTATTAAACTGCAAAAGAATTTTGTTTGAAGTGCTACAGGTATGGGACAGCAGGTCTAGGTAAAAAAAAGTACATGTCCGTTCATTAAATTCCACTCCCCTCTTGCCTCTGCATTGACCACAGCTTATGCTGTCAGCTAAGGCATAGCACACTTACTTGGAAAGGAGAATGACACAATTCTGGGCCCTCCGGCCATCAATCACAGAGAGCTCTTTCACCTTTCGTGTGGAGAGGTAAAGGTCTTCTGTTGAACCCATCTCTTTCTGCGTATAATTCAAAAAAGGGGGGGAAGACAGTCAGTATCATGTTTTTCCTTGTCTACTCACCCAATGCTGATAGAGTTAGTTCAGTATGATGAAAAAAAATCCCAATTTGGGCAAATCCACCCACATGATGAGAAAAGGAAGCATGAAGGACAGAAAACATGTAGGTAGAGCCTGTACTACTAGACAGACAGGAGTCATTCATTATCACCTGTAAGATCACCAAATACTGGACCTGATTCTAACTTACAGGATTCACTCTATGAACAGCTGTGATATTATTATGTAGATTATTCTTAATGTAAATCTAGTCTGACAGAAAAACTGGGCACATATGGTAAAGCCCACCACTCGTAGCATATCCTTCAGCTGGATGTCTTTTGCAAAGGTTACACAGTGCTTTTGAAATGCTGCAGCCCAATAGGAAAAATCCTTTTATCATCTCTAAAGGCTGCTATTGGACCAATCTAATCCATGCTGCAAGTGAGATACAAACAGTAGGGCAAGACAGTCTTCATCATAGTAAGTATTTTACTAAGTATCATAGTAAGTATTTTACAAAGTCACCAACGACTACATTTGAACTAGCCTCTCTTTTTAAATGAATTAATACAATTAAATATGGAGAAAACAACTTCTGTCAAAGTCTTCTGTATATCCCCCCATTGCCAAACTCTTCACCCTGGAAAATACCAGTCCAAGATGTTTGACACAGAGCATAGACAGAAACTAATTGCAGACCTAGTCTGATCATCCACAAGTCTCTGACTCCTTGTCCTGCCTACATATCAGGCGTGAATTTTGTTATACTTCTAGAGATTGGCTTTCTGTAATTCCATTTTGCATCTTTTAACACCATTCCCTAAACAGAAGTAGAGGTAATGATAAAAATTTACGATTTTGCATAATAGCTCCCAAGAAATCAGCAGAGGAAACTGGAAACAGGATGGCTTTTATTTTCCCAGCTTGCTGTTGTTGGAATTTCTTTAAAAATGACTTTTCATTACACTCATATTATCATTCCTTTAGATTTTGAAACTAACTAGTATAATCCAGCTTTGAATGCATCCATCAAATTATTAACATGATCTCTTCCATTGGACATAACAGCAAACATGCTGGGTTGGACATTCTGTGTCCTGTCCAGTGTCCTGTCTTTGAGTGTGGTCAATAGCAGATATCCATGGAAAAATGTAAGACCGTGACAACTGTGCAATTTCTAGAATTAATGCCTTGGACTGAAAGTTCTTCAGCTCAGATACTACTTATGTTAGTGTCTGTTTCAAGTTACTAACTCCTAATATGATGCTTTCAAAGAGCTTACTGCTCTCCTGATTAACCCACTTCAAGAGATTTTTTAATACCCAAGTATCTGAAATTTCAATGTAAACCTTGGAGAAATTCATACTGTTACTTCCCATTTTAGTTCATGGTACAGCCACAATGAGCCTGTGCTGCTCCTGGATTCACAAAGGATTCATACAACCACATGCAAATGTGTTGCAGGGAGCCACTACCAATATGAAGTAGCATTATAAGCAGGTACAATCCATTAGCCAAAGACATGCATACTATAGTTCTGCTTGAGAAGCCCAGAGTGTCTAGTTGAGAAAGAAAGAAAACACAAAACCACTGGACAAATCAAAAAGAGTTTCTAAGGAAAGAAAAAAATGAACATTTAGCAAGCTTATTATTTTTGAGGAAAACTAACAAAACAGAAGAGCAGTGCACCCCCAGGATGTATGCAGAGATGTCCAATTTTTCTGAATTTCCTCAGTTTTTGGGGAGGAGGGCAGGAGAATAGGTAGATAGGCAGCTGCTGAACAGTGAGAGGCAAGCAAGGTACCGGTAGGTCTGTGCTTTGTTCCCAATTTAAAAGCTTCACTGTCTCTCACTAGCTAGTGTTTGCAGACAAGTACAGCTGGTTACCATTATACAGCACCCATCCCAAGGAAAAAGAAAAAAAATAAAGTAATTTCAGGGCTTGGCTACATACTGTGTATTTCAAGGCTTGGCTATGCAGTGTGTTCAGATGTCTTCCCCTAAAGCCATGCAGGAGGGATTAGTATAACAGTCTCCATCCCGTTTCAATTCCCCAGCCCTGAAGGTTCAACAGAGATGAATACCTGAACTATTCAGACATGGCCCACTCCTTGGTCATAAGGAGTGGCCTAGTCTCATCTAAAAATATATTCTCTCCAACTCATATTGAGAAGAGAGATATTTATAGACATTTGGAGTTCTGTGTAAGCAAAAGCAGATGAAGCTTCAGGTTTTACTGAAGCCAGATTGCAAACTGCACTGAAGGAAAACAGATTGCATGTAGACTATCTGTGTTTTCTTAAACACGGAAAAAGAAGAGCAGTAGTGACCAGCTTTTGTGGGATAAGCCAAACACACAGAGAAAAAACAGCTGGAGCTGTTGTCAACCTACAAAACAATGTCCCTACATCTTATCCCATTATTCTTGACAGTCTTTCTGTGTGGACTAACATTGTGCTATACACTTCAAACAGTATTTCAGATTTGAGATTTTAATTACAAATTCAAAAATCTACACTATCACACAGACTTGTTTTATGGTACACATTGCCATGATGATAAACAGTTTGTGGCCTAGATGCATTTATTAGTCTCCTCCAGCAACAGAGGAAACTTTCTAGTTACAGTCCCCTGAGTACTCACAGCAAGAACTACTTTCTTGCTTTCCATACTTTCCATCAGATGCCACCAGAGACACTTGTCACGACATCTCAAAAATCCCCTTGATAGAGTCTTGCTCTTCTCAAAAGTCTCTCCCAGAAATTCTGCTTAGATAATGAATAAAATGAGAGATACTTTGCCTCCGATCTTTTTGCTCAGAATCATCTAAATGGGAACTACAGAGTTACCAGCAGAAACCACAGAGTGATTACAGCTAATTGAACAGGAATTACATCTTTGTGTAGCAGAGCTAACACAACTGATGAAATTTTTTTTTTCTACCTTCTCCACCCAGGAAGCAGAGGTATAAGGACATATGAAAGACTGGAATGAGATGAGGCATGATCCTATGACAGCATGGTGTAGCATCTCCTTCCCAAGAGCTATGAGAGGATCAGAAGGCAGACAGTGATACTCACCTGCTTGCAGGAAGAGGGGTTAGTTAGCAGGTCCTATGCAGACAGCAGCCACAAATAACAAAGAAGGAAACATGCCAAAAGTCAGTCACAGAGAAGTACACCAAGTTTAACAAGGCAGCTGAATTTAGACACACACACTGTTTTCTAAGAGAATAAAATGCTGAGCGAGTAATACTGGCCCACATGGTTTAAAGGTATTTCAGCACTTCTTTACATATTTTAAATCAGCAGGTGTTAGGGAAATAAGAGTTCTAGGTCTTTTCTGAAATGAATAAATTCAGTTTCCAAACCATAAATCTCTAAGGTCTAGAAACATTAACTAGGATAGTGCTCAAATACCTTTACAAATCTAGTCCAGAGCCTTACTGAAAGAACTGCCAAGGTTAAAAATCAAGGGTCAGTTCTCCTCCCCCAATGCACAGGCACAGTTTGCCTTTCATAGTAACAACTTGTTTCAATGGCACATTATAGCTTTAACGACTAAGAGCCAACAACTTATAGCCAAAAGCACCGTGTAACTACTAAAAAAAACCCTACAGCAGCACTGGCTAACAGACACCAACTATTTCATGACTTATTCCATTCTCCAGGAAAACATCAGATATACTGAACAAAAAGGTCAATATTACACAGTCAGATTGGAGCAAAGTCAAAAGACACGTGTAAGAACTCTTGCTCCAACCTTCTGTACACCGAACAATTTTCCTTTTCCTAACAGCCACCCAAAACAACATACTGGGCTTGAGAGAGGAGAAGAGATCCTTCATCATTAAAAAAAAAAAAAAGAAGCTGTTAGATATAAATGAAGCTGAAAAAATAGGATCATATTAATAGCAGCAAAGAAAGAAATGTCTTTGTCTGTACTCATTCAACATTTCAGATGCAAAAGAGCAGGGTTTTCGCTGACATTTTTCTTTACAGACATTTGGAGGAAGTTTAAAAGTCACAAACCCAGGGTAAACACATACTTGGCCAGAGCGGAGTATTAATAAAATAAAAGAGGAGAAAAGACCAAGTGTGAATCAATTGGAAAAGTTCTCATCAGAATTTGATTCAAAAGCAATTTTGGTTGCCTGGCCTTGAAAAAATAAAAATAAAAAATAAATAAAAAAAGAAAATGGAAATATGAGGATTTGTTGTTTGGAATTTAGTTCTTATTGGAGTGAATACGGATGAAAAAGAAAGCATTACTTAAAGTAGTAACAGTGGAATACAAATGAAAAAAATTAGAAATGCGAAACTAAAATGAAAGCTGGAAGGGTATCAATACACTTAACTGCACAAAGCCATGATGATATTGCATAAGTGATACTCCAGTGTCTGGAGCCACTGTCATAAAATTTGCTTAACAAGCACTGAGAGAACTGTTCAGAGAACCACGCATCACTGAGATGATGGCTTCATTTCAGTGGGAAAGTTTAGGTTTAGGGTCACGCTACTTTACAGCTGAGTATGTCAGGCACCTTTTCAGTAGTTGGTAACACAGCTATAAATATTACGTTTCTAACTAAGAATCAACAAGCCAGTACATTGACCAGTACATTTTTTAGTTTATATTTGGGGTAAGGCTTTGGAAGGTCATTTCTGGTGAGGAAGCTGCAGCGTTTGCACCTCAAATGCCACATGCTGGCACAAAACCACTACATTAGAATGGCACCTCAGTGGCTGCTGTTGTCCACAGATGGCAGTCTGCCTACTTTCACAACAGCTGGAAGCTCTCTACTATAACTACGCTACTGGCACACAGGGTCTACACCCAGTCTTCTACAGCAGTGCAGTTTCATGTGCCTTTCTTTCTCTCTAGTGAACTAGTTTTTTATTTCTGAGAATAAATATGAATAAGATTTGCAGAGATAGAGAGGGACACACTTCAACAGCTATTTGCAGGAGCAGAATAAGAAATTAAATGCCATCATGTAATGGGCAACACTGCAGTCTTCACAGTTCAAGTTGTGATGCTTATCTAGATGATTATGAGCTAGTAAATCAGAAAAGTTATTCATTATGTTTATTGAATCTGATAGGAAAAAATGATAATGAGGGAGAGAGAGGAGCAAATGGAAAAGTCCAAAGGCAAGGGCTATGTGTTCATTGTAAGGTACTGAATAAGATAGTGAATGATAACAATGAAATTACCCTTATTATTGTGGGTCTTAATTTACAGGCTGTTTATGACAATCATGTCTGTGTCTTTTCCTAAAATTCCAAAGAAATTATCTGATTTTGCAGAATAGGAAAGATTGAAGTTCTCCAAGTATTCCAAAAACAGATGAAAGCTGGAGGAGTTCAGGGAGTGCAAGTACAATCTCTCTCCTGTTAAATCTAATTCAGTGGAGATAGATGGATTGAAAGTAACTTGCTTTCCAAGAAAAAGAGGAGGGGAAAAAAGACATTATAATAAATGGTTGCTTTTAAAGTATGCCGTTTGTGTTACAATCTTTCATTTTGACAGATTCTGTCATCCAGCCAGTTGGACCAGGTATTTACAAAAAGAAAAAAAGACACAAAGCAAAAGGAAGCTAATTCAGTCACCTTGCACAGTTCTTGGATGAATACAGATTTTTTTCATTGGGAAATAGAGAATTAAAAGACATAAGAGAAAGACAGATATCAAGCATGAGCATAAAGTTCAGGAGCTTTTGGAAACCAGTGGGTACTGAGGTAATATTGGGCATTACCTCTTGTGAAGTGTTGTCTCTGATAGCTGTCCATCAAGTATCATAACAGAAGGCTCTACTTTGCCCACTATATAGAATCATAGACTCACCAAGATTGTAAAAGATCTCCAAGATCATCTAATCCAACCATCCACCTACCACCAATATCTCCTTACTAAACTATGTCCCTAGGAACAACATTTAAATGTTTCTTGGACACCTCCAAGGATGGCAACTCAATCACCTCCCTGAGCAGCCCATTCCAGTGCTTAACCATTCTTTCAGATAAGATTTTTTTCCTAATATCCAATGTGAACCTCCACACTTCTTTTGGTCCTGCGATTTTTTTAATAGTGGCAGAGCAGCAAATGATGCAGCCTGACTGCAGATAGGCAAGAATCAAGCATGTGCATTCTTTCCAACTTAACGTATTCAAGGAAGACAAAGTATGGAAGAGTCCACTCCTACCTGGTGTCTCTGATACGCTGAGAACATCTTTTCAAAATCTTCTAGATCCAACACCTTGAATGCCTTTAAATCATCAATCTCATTCCAGATTGTGCCATGGATCCTCTCCTGAAAGAAAAGGTCATATTTGCATGAGATAATAAAACCTTTTAGCTAAGTACATACAATGCTATTTTCTTAGGTTTTGATTTTTGTTTTAAACATACTTGGTTATTTATTTATTTATTTATTTATTTATTTTCATCACAGCAAACCTCTGATGAAAGGCCACATTCAGAGACTAGAAAATCAAGCAATATCCATGATCCCACAGAATGTATCCTTTAATAGTGGTCATGAGAAAGAAGTGTCATCATGAGGAAAAAGCTTGGGAAGGATACAGGATGCATGTTCATCTCAAGATACATATTGCCATCTGCAAACTTTGCCATGTTCTGGTTTAAAGCCTAAAGGCTGTACAGTTTCTATTCTGACTGCCTGTTAAAGTAATCTAAGACTTTATTTTACCTTTAAGGCCCTGAGTCTTTGAAGTCAAATGATTTCCTATTATATTATCTCCCCTGTCCATCTGAGTTCTTTGGCTCAGATATTAGCTATACTCAGATCTCTGAGAGAGCATCATATACACTAACTGGAAATGTTGAAAACCTGTGCAGTACATTACCTTGAACACTAGGGAATTCTAGCTTTCCAGAAGATAATTAGCATGAAGCAAAGAAACACTACATGATAAGCACAGATTACTCCTCCAACTTTGCTACTCATCAGCCCTAGACCAAATAAGCTGCTATAATACAGGCTTTAACTCATCACAGAGTCACAGGATGATTTGGATTGGAAGAGACCTTACAGATCATCTGCCACGAGCAGGGATACCTTCCACAGACAACAGTCACCCTAAAATATGAGAGGATTTGAGGTCTTCTGCTGATCTTCTCAGGAAAGACATCCTTGCCAGCAAAGAGGACACAACAACTGAACTACTTTCTCCTTCCCAGGGACTGTTAAGGTATATGTGAGGTGGGTCAATCTTTGAGCAATTATTCATTCTGAAGAGTGTTCATCACACTCATTCACACCTGACCACGGTATCTTTGAGTTCATTTACTTAATAAAGTGTACAGTTAATGTACTTCATTAACTGGAAAAATAAGGAAGGTGTTGATTAAAAGAAAAAGGAAATGGACAGAAGGGATTGTAAAGAGAAAACCTCATGAGATTAAGAGCCAGCAGAACACTGATGCAGAGAAAGCCAGGAACAGCAAAAAGTGGAAATTAAACCCTCTCACAGGCTCCAGCTCTGAAGTACCTGACTTGCACCTACACAGCAAAAAGTGTGTTAACACTTCATTATCAGAACTAATTAGGAACAGGCTCTACTTCCCATTCACAGTCATCAAAGGAATGAGGGAAATGTGCTAAACCACAAGGCTGAAGGAGCAAGGAAAAACACCTGATGGAAGGATGAAATGAAGGGGAAATAAAAGTGTGAAGTGTTCTGGAGGAAATTCCTGGCAGGGCAGGCACTGTAGAGGAATAACCAACACCCTCCCTCCAGAGGTAGTCTGTGAGTGCACGAAGGAAGGCAGGGCTGTCCAGCTAAAATTGCTACAGTGCTGTTTGCAGTGAGAGTATATACTAAATGGGAGCAGAATTCATCCCTGAACAGGCTCACCAATATCTTTGCACAGTTCCTTGCAATCACGTGGTGTTCCCTCCCATAGCAGCAAAAACATGATTCTTTGACTATAACAAAACAAACAAGTTTGGGAAGCTCATCTCAGCTAAAGGAATAGGAGACAAAATTAACTCTGGTTTCTACTGCAAATCTTGGCCAGAAACATCCAGACAGGGTGTTCATTCTCATTCAGTTTCCAGGCTGGCTTTATAAACCTTGCTTTATAAATCCTGAGAGACATATTTGAACTCAGGAGTGTTTCTGTGAGCTCCTCGTTGTCTCATATTGTCCCATCAAACACTGAAATGGAAAAATTTATATTGAGGGGAGCCAGTGGACATGACTTCAGGAATGGTCCTTAGAGTCATCACTGGGATAGAACACTGGGGATGTCAAGAGCTGGATTTGGATGTGGCTCAAGTGACAGCTACTTTTGAGAATCTTGCCATCTACCTGTCTGGCTGTAAAACTCTCTTGGAAGTTCAGTTTCCCCATGAATGGGGAGAATGATGAAAATCTGCTACAGAATGGGCAGGTCTCTGAATTGCAGAACTGCCAAAACAGGAGGGTCTGAGACTTCAGAAGGGACTATAGAGAATAGGTTTTATCTTCATCTTCCCAGAAAAAAAAAAAATTAAGTTAAAATTATTCCTGTTTCAATTCATTTTCATTTTAAGACTTGAATATGGACCAGGTTGAATCTGGACATACATAAGTACAACATCTAAATGTTTCTTGAACACATCCAAGGATGGTGATTCAACCACCTCCCTGGGCAGCCCACTCCAGTGCCTAACCACTCTTTTGGAGAGGAAATATTTCCTAACATCCAACCTGAATATCCCCTGGTGCAACTTAAAGGCATTCCCTCTAATCCTACCATTGCTTCTGCGGGAGAAGAGGCTGACCCCCACCTCACCACATCCTCCTTTCAGATAGTTGTAGAGAGTGATAAGGTCTCCCCTGAGACCTTTTATTCTCTCCGAATTAAACAATTCCAGCTCCATCACCTGCTCCTCATAAGACTTGTGCTCCAGACCACTCACCAGCTTTGTTGTCCTTCTCTGGACACACTTCTCTGCCCAAGTGCAGCTGTTTCCAACAGTGGATCAATGCACGTTGCTACACTGCATGTATCTATTGCAAACGTACCCTTTAACTCTTTTTTAACAAGATAAACATATATGTGGTATTAGATGTATTTTTTTTTAATCAGACTTCCTCAATATGCATTGTATAAGGCCTGTCTCCCATGCTCCAAAGTCTGAGACATACTGTTCCCAGTCAGTATATGAGTTGAGTCTTTGGTAATTTAAATGTGGCTACTTTGACAATTGAGGAGAACACAGCAGAAGTGCTGCAATGGGAACAAAATGCAAGGTGAGGTTATCCAACCTACCCATGTCTTTATGTAGGATGCATATCCATGTGAACAGAGAGCGCTTGGTACTGAATCAGGGAATCAAGGATCTCTGATGAAGATTACCAAAATGCATTGCCTTCAGTGGCCAGTAGAATCATTTACCTCCATAACAAAATGCACCCCAAATGCACCTACAGGTGCAGATCAAGGCAACTCTGCACCTGTATCTCTGCAGTTTTGCAAGGACCTTACTAGGTCTAAACATTAACACACACCTCAAAATGAAAACTTTTCTATCTTATGGCCCATTTTCAATCTATTCTGCCTTCCTCAAAATAGCATCTTTTACCTACCTCACCACCCAGCTCTTCAATTTTATTAGCACAGCTGCCTTCACTCCTAACCAGAGGGCAGGATAAGCCTACAGTTACTGTACACTAAACAGAAACACCTGTGGCTCTCCTTTTTCATATACATTCACATATATACATATATTAGTTATTCTTTCTTTCTTTTTTGTTGTTGTCAGAGCACTAAGTCCATGTTCTGCAAAGGAAAATAAATCCCCATCCTTACATTCTCTCCCACACCCCCCACGTGGCCTTGACAGACAAGCACAGACGGTGCAGCAAATATTTCACTTCACTTTATTTTAAAGAAAAGGAGAGAGGGGGAGAAAGAATTCTTGTGGCATTCCAAAGGTCCCTGGACACTCATTCCAAATGCCTGAGTTGGGCCCTGGGTGAATTTCAGTCTAAAAGAGAACCTGGGTTTCTAGGCAGCCATCCAAACTCAACACAGGAACTTCTTTCTTTCTAAATAAGTTTTAAAAAATTAAGACACAAAGAAAAGGAGAGAAAAGGAAAGAAAGAAAGAAAGAAAAAAAAAAAAAAAACATCAGGAAGAGAGAGAAGTGGAGGGAAGAAAGCAACCAAGGTAGCAGAAAATGAATGCAACAGGAGGAATCCAATTCTTCTCCTATATTTCCACTTCCCACTTCAGAGTTTTATTTTCAAGAATCAAAGCAGCTGGCCTCATAGCTATGAAACAGTAGTGTAGAGAAAGAGGTCACCTTTCTCTCCTTGGTGACTGTTTCTGTCAGGGTAGAGGAGCTGGGTTTGGAAGCTGATTCTCACTGTGCCTTGCCCACACTGGATCTGTCCATCCTTTGACCATATACACAAGTGAGGGCAACTCTGGGACAAAAGCCCTGGCAATGTGCAGCTCTGTCTTACAGTATTTAGCACCACTGCAGCTGTGCTGAACCAACAGTATGCACAGATCTACTGCAGTTTAATCTATCCAGCACCTTGGACATCATAGGAGATGTGCTGCTGGAGAACCTCCTCAATATGGTTACTGATTCCCAGTGGCTCAGCCCACGGAAAGCCACAATATCATTGTTTTCTGTCACCTAGAACTTCATGGCGTTAATCAACAATGAGTTATACAGAGAAATGTAGTTAACTGTGAGAGTATTGAATTTCTTACCTCACTCAGCTTAGCCCAGTTGAAGGATTTCAGTGGGTGTGAAGGCTGTGGGATAGACTTCTTCTTCAGGCTGGTACCAGCACTGCTGAAGGTGGTTGTTGAAGGTGGTGGTGCACCCAAGCTGAAGAAAGGCGGTGCTCCTGGTGGGGGAGGAGGTCCTCCTGGAGGAGGTGGTGGGGCAGGAGGAGGGGGACAGGTGGAGAAAGGCAGAGGAGGTGGTAGCGGGGGTAAATTCTCAGAGGTGAGAGCAGAGGACAATGCCAGTGGGCCGCCTGGAGGAGGGGGTGGTGGGGCTGGGAAGGAAATGCTGCCCCCTTGCTGGAGAAAAAAAAACACAGAAAAAGAAAGCAAACGGCTTAAAAGGCACAATAACTCCTTATTGCCAGCTGATGTGATTTTATTATGAGTCTCAAAATATTTGATGTTTTCTTTAAAGCCTCCTGCACTCAAAGCCATGCAATAAAGGGAGGAATCTCAGCTTTCATTTAAGAGAAAGTTTCAAACCCTTGAAGTTGTGGAGAAGAGCTTGAAAAAGGGAACCATAAATGGCTCAGAAAAACAGAAAGCTAGTAAAAGAAGCCAAAATGTATTATTTTATCCTTATGTATGAAGAAAGAGAAAAGTTCAATCTTTGAACTTTTGAACTCCTGGGTTTTAAACCTTAGGGTTTGAAATACAGAATATCTGTCATTAGGCCCTCCTAGCACAAAGTTGGAGCAGAAAAGAGAGTAGGGAAGTAATCTGCTTTTTGCAGTGTGTAACTTCTCAGGGCTATGTCCTGTGGCAGAGAGACAATACTGTGACAGACACATTACTGGAATAGGATCACAAGGCAGTTCTTCCTGTCACTTCTGCAAAGCTTCAAGGAAGCACAAACGCTCCTGAAGCACAATGGGAAATCTCTTTCTTCACTAAAATTACTTTTAGATTGGGCAGATTTCTCTCTATTCTATCAAAATAATGATCAGGGCCACCTCAGCAGCAAAACTTGTGCCTAGAAGAGAACACACGTGCCTCACCATCTTTGGCACAGAGGGTGACTGAGAAGGAATGGAGCAGCCCATTCCTGAATTATCCAATCTATACCATCAGCTCAGGGATTTTGTTCTCTATTGAAAGATGAGCAGCTGGCTAGACAGACTCTTTCTGTACAGACCACAGAAAGAGCTTCACTCATAACGTTCTTTTGTTCATCATTCACTAGATAGTAGGCTTTAAACAAGAATGAGAAGAGTCCCAGTCTCATACCGAGTACTCATTAAGTTGAGCTACCAGGTCATTCATCTGGTCCCTGGCCTGGCGCAGCTCCAAGGATTCTTTCTGCAGCTTGTCTTTCATTTTGTTCAGTGTCTTCATCATTTCATCTTTCTCCTGGGTCTTTGTCTCACATTCCCTCTCCTTCTTCTCAAGCTTGCTCATCAGTTCAGCATGATCTAGAAAGAACAGGCAAGCAGGTTGACGAAATAAAGTTCAGGAACAAAGAGATGGAGTTTACTCTGAAATTAAGCTGATAAGTCTGTCAATTCAGCTGGGAATATGTGATATGGAGAAAAGAAAACAAAGTCTGACTGTTCTGACAGTGATCTTCAGCGATCAATACAGCAATGCCCAAATTTCACTTAGATTGCAAAATCATTTCATGTCACTATTGAGGGAAGCCCCACCCTATGGAGCACATAAACTAATCATCACGAGACAAAATGTACTGGAAGGAACAAAGTAGGGTTAGCTCACGAAAGATAACCCAGACAGTCACTTGTGCCTATCTCAGCTTCCTGCTGCTCTGTGAATGGGTCACAGCCTTTCTCTCTTGCCTCCCCAAATACAGAGGATGCACTCACCTTTTCGAAACTTCTCTGCCTGATCCCTCCACTGTTTGACTTCATTCTCATTCACCAGCCTGAAAGATGAAATCAGAACATAAAAATGTGTTCTGAGCTATCCAGTTTGAAAGGCAAGCAGCCATTATATGTAGTGACCAGCAAAAGACAACCTGGTAAATTTATGCATGTTTAATCAGGATCATACTAGAGGTAGGTTTGGTTCCAGATCCTGATTGTTACTGCAGCCAACAGTTAATATCATAAAGGTGTCTTGTAGCTCAAAGTCTCACAACAAATAAAGAATGCCTGGGGAACAGATACTGGCATTCTGTCTTCAGGTAATGCCCTAAAGGTGCCAAGTGTATTTACTCTGACAGGAAAAACTCATGGCTAAAATCATTGCAGCTGCTGTGGGATACAAATTTTTCTACCCTTAACACAAGACTGCATTGCCATTTTTTTTCTACTTTCCATAGTTCTAGATTTTTTGTTTCTTAAGAGGATAGAGAATGTTTATCTGTTGGGTAATTTATCAGTTACAAGGCAGCGCTCATATCTCATACTGGCACAGCTATTTCCTACTACTGACAGAAAATATGCAGAGCATGCTGGGGGTTGATTAGATATGCAAAATGAGTAGTAGCTATGAAAGCAGAAATGGAAGATCAGGCACAAGGTCTACAAAGGAGTCTGATATCCAAACAGACAGAAGGAGATCAACATCAGTGTATTTTTCCATGATGAGAAATCAGTTTAAATTTTGACTCATGACTATAAAAGGAGGGACTGGGAGATTTTTAGTACAGGAGAACTTGGTTTCATATGTTCTATAAGAATGCTCTTTCCAGTGGATATTTCAGAAGGGTAATGGGCCACGAATTACCTGCAGAGGCAGATGGATGGGATGGAGACTCCAAAAGTTTGGCTTAAAAAGGACTGAGAACAGGGAAGTTGAGATGAGAGCCAGCTAATGTAGCTAGACTTCTCAAATGATGCATCCTATGGGAAAAAATAATGGTAGAACCCTTGGCCAAGTCTGTGGGTGAGCACATGCAGACATTTTACTGAGGTAAAAAGCTTTATGTGCTAGATGGGTGTTACTTTCAACTATTTCAATTTTTCTAAACTAGATGCTCATTAATGAGGAATGAGATCCAAGTAGAGAGGACAACATTTTTTGGGAATATCAGTGAAAGCTTTCATCAACATCTTGAAAGAAAAAAGAAAAACGAGGAAGTTTTACAATACAATCAAGGATATTTTTTTCTGCTCTTCTAGCTATCTTAATATTTAATAGAAATTAGAAGCCAAACGCAAAAATTTTGCTAGAAAATGCCATCTGGTGGAGTTGTCATTGGAAGGGAACTAGTTATATGACTAGCAAGCCAACAAAAAGCTGTAAATTAGCACAGGAAACTCCTCAGATATTTTATTTCCTAAGTACTTGCATATTTAACATATAGTTACAGCTTCATAACAGAACCAAACAAACAATATTAATGCAACTTACATTTTAATGATATTTTTGACATTGAAGTTTTCCAGTGGAGCTATATCTGGATCATCTCCTCGTTCATCTTGAAGAACAATTTGTTGGAGTATTCTGTCCAACAGCTGCCACTGCTGAAAATTTCCTCCGTTCCTCTTATCTATATGAAAAATGAGCAACACATGAGAACTTCCATTTTCACGCCAAAGTGCACAGGTTTACTGACAGATGGGCATTTCTTCCTTTCTGGTCACTATGTTAATCCCATAGGTAGTAAATTACAGAACACAGCACCTAAGGCTGAATTATTGCTGACAGATTAGTTGCAAACACTTAGCATATTGGAACAAATCATAACAGGCATTTGCAACCCTATGCCTGACCTATACCTTCAGGTTCTGTGATCCTCTTGACAGACAACTACACCTTGTGCTTTAGATGCTTACAGAAGTGATTCCATCACTTATTCAGTATTTTATGCAGCTTGATGGTATTTTATTTTATTTAGCACCTAGGCAACACTATGATCAAGCACTATAAAAAAAGTCAGATCTTCCATCTGCGTACTCTTATCTGAAAGTCAGTCAAACTCAGCTGACATGAAAAGTTCATATAAACGTGGTCAAAATTTGTGGAAAGAAAATAAATTGAACAGAAGGGACTGATCTTCTGGATGTCAAATTTAGTTGCCATCCATATTGCCAGAACAATACGAAGTTCACCTTAGTTCCCTAGGTTACATAATCTAGACCTTTATATTATTTCAAATTGCTCCATTGCAATCCTGTTCTATCCTAGAAGGATTTAAATCTTCTGCCACCAAATATTCCAAATCAATACACAAAGCTCAAGTACTGTCTTAAACAGTAACAGTAAAGAGGCCACTGACAAACACTGGCTAGAATTTGTGCAAGGCAGTACTTTCATCTAATCAGTTCCTCAAAATATGCCACAATACCTCCTGAAAAAGTACAGTAATTCTCCTTCATCTTGATTTCTCAGTTTGACTGCTCAAGTATGGCTGAAAGTAACCAAAACAAATCCCTGACTCATAACAGGATTAAGGCAGGTAATTTTTTGGTGATCTTGCTGTAACTTTGCTCAGCTCTTACACCCTGGAAACGTGACTGAACTACTTTTTTTCAGTTAACAAGTAGATTCCTATCATCTCTCTTTAAAACAAAAGCCAATGTTATTTTTCATTTTGAGCTCAGGAGCCCTCCACTGACATTCTGCCATAAGACAGCAGCCTGAAGACTTACTGTGGAATTTCCCAGTGACAGAACAGTTTTCTGTACTGTATTGTTTCACCAGAAAAGTTCCTCACTGCATTTTGTTAACATTCAAACTAGTATCTATTTCTGGGAAATCTCCGATCTAAAGCACAACAGCTCTTTTTAAAAGTTTCTAATTTAAAGTCATTATAAGCTCTGTCAGTGACAAACTGGAATGTCTCCAGCTACTTAATTTTATTTGCAAGTGCAGAGAGGTCAAACTGCTGCTCTAAGTATTACAACGAAATCTGCTGAATGGAATCAGTGCAATATACCATGTCCCTTAGCCACTGCCAACTTCTCAATGGAGGACACAAGCAGTGTGTCCTGGTATCTGCAACACTGTACTCATGCCAAAATTTCACCCATTTCGTCAACACTCCTCTGGAAAACTGTGAGATACTCACATGGCATCTGCAAGCAGTGCTGAAGGATGGACAACAAATAGGGATAGGCATCTGTGTGCTTCAATCTTTTCTTGATCAGTTCAAACATTTGAGAGGCACTTTTTGTATCAATATGGATCTGGAGTGAGGGAAGGTAGTGAAATAATAAATCAGATTAAAAACATGCACAGTAAAAGCTTAACTAGCTGTGAAAGACCAAAGACCAACAAGCAAGACACAGGCAAGTTTCCAGCAACTGGACCTCTGCAGAGTCTCTTGCAACATGCAGCTACAAGCCCATTGAAGAGCTTGTACATACGTCTTCGAGATCAGCATTGATCTACCCCAGAACAGAAAAGTTTTCCAAAGCAAGGGGTTAGAAAGCTAGGAGAAAAAAAAAAAAAAAAAAAAAAAAAGGAAACTACAACTGCTCTGGACCCTGCAGCCCATTACTATTGCTAGCGGTTGTGAAAACTTTCCTTGCTTATCTTCAAATTCTTTTCTATGCTTATCTTCAAATTCCATCCATTTTAAAATATTGATCCCTCTCCATAGCCTCTGGTGTGACACTCTTTAGGAGAGTTTCCTGTGATATACTGGAAAAAGTATCAGAGATGAGCCCAAGTCCTGTAAGAAACTCAAAATCCTGTAAAGGAGATGCCTGAAACTTGAATCATCTGGATCATCAGGACTGCAGGGTTGCAAACGTGAGAATAGTGTTGATAACATCCTCTGCTCCTGAACATTCAGCAAAACATAAAAAAGAAATCTTTGTCAGAGACACTTTGCAGAAGTGATTATTGTTTTTGTTTCACCAGAGACCCCATATGTTCTAAATGAAAAAAAGATGACTAGCCAATCTCAGCATCGAAGCCAATTGCTCATTTCAGGAAATATAAAAGGGAAGTTGCATCAAAGATCCAAAGAGGATGTTCAACTTCGGCAAGTTCAAGTACTCCACAGAAAATCTTACCAGGTCAAATCGCTTTGCAAGTTCCAAGTCATCTTCATTTCTGACCATTTCAAAGAAATCTAAGTGCCTAAGAGAAAACAGAAAAAACAAAACTACCAACTGTCATAGCGTAACTCAGACTTCAAAACGTGCCACCACAGAGAATTCAATGCTTGGAAATTGGCATGTGCCATTTAGTATGTGCATTTTCTACTTCACCTGCTGATTTTAATTTTAAAAACAATTATTCCTTTTGTCTTTTAAAGGGAGTCAGTTTTAGGAAGAGACAGAAACAGCTTGGTGCTTGAATGTGAAATGCAAAAAGAGGAGAGCTCTTAAGAACGCTTTCTGTGATCTATGACTGTTCTCTTACCTGTCAAGTGTCGCATTCTCATGCTCTCTTAGCTTGTCAATAACAGGTTGAATTCCCAGCATTAGAAACTCATATCGTAGGTGTAATCGGAACTCTAAATTGTCCTTATAAAGAGAAGAAAAAGAATTTACTAAGTTCCAGAACCGTTTAATCACATTTAAAATGATTCACTTATATCTTAAATTCTTCCCTTTCTAATATCCTCTTTCCTGACACCACATTCACAGGATGATTACAGGATTCCAGTAAATTAAGTAAAAAATGAATGTCTTTGCCTCTGTTTCTCTTAAGAATACTGTTCTCCTGTATCTACAATGAGTTCTGCAAGTCTAGTCAGAATAGCACACTCCATGTTTCAAAAAGAACAAAAGGTATGGGTACTTAACATGCTAGTCAATTAGAAACATATCTCCTGCTTAGTGATGAACAGAACTACAGTTCTTTCTTATAGTTTTTATATATATTTGCCATAAAATCACCAGAAACTCTGGTGCTTGATTGATACTTTCATAGAGGATTTTAAAGGGCAGCTGCAGATACAGCACTCTGCCAGACAGAGCTCTTACAAGCTTGTTGCCTACTGCAGTTTAGCCAGAAAAAAAAGTAAAGCCAACTTTTAGTGACGCTTCAGTTTTAGTGAATCAAAATCAGTTTAAACTATCCTCCATATTCAAGAGAAAGAATTTTTCATGAATGAAAACCAACAAACTGACTTTACTGAATGGCCTCTCTTTGACTTTTTTTAAATTAATACGTTTGGGGTTTGACTTTAAGTCAAAACATGTTAACATTTTAAAATTTTTCTACAGGTAAACCAAGATGTTTTCTGAAAGGCTGATTATCAAGGAGATAAATGCTTTGCAGTTCTTACAAAAACAAAAATGCCACAATCATTTCAGTGTAAGTAGTCAGCTATCTTAGAAGAATTAGAAGAGGCTAGGAAATAATAAATAATATGGAAGACAAGTGTAATAATGAACTTGACAATTCAGCATTATTTTCCACAAAATACATCCATTCACACAACATTTGTGACTTAGTCTACTAACCACTTCCAGAGTAAATAAATTCAAGCATGACATTTCAGATGGAATTTCTAGGACAGTGACTTACCTCACCAGCACCAGCATTCAAAACAGCATTGATAAAGGACATGATAGCTGTTTTGAGATTTACTTCATCTCGATATCGCCCCATGCTTCGGTCTAGCTCATTCAACAACGTCTAAAACAGAACAACAGGCTAAGTTAGAGGATGTAGTCTTATTTCTTAGACTATTTTGCTTACTGCTCATGGTTCTGTGAACCATGTGAATCATCTTCTGATTTACTATATACTTGCTTAAAGATATAACTTTGTTCAGCGATGGTTATTAGCAGTCTTGGCCAGGCACGTCACAATAACAAATGAAGAATAGAGATGGGAATAAAATGCTCACGAGATCATAATTAAAAACAAAGGTGGTATGTTTTTTTTTTTTTTTAAACAAGCTATTTGAGAAAAAGCAGATGCCTTTACAGTTCCTGCCAACATGATCTAAGAAAACAGCAGAATTGTGTCCTCCCTCATATTAGTTAACTTCATACAGAAGTTTATACATGGAGGATAACATCAACAGCACTCAAGTAACTTTCACTATTTTCTTGGATTTCAGCAGAATAGATTGCACAGGGAGAAAATTCTAAAGAAAAGCTGTCTTTTATTTCTCTATAGGAAGATTTGCATTTATTTATCTATTGGAAGATTTCTTGGAAGATCTCTCCTTGTTCCTTCACTTACAACCGTTTCACATGAAATAGACAATTACTGGCCTCTTGGTAATGCCCTTTTAGGGATTTGCAAATACAGGAATATCCTCAAGTCCAAACTTATTACAGCTTAAGGGTAAATTACAGAATTCAAATGGAAGTGCAGTTAAACTCCAGTTTTCTTTGTTACATCTGTTAATGAAACAGCAGGGGTATTCAGCACTCAGGGGTATCTCATACAGAAACGCTCTTTTGGTGTAATCTCTGCATACATGTAGATACACCATCATAATCTCATTAACACCGCAAGATAGAAAGAGAGGGGGAAAAGATAAATAACGTTGTTAACCTCTGCCATATGCAGTCTATTTCAGATTAACTCCAACCGAACATTTACTGAAGAGGTTATATGTAAGAACTGATTAGCCACAGAAGCAACTCTACTTATGGATTTGTGCTGATATCTGAGAATCTGCTCTTCAGGATCTTCTCTGATCAGTTCATTACTCTAAGAATTATTTTTTTTTACTGGAAGAGTAATAAATTCCACTTGAGTTCTGTCAGTTTAATTGTATGGATCTCATTCCAGCATTATTAATAAAAAACCCCACTCATGTTTGCTCTGGTGATGCACTGGAAAAATGGAATACTTTTCCCAGGAAGTTTTGGCCACAAAAAGAGAAAGAGGATAAAAATAACATTTTAGAGTTCTACTCAGCAGATTCATGTAAACAGAATTTTGAAGCTATGATGCTGAGTAAAGAAGTTCATTTTCCTTTAGTTAGTCTTCAGTTCCTGACTACTGAAAGTGTTCATTTATAGCAAAATCTTTCCCAAGCTAGTCACCAGTTTCATAGGTCTATCTTGTTTCCTGTAGAAAATGGACATCATCATGGAAATATGCCCTTAGAAGCACAGGGAATATCCTCCAGGGCATCCCATGGGGAAAGAATACGTTCCTGGCTTCATGTGAAACCTTTGCTTGTTTTTCTGTAAAAATCTTTTGATCTATCATACACTACTGACAGCTGTTCTTATATCTGAGCACAGAATGTTTAACTTCTCTGCCAAGTTCACTGGATTTCATAAATTCTTTTTCCTGCAACTTCTAAATTGCCCAGTTGGCAATTGTGAATTCCTGGCATTTGAACTTCCACCATGTCCATGACTTTCTAATAGTTGTATTAAGGCCAAATACATAGGTTGCTCCGAAAGTAATGCCTCCTATTTATTTCCATGAAAACTACAACAGATACAGTAAACACAGTAACACTATCTGACAGAGCAAATTCTCAACTCCATCTCTAACATTATTTTTCAACTTTGTCACCACAGTGACTATAGCTTGCAATATGCACACTGTTGCTCAGCTCTAGAAAGAAACACTGTAAGGTCAGGCAATTTCTAAAGATCAGATTCCACGCCCACGCATGGCTGAATTCCAATATCTCTAACCCTTTGCAAATGGTTGAGGTTCAAGTCTTCACTTGTGAACATTTCCTTCACCACACCTCTTGGCAGCCAGTTCTCTGGACTAATTGATCTTATGGTTGTAAAGATTTTTCCTACTATTTAAGCAAAACTTTCCTCGCTTAATCTCATTATTCCTCATCACTGACATCCAGTAAGAATTCATTCAACTTGCAGAAAACCTCAAAAGGTTTTGGATGAGCCCTGAGGGGCAGAAGCAAATCAAATAGGAATACAGGACTTCAACTTGTTCCTTTTTAGCTCCTTTGCTACAATTCTGAATCAATCAGATTTCTCTTTGCAGATCATGCTCTGTACTGACATTGCTTAATAAACCAGGCAATGGGACTATGGAAGGAATGTTTCTAATCTCCACCTTTTCGACTGACAATATCAAGCTTTATTTCTTCACCTTCAGCTTTACAGTTTCTAGCAGCATTATGGAAGAAAACAGATTGTTCTGTCCAAAGTAACACAGTTAATATTTTCTCCAGCAAATGAAGTCAGCTCCTTTCAGTATGCATCAAACACCTAACTGAACTCTAGCTGAATGAGTATTCAGACAGCACACTGGGCTGGAAGGGGTACAAGTATATCCTGAAATATCTTTCTGGGTCACTACAGCACTATAATTTTGCAACTGGTTTGGCTCAAAACCCTGCATGTTAAAAAGTTCATATTATACAACATCATAACACCATGCATTCACTTCACAAGACAGATGAGGGAAAACAGCAAAGCAATAACTTTGAAATGCAACCAATGAGGTCCTTTCAGAGTGAAAATCAGTCAGTTTGGACTGTCTGATCTTTCAAAGTCCCCTCCAACTGACTAATTTTATTTTACATGGCGTAATGCAGACATTAACAATACTGAAGTCAAACCCTTTATCCTCAGTTTCCAGAGCATTTTAGAGATCATCACCTTCGCAAGAAAGTACCCAAGAAACTAAAGATGCAGCAACACTTTCGTGGTCAAACAGTGAGTAGCAATTTTGAAGACATAAGATGGAAAAGAAGAACAGTGATGACACCAAGAGTGCATCTTACTAACTCTACTCTTTCTGCTTTGAGGGTTTACTGTTTCAGTTTCCAAATTTTTCTTTCATCTCCCTTCTTTAAGAAGCAGAGTAGGATTTGTAGGCAAATAAGCACATTCAAATGAAAATTGGATAAAGCAAAGGCAGAACTTCTCCAGATTGCCTCAGGAAGGAGATTTAAGGAATGTCTTTCTATTATTGTGGTATTTGAGTAAAGATGGAATTAAAGAAAGAGTTACTTCAGGCAGATGGGCAACATAAAAGGAGGGTAAAAAACTAAAGAAGGCAAAGGGATCATCTCAGACAAGAAGCTATGACAAATGTAAAAAATTGGAATAGCCACAACATGAAGTAAATAAACAGATTATAGAAACTTTTTGCAAGTGCCAAGAAAAAACCTGATTGTGACAACCCTATGAACACACTGAATAGTGGAGATACAGGGTGAAGTTGTAGTTCTCAAAGGCTTTCATTTGAGGGAAGACCAATATCTCAACAGGAAAGTAAGTTCTGGAGAACCTCCAGTATCTGTAACACGACGCCTGCTGAAAGCTAAGGACTGAATTGAAAATTGCAGTCAGAAACACAGATGACATGTTGGCAGTTTAGAAAGAGGCAACAAGTACATCAGAGATTCCTCTCATAGCCAAATGTAAAACTCTGTTGAGGGAGAACTTCCATGATTATGAAAGGCTATGTATCTCTATTAGCTTCATTTAAAAACAAAAACAAAAACAAAACAAAACAAAAAGCTAACCCTTGCAAAAAACAAGGACAACCTTTCCAAAACATTACAGCATCACAGTTTTAGAAGAGTAATCTTCAGCTGTTGTGGTCTAGTGAAATTTAATTAAATTGACTAGAATTACAGCTGCTTATATCACACAGAAATTTCTCTGTAATATGGATTTTAACTTAAGATGCACAACTTGAACTGCACAAGTTGCACACTTGAACTGCAAGTCCCTTACTGAAATAGGAAGAGTTATAGCAATACACAGCCAATACAAGTGCAGTTAGAACTGCATCTGAAGTCTCAACTTTCCTTCTCTACTAATTGCTAGTTGATGATGATTCTTATTATTCTTAAGTAGCTGTACCAAGTATTGTGCTTAGAACAGTGAGCAAAAACAGTTTAACATTCAACTAAACATGCAGTTTTTTATAGTACAATGTTTAACATATAATTTGTTCATCATTTCACCACACTTGAGCATGTGGAAATTGGAAATAAACAGTGTTCCAATCCAAAGCTTTTACCAGAAAGTTATCTACAAGGTCACGTTTTAAACAGTTGCCAGCAAATAATAGTGTACTTTTCTTCGTCACTCTTACAAAACAAAACTAATAGCAAAACCATACAGCCTCCAACTTAATTAGTGGTTAGAACTTCAGAAATGTCATCAGGTTAGAGAATGAACAGATTAGTAGCTTTCATTTAACTTAGTAATCCGTCCTTTTAAGGTAAAACACAAGAGATTTTACTATTAATGACAAGCAACCAGGTGTTGGAAAAAAAAAAAGAAAATATAATGATAACCTATTTGAAGAGAAACATTGCCTTTCTTCTGCCTAGCTATACTGCAACATGCGCACTATAAAAATCAGTCCTTGAAGAAATGCATTATATCAGCTATTTCTGTCAAAGCATCCTTCTCGTACCTGGAATCTTGTTCTCTCTGCAGCATAGACTTGGTAGTGAAGCATGGCTTGCAAGACTTTCTTATGACCATCTGGTACCAAGCAGACAGCCCCTAGGATCTCCAAAACAGCAATCTTGGTCTTGATGTTCTCAGTCCGTAAGCTTTGGGAGATGATGTTGATACTCTCTGGATGAGCCAGGACATGAGCCCGTCCTTGGGAGTTGTTCATCAGTGCCTTGATACACCCTATAACGGATGTGTGTATACGGCTTTCTGAGGTCTCGTAGTCCATGCTTTTCAGGAAGTTCAGCAAACAGCTCAGACCATCCAGCTCAATGAATCTCATCACAAACCTGAAAAAATACGCAGGGAAAAGAACAAAACCAAACTAAAGGTAAAGAAAATTTGTTTACTCAAAAGATATTCAACTCTGTGATCCCAGCAGATGCAAAAGCTGGCTAGTTTTAAATATCTGGAAATTATTCTGTGATCTTAAGAGGAAAAAAAAAAAAGAGGAATCAAAGATTCTATCACTCTTTTTCTGTGACTATCAACTGTAATGACTAGGGAGTCAAGAGTTCACACTTTGAACTCACAATACATGTATAGGAGCATATTACATGCAAGAGGCATATAAGAGCCTCTGAAGAGGCCTTGGCTGCATTATTTTATTTTGAAGATGTATACTAAAGATGCACCACTGCCAATATGCTGTAGCAAAATGTACTGTAAAAACATCATAAATTGAAGAAATATAGAATTATTCAGTTACCAAATTACATATCAAAATCTAAACCTACACTGAAACAGGTTTATATTGACTATTCTGTTGTTTCTACCACATTCTACCATTAAAGTCACCTTTATTAAGACTAAGATGATGGAAATTGAAGATAGAAATAATATAGGGAAAACTTCATGAATAAGCTTAAAGAATTAACCAAGCATACAAAAAAAACCAACCAAACAAAAACAATACTAGCCCATTCAGGCAGTCTACTAGAACAAGTTACAGAAATTGATGGAGTTAGATAAATCCATTCAAACCGGTCATTTTAGCAATGTTTCATTTAGAATTCATGTGCTTTAAAATGGGGATGCAAAGATGTGAAACAGGCTGCAAATCATTTCTCCAGACTAATTTGTTTACCTCTGCTTCTTCTAGAAGGTCATTAATGTAGATACATTTTTTCAGAATGCCTGAGCACAGAACCACATGAATTAAATTTGAATTATCAGTCCACCAAAAGGTACACCAACAATAGCAATTCCACAACCACCCCATGGTGGTCATGTGGACCTCAAACACATGAAAAGTCGTTAACTGCAGTCTGTGTAAGAAATTAAGAAATCTATGTCTGAAGCTCAGAGATTTTACCCAACCCCTTCTCCCTACTACATACTTCCTAATGTACTACTCTCCTCTTATCTACTTGTAAGATGCTTTTTCTAATATCCATCTGTTATGGAAGCACCATACTGAAAGGCTTCCAGAATTTCAGTTATCTCTGTTAATGTTTCTGCAACAGCAATACAAAGCTGAGGCATTCTTATTTATTTCCTGGATAAAATGAAATTTACACACATGGTGCACTCGCGGATACACCCCACACCATATAAGAACTACATGAGAGTTATGCTCATTCTGCTGATGGATTTGCCAACTTTCAGCTTATTCAAGGCCTGCAAACCAGAAACATGGCAAAGACTGGTGCTTTCAGCAAAGCTTCAGTCTGAGGTTTGGATTTTGTTCAAAACTGAATTTCAAAGTGAATATCAGAGTAAGAGCAGGAACACACAGGAACAGATGAACAGTAAAAGCAAAGTTTACCTGAAATCTGAATGTCTGTAAGATAGCCTGCAAAGGTTCACACAGGTCTGACTGCACAATTTTGGATGCATCTTCTTGACTACCCTCATAGAAGCAAAAGCCCATATGTCTCCAGGCTACATGGTGGGATCACACATTGTGCACTCGGAGTTTATTAAGTCATTAAGTTTGTTTTGTAAGTGGTTATAGAAAGATCAAAGTTCAGTTTCTGTAACGCTGCTAGCATGCAAAGAACATTCATGGCTAAAATAGACACTAAGGATATAATAGGAACCAAAATAAGCACAAACTCAATTTGTTACCAAACAATGTGAAGCCAATGACTATACCGCACTTCTCTAAACTTGGGCTTGAAAAGTTGAGTGGATCTTTGCCTATGTGATGGGAGGACCAGTTGAAATTTGCTCATCTCTAAAGGTCAGTTCTATGAATTCACCATACACATGAACCACTCAAACACACACACACACACATACAAACAACAAAATAAAAAAACAGACATTTTGCTGTTCTTTTCAGTTTCGTGGCTGAGAGAAGACTCAGGATGGATACCTTTCCAAAGACACAGAATCATAGAATCATTTGAGTTGGAATGTACCTTCAAAAGTCATCTAGTCCAACTCCCAAAAAAGAAAACATCCTTAAGAAGCAGCTGAACAAATGGTCTCTAAAGTCAACATAGAGATGAAATGCCTGCTCTTATGACAAGACATGAAGACATTAGAACTTTCATGTATTTTGGCCTCCTTTTTGACTGTGAAAAAAATGTGAAATGCACAAAAATCACACTGTCCCAATTAAATACAATCCCTTACTAAATTCACTGGCAGAGCAATTTTTCTATGACTTCTGGATGAGGTTATTCCAAAGATAGAAAGGTGCAAGGAAGTGGTACATGTCACAAACTTTGATTAATGACATAATTTAAAACAATGTCAGCATTTTCCTGTACTGTTCCTAGTTTAGAGAGCACACAGTGAGCTGCATTACTCAATAGGAAGCATAACCAAGTATCTTCCCATTTCAGCTGACACCAGAAGCAGTAATCAAATGATGATTTTTCACCTTCCTTTCCCAAAACACTTAGTCCTCTATTCTCTGGAAAGGACAGAAATCATGCAATAGGGAGACAAAGGAAGAACTGGTGACAGCAGTTTCTGGGACAGAACACACCCTATGAATTAGGATTTGCTCAGTGAGAGTGGGGAACTATGTGGGTCTGTACAGGAGAGAAAAAGAAGTGGGAGTTCAGCTGACAGGCTGAGATCCATAATCCCCACACTATTTGATATTTGTCTATCTGCATGCCTATACGCACAGATGTTTGGGTTCACATACGCATGTACAGAGGAAAACTCAACTCACACATATAAACTGCCTTCTTCCTCAAAACATACACATGTATGACTAACTGCCATCCTATATGCTCTGTATGCTGCAAAGAAACGTTTGTTCTAGACTGAAAGGTGTAAAGTTAAGCATGTTAGCCAACGCATTCTGGCTAACACACTCAAAAACTCAAGTGTAAATAAAGTAGGGTGTGTTTTAATAGGTGCTAAACAAGCATATTAAAGCCTCACCTCACCTCAGACTCTCACTTGACCAGTTTAGCACACATTAAAAAGGCACAGCACCTTTTAGCCTTTCAAGTTTTAGAGAGTGTTGATCAGAACGTGTTAGCTAGCTCAAATAACAAACTTTTCATCCAAATACAGTTGAGGCCTAGGAGGTAATGATCCACTGATGGATTCCAAGTGCTGTGGGGAACATCTTCTCTGTGAGACTTGATCCAGCACAGGAAACACAGAAAGATCATATGTTGTGGGTGTGCAGAGGGCAGGATGTTCCCACCCTGCTATCTGCCAAGGCTGCACTTCCCTAAAGAATCAGGGGACAGACATAATCCTGACAACTACTGGATTGCTGAGAAATTCATCAAAATGGGTTTTGCTTCCTGGAAACATAAATGATCATCTTCAGTATGAACTGGAATGCAATATGGCTAAATCAAACTAAAATAACAAGAGGTAAATCTGAGCTGAACAGAAGGAGAAATGTAGACAGCAAAGGGAGTTAGTGCTTATGACTTAGAATACCTCTCTGGATCAGACTTTTTTTCCAGACTTTTTTTAAGTTTTTACCTTTTTTGCATTTCTGAACCTCCATCTTCAGGTATTAAAAAGAAAAAAGAAAGCTCTTCTCTCCGCTTCTGTCCAATAGTTGTCATCACTCTTGTTTATAGTCACAAGCTCTCACAAACCCAAAGGAAAATCTGTTTCCTTACTAGATGCAGATGTGGGGGTTTTGCTCTCTAGGATTGGGGCTGTTCCTCTGTTCTGGGATATAACCTGGTTTTATAACTTCAGGGCAGCTCCTAAATACCAAACCAAAATGCATCTGCTTAGACTGGGCCAACTAGCCTCCCAGGAATACTTCTAGCACCTTTTCTCTTAAGAGGAAAGGAACCTGAGTTTGGGAAGGTCTGCTTCGGAGTTTGTTGGTGTTAGAACTTGTGCCTTGAAATAGAGGCACAGATTAATGCCATTACTCTGCATTTTCTACTACAAGATGCACAGTTCTACAGTAAAATGAAACACAGTCAAACACATGCATTTTTCTTCTTTTGGCCTAGATTGGAGAATTCAAGCAGAGGAGTCTTTTGGTAAGCTATCAGAGCCCCTCTATACCCTACTGACAAACAGATTCCAGACAGTCTATTCTGTGTGAATTTTGGTATCTGTTTTCTTCAGAGGTCCGATGAACAGAAGTAGCAAGGAAAATAGGATTTGATGTCCAAATTTAACTAAAAAGACTAGTATTTTGAAGGCTTGGGTATAGTACTGTGTATGAGAGGGATCTGATGGAGCTGAGGGCCTCTCTACTGCAACCTTTCCATCAAGAAGAAATTGGCTTGTTGATCAGTCATTGGCATGCAGCCTATTTGGCAGCTAACAAATGGAGTTGCTGGAAATTAGTTGAGACATAGGACTTAACTTAAAATTTGGCTTGGCTTAACTACTTTTAAAAAAAATGCCCCATAACCATTGCCAGTGATTTAGAAGAGAACACTTTATAGGGTAGCTCATAGATGCTTGTACTGAAGCTTGTTAAGGTTATCATAAACAGATGAGGCAACAGCCTGTTGTCAAGGGGACCCAGTAGAATCACTATAGGTCTGGTCTGGAAAACCTTGCAAGGTTTTGGGCAAAGCACAATTCTCTCTTCTCTTTCGCCTTCCTCTCAGGAAGGAGGCTGGGATACCCTATTCAAAATGATGGAGTAAAACAACCTGCGGTGGCCAGCAAGGTGTTTTGGCTGAATGCAAAAGAGATACCTAGCTACTCAGAAATGTTCAGTGGTATGAAAAAGCTTTCACAGAGGAAGCATCACACCAGCTCCAAATTAGTGTGACAGAGTTGCTACATCATGTCTCAGCAGCACAGACCTGTGGTTAAAAATCTCTGTGAAAACTGGGCATTTGGCAGTTGCCTCAGTGTCTGTTTTAACATAAAGTTGAACTACATTTTACCATCTTCTGCTTTAGGACAGTGGCAGTGAGAAGCAAACGGATGCTTGTCCCCTTATGCTAGTTCTCAGTACAGGTTCTCTGTAATAGAGCTCCAGCTATGAACCTGCCACCACAAACAGTTTTGGGTCACAACACAAGAAGTCTGACTGCAAATGAATCTCAGAAAAAGCTTCTCTGTGCTGAAGACTTCATTCTACCTTTTGTCTTCTGCTCAGTATCTTGACATTCACACATGAAGGGAAAAACTATAAGGTCTGAAGGCCTCTCTATATTTGCTTGCTGGCTACAGAAAGGAGATGTTTCAGTACTTTAAAATCCTAGAGCTCCCTCAGTTTCCTTCACATCTATCTATGTACATTGCAGGAGCAAGCTCAACTCAGCCTAACGAGAGTGCAAATTCTCTTGAGATATATATTTTTTAATTATTATTATTATTATTAATTTGTGTGGTTTTTTTGTTTTTTTTTTTCAATTCCCAAACTCTGTGTGACTGCATTAGCGAAGCTCTCTGAAACCATGACTTCAGCATATTGTACTTACAAGCATATTCAGCCTATTTTGGTCTTAATACAAAGACATTCAGACCAAATATTCCCCTAGATTGTATCAGCCATGGTTACTGCTTCAGCACAGTTTCCTTCTAAGTGTTAAATACTAAAGGTTCTTATGCTAGTCAATTTGCAATTGTTCACAGCACTGATCTCAGAAAAACAAAGATAACCTTACTTTCAAAGACACAGTACACAACAAAGTCTCAACATTTCTGCATGCTGCTGTTACACACAGAGCAGGAAGAATGCCAAAGCAGGTGAAGTCAGATGGATTAGCTGCTTTGTGCCAAACAGTTCACATTACTATAGATAAGAGGAAGCTGGAATTCAAAGTTCATAGCAGAGGCTATGATCTTGCCTGTCATAAATCAGATCACATGGGGTGCTCAAGGGGCTATGAGGTTAGTAAGTTTGATCTTCATAGTCCTTACCTGCATTTGCATAGATCTGCCACATGTTTTTCACAACAGAATTTGTTTTTTATTTTCCTGAAGCTATACGCTTCAACATTAGTGTGCCCTTCCAGCTAGACAGGTTCGAAACAGGAACTGTAGGGCTCTCTGTGGACTGTCTGAACTATTAGAGAATGCTTGCGTGAGGTGAAACAAAGAGGTTTCTGTCTTTGCCAGTCTTTCTTATTCCACATCTGACCATAGGGAGGCAGTGAATTGCGATGAAAGAAGAACAACATTACCTCATGGGCTGAGTCCGCAGAGCTGTCTTCAAGTCTTCAACTATTTTATTTTTCATTTCTGTTTCTTCTTCATCAAAAGCATACAGAGTCTGCATCTGTTCAGAAAGGGAGATGACAATCAGAAAAGCTTGAGCTGCCTGGAAGCTAAGAGAGGGGCCAGGAATTATGAAAAACAACTATCCCATCAACCCATGGAGAGATGCCTGCCGACCTCTCACCAGGAAAGCAGTGTCTCAACTACAAAACTGAATCCAGATGAGGCTGCTCATGTGGACTGGCAGCAGCATACTGCTTTGCCACACCAGCTAAACCAGGATTCTCAGATTACTCCCCCAAAATCATACATGCCAGGATGCCCTTAGAAAACTGTACCCAATTTGGAATGGTGATACATTGTGGTGATCTATGATATTGGAGGCAAAATACGTACAGAGATGCAAAATCTTATTAGACTGACACAACTGGAGGGGTATAAGAAAGAAGAAAAAAAAAAAGAAGAAGAAAGAAAGACAACTTCTGTCTCAAGTTTCAAAGCAGAAAAGCTTTTTCTTCAAATGACTAGACAGCCTGCAAGTATCCTGGATTACAGTTTGTATATCTAAGAGTTTGACTATTTTTCCCTACCCAAATTATTTCATCTGGTTTAAGATCCTGATTTTTGTACACACTTCACCTTTGCTAATTAGGAACATTTCCTGCAAAAAGCAGTAAAGAGTATCATAAAATCCCTGTCCCTGGTTTTTAAGAAAAAAACAGAAGCATGCAGAGACTAGAGCCTATATTTTCACGTTTTCTTTTTGGGAGCTCTCTCTATCATTTTTCCCCCTGATACACAGCTTGCAGTCATCTGGAACTGAAGATGCTGTGAATCACTGTAAATTAGGGTGAGAGATTACGAGTGGAATACAGTTAAAATATGACATTCTCAAAATAAAACAATGATAATATGAAATAAGACAGTAAACCCGGAAATCAGGGCTCCAGACCTGCACTCAGCACCACCACAATCTTGTGGGTATAATGCAAGACTCTTCAGTGCCCATCACATGCACCATTCAAGCCCAGAGCTTCAATGTGTGACTTCACAAAAAGTCAAGACTGAATATGAAAATTCTTAGCCTACAGCTGTGTTTTCTTAGGCTCTGTTTTAATTGTAAAACAGAGAGGATAAATGCTTTTCTTACTGGCAGGATTTCTGGGAGATATCACTCAGTGGTATCTGGAAAGTAGCTTTGAAACCAAATGAATACCCCAATTAAACTAGTATTATCTGTAAAGGTTCATTTTATCTCTCTGGGATGGAATCTGAGTACCTACAATTATGGTCCATTACAGCAAAATATTTAAGTCTTTATTTTATTATTTCGCTAGCATGAAATAAAACCTTTCTCATTGAAACTCCCTTCAGCCCTCCTACCCAACCACCTCACTTCCCTTGGAAATACTCCTATGTTGCTTGCTTTTGGAAACCATGTGGTGCCAACACATGTCAGATCCTGAGGGTGGTCATTTGGCTACATGTCATTGCTGTCTTATGCTGAACAGCTGGCATAAGGAGATGTGTTTAACTCTAGGGGTCCTCTCTCTGATCCTCGCTAAAGTCAAATTCACTCAGTAACAGAGCGAGCTATTTCCTGCCTTAATGGAATGACAGAGCGCTACTGATGGAAAATGAGCTGATGATGTTTTATCTTTTGCCAGCATCCCCCAACAGCCAGAAACATAAATCGAAATGCTTAAGCCAAGCCATATATGATTCTCCTCTTTGAAAAATAAACAGAAATCCTGAAAAGGTATTATGGAATCTCAATGGCAAAGTCCTGGGGTGTGATCTGAGGTTTGATTTGTATTTTCTTGGGTGATGGCCCATCTGGTCACCTTTCCTTTCGTCCATAAATGCTCCTTTGAAAGGCTCCCATTCCTACAACAGCTTAATTTCTGCTCTGAGCCATTGTGGGGTGGGAAGCGAATGGATGTCAGGAAGGTGCTCAACAGTATTCTGTTGAGAGTGAAAAAGGCCCACTTCCAAATGAAACAAACACAAATAATCCTGCCTTTACAACTGAGGGCGATTACAGAAAACCCCTTTTCTAAAGCTGCAGGCAGCCAAGAGCCCTTCATTTCTCACTCCTGTGCATGGCCAGGAACTTAAATACTCATGCCCTCTCTAAAGATAGCTTGGTCATGCATTTACATTAAGAAATAACTTTCTCAGCAGGAGTTACAGAAAATACAACTGTCCCTGGGAGACACAAGGGGAGGGAAATGTCATTATTTGAGGCTGGATTTCATGAGTGTGGCAGACTGATGAATTGCTTTCCTGAACTACATACTGCACTCTTGGACTAACGTCAGCTGTGCTGAGGATGCAGCTAGCTACACCGGCTAACCAAATATTATAGGAAGAGGAAGTAAAACAGGTCCAAGTCCTTATCCAGTCCCTAAAATGCAGTATATAAGGCTCTTCTCATATGCATATTTTGCACATTTGAAGGTTGCCAGTCTAAGTGCATCACCCAGGAAAGCATGATATCCGGTTATTTGATTTGCCAATAAAAAACAAACAGAACATCTTATTCATTTAGGAAAAAAATCACCCACATAGAATTATACATGTAAAACTTCAAGCGGTCCAAGATTTGAAAAATCTTAGCACAGTGTAAATTCCCTCACCTTCTCCTAATGTTTAATCATTCCTCTGAAAAGGCAAATAGAATACCAAAAGGACAGTACATGTAAAAAAAAAGACACGCATCACAAAAACAACTAGCAGCAGAAAGGCATTATATGATTGATTTGGTTTCACTCCCAATCTCACACAAATGAAAAGAAAAATGGAGCAAATAGAATAAATTGAGAAAAAGCATCCTGGATATTCTGATTCATCACTGTAGTCCAAGCTCTTTCTTTAGACTGTATCTAAAATCACAACTAACAAAATGCTATCACTTAAAAAAAAATAAAAGTGAAATGAAATGAAAGTTTGATAACAAATTATTGTATTGCATGTCTCCTATGACACATGTGGACAACATCGCCTTAGAAAGTTTCTTTAAAGAAAAGAGGTTAATTGAAATTCAATGTGCATCATATTTCTAGCTATGTTAGAGTTGAACCAAGAGAGCAAACTACAAATCATAAACTATGAATAGGCTATGAATAAATGTAATGTAAATAAAAGAATGTTCAGGAAAATAATTTTGAAGTAACATAGGTGTCATCAAACCCAGAGGAAAGTTATTATGCACCTGCTAAATTATGCTGGAAGACTAATATTTTTTATATTCTATGAAGCTGTTCTGCCCTGAGCAAATGCTCACTGACTCAAGGGAAAGGGCTTTTTTACAGCTGTATTTATTATTATCAATCTCCATCTCATACTCTCAGCTTAGCCATTTCTCAAAAAAGTGTTGTTTATCTGAAAATCTCTCCCTGGAAATGCAGGTACAGCCAAACCTCATAAAAACAAAGCAGTATTGTCAGAAGTTTTCCTGCCCGGTACAGTGAAGGCTGCGTTTATTTGTGCTGCCAAGAAGACAGTATCATGGGGTGAGAAGGGCAGGAGGAGCACAGGGATGTGCTTTAAATTGTGATATAAACAGGACAGCTACTGAATTTTTAAGAAAAGAAGTTCTGTTTGTTGATGAATCAGCAGATGGCAATGACCCTGATAATGGAAATGGCCCCTGATTGTGGGCTTGCAACCTGTCTGCAGTTACCAGCATTATTTATAGCATGTATGTATGAGAACTGGGCAAATTTAGAAGCCCTTCCTTCTAAATACCATTAGCAGCCATTCATTTCTCTCAAGCGCAAGTCTAGAAGACCCTCTAGCAAGGACCTTGGCCCCTTCCTCTCAGTCAGAATACAGAATCACAGAATGACAGAATTACCAAGTTTGGAAAAGACCTTCAAGATCATCCAGTCCAACCATCCACCTATCACCAATACTACTCACTAAACCACGTCCCTCAACACAAAATCCAAATGTAATACCTGAAGGATGGGATGTTTTCTCCAAAGGAATTGTGCACTCCAGGTTAGTAAAGAGATACAGTTTTACAGTTACACACTCTTGTGAGAATTAGGATCAAAAATTAGTAACATTTAAAAAGTCACAGTGACAGAAACAGTTGTGGGAACAAAATCATGCCTAAAATGCATGGCTTTGTAAACTGGATTAGGATTCTGTGACCTCAAGTCTACTGTGAAAGTGCTTCCTAACACAGTGGTCTAAGGTTACAAGTAGAGAATGTCAGATATGTCAGGAATCACCATGCTGCTCTCAAGCATAACGTGTGAGAGACAGACATGATGAGTCTGCAGCACATCTTCTGAGAAAATGATCCCTGAGCATGGAGGCCTTGGCCTGCTGAAATTCAAAATTCACCAAAAGATACTTAAGGATCTCAGTGGGATAATGGTGCCATTTTCATTTTATCAGTGGGAAGAACTTTTTTGCCAAGCTGGTATATAAAACCAAACCTTGCAATTAAACAAAAGGATACAGAAAAATATGTGAAAGCTGCATGTACTTATGTACTTAATTCACATGAGACGCAAATATTAAATTTTATTATAAAAAAAGCAAGAATTAAAACACTTTGAACTAACACTTCTGTGTTTATTGCTGTTTATTTCAACTGGTATTTCTTGCTACATTTCTAATTAACGTATAGCAATACCTGATAGCACCCAGGAGACACAAACTGAAACAGACTACACAGTGTCAGGAAGCAACATGAAACAGGCTTTCTTCCACTACATCTGAGTCAATTTCACTTGGATGCACTTAAAAAGTAGTAATAAAAAAAAATGCTCACCATCACTAAATTTAGGACTGAAGTTATAAAGGACCCAAAATAACCATTTGGACGTTAGGAATCTCAGAGGTCTAAATAATAATGAATAGAGCATGTCTTGTTGGAGCTGTTTCTCAGCTGTGTCGTTCCAGTTTTCCACTGATACAACTCCTATGAAATCAAGTCAATCAAGCTTCACCTGCCTAAAATTGAGGCAACTAAGTGGTAAATCAGAAGCAGTGGTTTAACCTCAGTGTATCTTCTTAACACCTCAAGCAGAAGAGTAAATCATGAGGCTGAAAGCTAAGAAAAAGGTTATCAATCATTCAGTGCTGAGCCATGCAAACAACATTACCAGGGATGGTGTTTATTGGTGCTCTTAAAATGTGTTTAAAATTAGAAACTTAGGCCAAAACATAATCTCATTCCATGGAACTGCTCCAGATTTACAGTAGTGACATGCACATACTCACTCCAGATTTAAAGACTAGTCCAAAAGTCTCTGAAACCAATGGAAAATTTTTCAGTAGATTCAAAAGGCCTTGGATCAAATCCTACCAGAAATATTTGGCACAGTATCATTGCAAGGTTTCATAGTTGTTTTTTTTTTTTTTCCTTAATGGCCCTTGTAGAGCAAATTTGTTCAATCAAGAAATCAAAGCACAGTGCCATGCCAGCCACAAAAGCTTAATCTTTTTTTTTCTTTTTTTTTTTTCTAACAACTAATCTATATTCTTTTTGGTCCATTATTTTGCACTATGAAAATCTAGCATGAAGGAAGCTCATCATTTTGGCTAGCAATAATTCTTTGTAGAAAGTAACTCTTATCCTCTTACAACTGGTTATAGTGGCTTGTAAAGTCCTGCTTTTTTTCCTGAGCTAGACCTATTTCACTAGAGATACTTTATACATTAGTATAAAGTATCCATTAAGGCACTATTTTTATGAAAACATTTTCTATCTCATAACCACACATGGGTGTATAGAAGGCATAAGAAATCAAGCATATGGGCAAAAGTGAAAAAATAAGATGTTAGAAACCTAAGATGTTAGGAACTGACTTCTGTCATCAACACTGCACAAATGTTAAAAAAAAAAATGGCTGAGCAGACACCACACATAAATAACCGGAGGCAAAAACTGACTACAAATTAGTAATAGGATCAAATTCCAAAATGTAAGGTCTACCATATCACAAAAGTCAGTAACACTACAAGGTGTTCTACTTGGCAGACAGATCTACAGGATGTTTCAGAGAAAGACACACATTACTAAGCTACTGAATAAGGACATGGAAAGAAAGTTTACCACAGATAACTTGTTGGCTCACATCTGATGCCTAAGCTGTTACAGCCTTATATTACTCTATCAACCTGCTTGCATGTAAGTGGATATTATATTATATGAAGAACTGCCTTTTCTTTAATTTTTCTACTAAACTAATAAACTCAATGCTATTTTGCAGATTAGTTAGAAATTAATTTAAAGTCACTCAACAGAAACAAACTTAATCTTGTTTTCAAATGGTTACTTTTCTGTTTCATTAAAATACTTCTGTTCTGAAGAGTAAACAGAGACTTCAGTTGACTTTTACCTATGAGATAACATATCATGAATATAGACTGCTATATGAAATATAACAGTTAAAGGCTGCCCTTCCTACTAATCATGAAGAACCAAATTATTTCACCTTTATTTGGCACAGTCACACACAGGTCTCAACAAAGCAAACTGTAGTTACAAGTACAATTTTGGAAAATGGTACTTTTGGTTGTCACTGTTTCAGACTGGCTAGCCCTGCCAAGATCCAAGTGCAAGTGTGTGCAGTGCTGAAAGCTAGCTTTACCTTACCACTTCTCTAGATTTTCAAAACAGAGGATAACTGAATTATCTTTGTGCTCCATCAACATTCAAGAGCAGGAAAATCTCTACAAGACCATTATGGTGTACCATAGTTTAAAGCTAGCTGCAAGTTGTTTTTTAATTGCATAGAAATTCAAAAAGGGCACAAAGACATTTTTGTCCTCTCTTTTCAGATCCAGTGCCAAAGAGCAGAGATCCAAGGATCAGTGCCATACATTGCTGTAGCTTCAGAGCTGGTATGTCACTCCTTTTAAATCATAAATCTCATTACTCCAGCACTGAATTTTCATTCCAGAACTAACTTTAATGCCTTCAGTTCTATGTATCATTTAGATTAAAAACTGGAAAATGCTTATGATGTTATCTAGTCTATTCTGCTAGAGTAGGTCTCCTTCTTAAGACACATGCTATTCCTTCTAAAAAGTCATGCACTTGGGCTAACATTTTCTTCAGAGATTTCTTCCAAAAAAATCCCCCAAAACAAACAGATCTCTATGAAAGGAAATCTTCCCTTTCTGTGCAAGAAGAAGGAACTTACTGCTGCCATGGAATTGATGCGGTCAATGTAGTAGTCTGGCCAGCTGGTAGCAAGCTTATTAGGATCTTCTTGTTCCTGAAACAAAAAGTTAAATAAGTTTACACATGAAGTCTTTGCAGGATAAAGCGTCACTGTAGAACTTCCTGGGATTCTTCAACGTGTTGGTCTTTACTTTAGTATCTCCTCTCCATATTCTTGTGCAAGCACCACAAGCCTACATGCATTATTACAAACATTTCTGGCAGTTTAATACTAGCAAAGTCAGCATGGCGCGTCACAGAAAAAAAGACTCTCCTTCAGTTAAGGTTATTACACTAAGTATTACGAAGTTTGACAGAGACTTGGTTATCTTCAATATCTAAGTGGCAAGCATCAGCCCCTTAAATATACTGACAATATTTCCAAATAGAAGAACCACACATTTTTAGATAACAAGTTTATATTTTGTAGTCATATACTGACAGATTTTTGAAATTATTCTGCCTCACTACTGCTGGAGTGATGGGGCAATTCACCAAGGAAAGTCTTTAACATCTTCTATGGAGAAAAAATAAAAAGAGTTAAGAAATCTGAAAAGAAGCCAGAAGGCATTTTGACTTGATAAATCACAAAAGTTATTCTATCCCTCAAAACACCTGACAGAACAGAACAGCATCACCTCAGTTACAGCAGCAGAAATATTTATCTTTACATCACTGCCTCCCAGATAATCCATCAGAAGATTCTTCACTACACTAAGACAAGTCTAAGACTAGACAATCAAGCTAAGCTTCTAACAGAAGATTTGCTCCAACCCAGATAACAAATTTTTTGGTTCCTTGGCTGTTCAATGAAATGAGATTTCATTCTAATGGATACATTTATTTCTACATAGGTGTAACAGTCATTAATAAAATGAGAGGATTGATTTCTAGGATCCTAATTGTTTATTATAAAGAATAAGTAACTTGTATTAAGACTCCTACTATATGGCAAGAGACTGAACTGCTTGACCTATACTAAGGATTTCCAAAGATCGATGAAGACTATATGGATCTCATCAATATTATCATTGAATGGATGCTTACTCATATTAGAAAATCTATTCTGTGGAAGAAATATGGAACAATATTAAATGTGCAGTTTTATTAGAGTACCTCAGCTTTTCAGAACTGCTTGGTTTAGAGATGAGAAATGACTCTACATGATCCCTGTTGAACCATGTTGAGAAAACACCATTCTATCTGACAAGTTTGTAGCAGGTTACCTTCCAACACACAGAGCAACAATTCCATCCAAATCAAAATCTTGATATTTGGATCTGAAAACAAAATCGAGGCTGACATTTTGCTATTTTCTTACTCTCTCCTCACTCCCATGGACTTCCAACATGTGGACCAAAGGAGTATCCCCATTCAGGATAATGATCTAACAGCTTTTTTTATATCTAGCAAAGAACTGCAGTAGAGACACATTGTAGAAAGAATACAACTCTTTCTTAAGACTACTGCTGCATGAAAAATATGGGAGACTATCAAAGCGACAAGAGATACCAATTACAACAACAGTTGCTATGCTTCCACTGCTTCACAGTAATAAATGGAGCAATTAAGAACAGGATGACCTTTCTCAAATGGAACAAGAATCTTTGCTGCTTTTCCCTTCTTCCCATTCCCAACCATAGTCAACAGCAGTGTAATGGATCCAAATCCATTCCAAATGACACATCACAGAAGCATGCAACTCTCTCATAGTAGCCAGTTAGAGTTGTCACATCACACAGTATTGAAACATTGCCTTTCGGTGCCTGATTTCCCTTCACTATATGTAGTTGCAGAAAGAACTCTGACAACCATTTTACACTAAGCAGACCATTAGCTCTTACAGAAAAGTCAAAATATAACTTTGCTAATGGAAAAATAAATAAAATATGCAATAGATTAAATCATTATTTTTAGAAGATAATCTTATCATGTCCAAAGAGAACAATAGAGATAGGAAGCTAATCCAGATGTAGTGAAGTAAGTGTCATTCTACAATAAGCCACCATATTCTTTCTCGACATAGAATTATAGATGTATAAATGACAGCTATAATTGTATGCAATGTACAAGTGTCAAGAAGATTTTCAGAACAGGGAATGTGTACATTCCCTCTCCTCTTTCTGCTTTCATTCCTAGCTCTAAGTAAAGAAAGAAACAGACAAACTAAGGACTGCCTGAATCCATCATTTTTGTACAAAACTAAGCTACAATACTTTTGCTCACTAAAGTTCCTTAGAAAGCAACAAATCTATATATAATATATATAAAAGCTAAAATGTCACAACTAATTTCTCTCGTTACCTAGTTTAGACATGCAACCTGAAGAGTATCAGGAGAGACATACAAAAGCAATAATTCAGAATTCTGAAAAATTCTCTGCAAGCACCCAAACCATTAGAAACTTCCCAATCAGAACCACAGTTCTGATGAAAAGAAGAAAATACAAAGACTCTGATCCCTCAAATTATATTAGTATATTTGATCCCTCAAATTATATTAGTATATTTGATCAGCTTAGCAAATGAGATAAGGTCCTTAGTGAATCCTGCTTTTGATCATTCTCTGTTCTCTGCAAATTGGTGCAAACTTTTAGATCACAAGGCTTGTTTTGTTTTTGGTTTTAGTTAAAATTGGGAAAATAAAATAAAGTTTCAGTGGAACACAGCAAGTGTAAGGATTTATTTTTTTTCCTGAACTAAAGCCTACACTGAAGCTGTATGTTGGTGCCGTTAAAAAGTTTGATCAGATAATCTTCTTTGCAGTCCTCACTTTTTGAAGTCGCTTTGGCCCATAAGCATAAGATCCAAGATACTAAACAGAAAAGAACCTATCTAATGTTAGTGACCCCCCCGCCACACACACTCTCTGTTCAGAACAGAATTTTATTTCCGTCAGTGGTCTTTGCTTCACCAGAAGAAAAGTGATTATATCCTTAAAACTGTCACTCTGTTTCTCTTATGAAGCACCAGAAAGTTACCCAAATTCTGGATAAACTTGTAAAATTTTATCAAGTCCCCTTAAGACTGGATCATGCCTAACTCATGTTCACACGTCAAAAGTGGCACAATATTATTTACAGCAGTCATCCGGTGATGTTTTCACAAAAGACACCAGTTCACACCTGTAACATCAGAGCCACTAGAGAAAACATCTCACTGCCCAAATTATGATGAATGCTGTCAAGGGTAAGAAATCGTTGTATCACATTTTCTTTCAGAGAAGGGAAGACAAAAAATACGAAGCAATTCTTGTTTCTGTTTTTGCTTAGTGTTTATTCATATGAAGGCAAAAAAGGGAAAAGTGTATTTGTGTATGGGGGTGCTGTTTATTGTTGAGGTTTTTCTGCTGTCTATTGCTGGTTTGGGTTTTTTCCCCCCCTTAATGTCTTCAGGATTTTGATCCTTAAAGAAACCTCAGAGGAGATTGCAAGGCACCTTGAAGCTAATGGCAAAGCCCTTTTCCTTGCTCCAAGAGACTCAGAAAAAGAAGAAAAGAAAAGAGGTCCCAACATACAAAGCTGCATAGGCATCAAGAGCTGGAAACAATAACCCATCTGTGTAAGGGAAAACATCAGCTGAAGGAATCTATTAAAGAAAAGCCTTCTTTTAGCTCCTTGAATAATGTAAATATTGCATTAAAAAACAGACGTCAGCTTGTGGACTTTATAAGAGGCCATATCATTCTTCACTGGAGTAACAACTATGTAACTGCTGTGAAAACAGGATCCTGATACCATACGAGCCTGCAATATAGCCAAGGTATTATATAGGCTTTGACACTAATTTGGACAGGCTCCATTGCTTGGTGGAAAGTGGAACTTATGACTTCATCCAAAATAGGATTTAATGGAGGGCAAGTATTTGGACCATCTGAACCAATCAAAATGAAACAGAATACAACAAAGTATTGTCTGCACATCTAAGCTGATCCTAAAAACCTTTTTGAGAATCGTGGGAGACTGGATCCATTGGACAAGCTGTTCTATAGAAAGCAGAGACCTGTAGCAATCGTAACAGACATAATTTAGAAGTATCAAACACTAGAGTTACTGAAACAATGTGGAAATGCCAAATATTTGTGTATCCAGTGAAAATAGAAGCCTGTATATATATAATGGGTCTTTCTTTCAAGATGATCTGAGTCCTTAAATAAAGAATATAGGGAAGGTCTGGACAAGAACAGCCTATGCTGAAGCTCCTTAGGGGCAAATACTCTGTTTCAGTTTCCAGTAAAGAAGTACTGGTATTTCACACTGCACCAAGTAGACTCCTGACACTGTCATACAATTCTCTAGAGCATTTCCTGAAAATCTGACCATTTGTAAGCCATAAATCCATAAGATTAGCAACATTACAAATCTTCCTTCCTGTAGATGCAGAATGAGGAAGAGATACAATGAAATGACAGTTGAAACTCCATCAGGAAATCACTCCAGAGTTAGAACAGGCACTGATTTGACAATGAGTCCACAGTTCTCTTGTTTCCAAGTTTTTTATGCAACGTTGACTGATCCCAGAATCATGGGACCAGTGGCTGCTTAGCATCTCTGGGTGTCCAAGCATTATATAGAATTTGTTTCTACCTGCACACGCACTGCTGTGATAAATTGCCAGGGCTGATGACTCATGAAGCTTTCTAACATACAACTGAAATAATATTTCTTCCTTGAACAGATGCATCAAGAATTATACCACATGTTATGGATGTCATAGGATAACTGTGGGGATGATATCCATTCACTGGAAAGAAGGACTTTCTCCTCAAAAGTGTCTTTTCAGAACTGCAGGCAGCTGACCTGCTTCCCATTGTTCAGAACAGAATGAGAAAAAACCATGTACCTGATGTTGTTCAAAAGGTTTAAAATGTTCTGTTGGCAAGGAACCAAGATACTATTCATTGGGTTCTTCTACATCAATGAAAACAGTGTGCAAACATAGATGAAGGATGTGAAATGAGGCTACTTTAATATAAATTCCTGTTCCGGCTTGTTCATTGTATGATGTCCAGACTAGGCTCAGATTTATACTTGGGTCACAAAGGATTGAATTTGCC